CAAGCGGCACTTTGGCCGCAGAGACCGGGAACGACTTGGAGCGGGAGTTCATGAGCGTTTCGAGGTGCCAGAGGTACTAGCACGGTCATCGGATAGTATGTTCAAATCGCATGTCGCTGTCCAATTCTGTCAATTGGCCCATATAGCCTCGTCCCCTGTAAAGCCGCATTATGCCTTCCTGGTGATCCATTCTACTTCACCACCACAACCCTCGCTTATCAACCTCTTCCGACCTATCATATCTAGCAGTTGCTAAGCACTTCATCAAGGGGGCGGACGACTCTAATTCCAACCCTTTCATTAATAAGAAGATTTCCGACCATCTACGTGAAGCTGCGCAGAGTCCAGCAATATCTAACCGCCCGTCACCTACAACGAATATTGACCTGCTATCATTCCTTCAACGTCCTCAAAATACCGGCCAACCTTCGGTAGCGAGCTCCGACACTCTGCAGCGTGAGGTTGCCAACTGCGTCTACCAGCGGAGATACAGCGAACATTTATATGTGTCTCAAAAGAGCCGAAGTCACCGCTCGGCGAATGTTTCCGGAAACACAACCCCAGATCTTGGCACCGACGACCCGCGGTTCCGCTTCTCCGCGTCAGCTCAAAACATCCAACACCCGATAATTCAAGATGTCGTCTTTTCAGTCATTTCCGCACAACCATCATGTCTCCCGAACACCGCCTGAAAGAAGACTACCCATGGACCCAGTCCCCCCTCATAGCCAGCGCGCCAATGCGCCTCATAGCGCTCGCTCCGCTGGCGGTTGAAGTTTCCAAAGCCGGTAACTTTCCCTCTTTCCCCAGTTCAGCGTCTACGGCTCCAAGCTGACTGCAGACGGCGGCAGGCGGCCTCGGCTTCATCGGCGCCGGCAACGATGTCTCCATGCTCGAACCCGAGCTCCAAAAAGCCCAGCAGCTCTTCGCCGCCGCCGAGCACCCTCTCCCAGCCACGCTCCCCGTCGGCATTGGGGTTTTGAACTGGGGCGCCGACCTCGACGCCACCCTCGCCCTCCTCCGCACATACCGCCCCGCGGCCTTCTGGCTCTTCGCGCCGCGCAAGCTCTCGGACCTGCGGGCCTGGACGCAGGGCGCGCGCGACGCGACGGCCGGCGCGACCAAGGTCTGGATCCAGGTCGGCAGCGTCGTCGATGCGGTGCAGGTGGTGCGGGAGTGCGGGCCGGACGTGCTGGTGGTGCAGGGCGTGGATGCGGGCGGGCATGGGCTGGAGCGCGGGGCTGGGATTGTCAGTTTGGTGCCCGAGGTGCATGACGCGCTGGTGGCGGCGCTGGGGCCAGAGGGAGAAGCAGCGGAAGGGAAGATGCCCGTGCTGGTTGCCGCGGGCGGGATCAGTGAGGGGAGAGGCGTGGCTGCTGCGCTGGCGCTCGGGGCTGCGGGTGTGGTGATGGGAACGCGGTATTTGGCGTCGCCGGAAGCGGAGATCTCGGGGGGGTACAGAGATGAGGTTGTTAGGGCTAGTGATGGGGGGCAGACGACTGTGCGGAGCGGTGTGTATGACAAGCTGCGCGGGACCGTGGATTGGCCGCCTGGGTATGGCGGACGCGGAGTGATTAATCGGAGTTATCAAGATGCGATTGGGGGGATGGATCACGAGGAGAATGTTAGACTGTATAATGAAGCGATGAAGAGCGGAGATAAGGGATGGGGTGTTGAGGGCAGGATGACGACTTATGCTGGCACGGGGGTGGGGTTGATTAAGGGCGTGAAGAGTGCGAAAGAGATTACGGAGGAGGTGAGGGAGGATGCGAGGAGCGTCCTGAAGAGCTTAAGGGAGAAGTTGTAGAGTCACAAGATCTGACTGCGAAGCCTTAACCTCGTGCTACATTCTTCTGCACGAACTCGCAGCTCACGATAGCTTCCGAGAAACCCAGTGCAACACGAAACATAGATTCATCGAACCTGGAAGATTTTGGTCTGACAATTGTCATTCATCTCTGTACAAGCTATGTACATCAGCCTCTATAGTCATGAGCCCGTTCGTCATACACATATGTGCAATGAGTACGCCGTTAAGGAAACGCCAACCAAGCAAGTGCCGGGCGCGCTGCCAGCAATGCGAATGCCCAAACGCGCCTCCAAAACTCCCTAAAGCGCCCAAATAAACGTCGTGCGTTGTGAAATGCCGTGATGACGCCACGAATGAGCACCTTCCAGGTGTTCCAAGCATAAGAATGGCTCGTGGCTTCGCAATCCGTCATCTTCTCATTCCCTCAGCTCCTAACTCTTCTGCCTCATCGCCTTGTCCCTTCACCCTCAACCTCAACCTTCCCCGCGCTCCTCATCCCCGCCATAAACTCATCCGCAGTACCCACATCCCGCGTCCCCCTCAGCACCCGCAGCACCTCCTCTTTAGACCCATACAACCTCCCCTCCAGCACACTCAACATCCCCACCACCGCCCGCACAAGTGCCCTATCGCCTTCAAAAACATAGACATCCCAGACCCGACTGGCGATCTCGACGCCCAGCTCGGCACAAAACAGCCCGCTGAGCAGCGGATCCAGCCACTCGCGCATCTGGAGGCCGATCCCTCCTCTCTCCCCTTCCCGCCGTCCTTCCTCGCCGAAAAGATGGCGGGATAGGCGGGGCAGTTTGTATCGCACCATCCCGGCCAGCAAGTCGTAAACCCTTGCTTGCGCGCCCTCGTCTCCGCCGAGAAAGGCAGCTGGCACAGCCCGATTGAGCAGGTTCGCTAGCGCGACGAAGGATGGTGCGCCCGCGGGGAGGTTGAGGAGCAGGAGCGCCGCGACGAGGTGCGTGCCATGTACGTAGCCGATGTCGGGGTTGTACATCGCATACGCCTTCAGCAGCTCAAGCAGCGGTTGATGCAGCGGACCAGTCGGTTGGAAGATATTGAGCGCCGGAAAGGTCGTGCCAACGTCCCTATCGATGTCCGCAAACCACTTGCGTTCGCGGCGGGCGTTGCGTTCCTCCTCCTCCTCCCTCGGGCCGGCTAGCTGTTCCCCCACCGCACGTGCGCGGCCCAAAGCAGCGGTATAAGAGTCTGCCGTGACGCCGAGTTCGTTCCCGATGGCACGGCTCCAGACGACCCCTCGGCTGCGCGGCGCGATGCCTCGCCACCACAGCTCGCGTGTGCGGGGCTCGTGCAGCACGGCGGCCCAGTTGGGCAGGACGTGCTGGTCCCAGATGCGGGAGAGGGCTGTGGCTGTGTCGTCGTGGGCGGCCTTGGCCTCAGCTATCTTCGCTTTGTGGCGTTTCTCTGTGTGGGGGTAGAGGTCAGTTGCTTGGTTGAGGGTAGGCTAGGCGGGCTGAGGTTGGGGACGAGTGTAAAGGTGAGGGCGAGGGCGAGGGTTACCGGCTTCGAGGGAGTGGGCCATCATGCGCTGGTACTCCTTCAGGTGCTTGGCCTCTTCTTTGGGGTCTTTGGGCGGGAGCCAGGAGGGCCGGGTGCGTGTGAGGACGGCGGCTTTTTCTTTGCTGATGGGGAGGGGGTCGATCATTATGTTGCCTTTTTGTAAAGGGGGGAGCTCGACTAGGGAGGATGTGCTCCGGAGCTTGTCGTGGGATTGGCGGGCTGTTGGAACCCCATTCTGGATCCTCTCTTCGTGCTGGTGCTCGGTTTGCTCGGCGTATGCCTCTAGGGCCTCGGTTAGGCTCCGGGCTTCTGGCGAGAGGTCATAAACAGCAGCTGTCCAGGACTTGGTACGCGGCCTGTACGGATGATAACCGTCAGTGACGGCGCCCTCTGAAGCACTGACCGGTAGCGGAGGTCGTGTGGGGAAGTGAGACGGTCCGGATGATGATCTTGCGTTGATAGGAAGCACGCCAGGCATTGATTGGTGGTGCTTGACCGGCCCTTGACCTCTCTCTCGACTAGATGACACCCGTGGAGTCTGTAGGGCAGGGGTAGGAGGTGTTGATCGTTCGTGCGGTGGCCGTGGTGACACTGGGACGTTCCACATAATGGCATCTTCTGGCACTTCTTCATCCGAGTCGTGGTATTCGTCCTCCAGCTCCTTTACAGTCTTCCGTCCAGGTTGCCACGACTGTCTGCGCCCTAGGGGCATCCCTGTAGGGGAGCTTCCGCTACATGAGTTCGATCGCAACGAGCATGGCGATGGCGGGAGTTTGTGTTGAGAGGGTCCCGAGGGGGAATTGGACCTCGATCGAGGGGCCGGCGCGCTCCGCATTCCCTGAGCAGGCCTTGACGGGCTTGCAGAGCCCCGCCGCATCGTTCGGTTGGGCGGGTCGAGACATGCCTGCTGCCTCACTGCGCCATTGACTTGCGTCCTTAGGCTCGGGTACCGCGGCTTCGAGTTCGTAAGGTCTCTGAAAGAAGACAGGCCTTGTCCGCTGCTCCGGCTGCTGCTGGTCGATGTAATGGATGTGCGTGCGAGAGGCCGCTTCGGCGAAGACTGGCTCGGTAGTATGCGGAGCTCATCTAAGGATATATCTTCGAAGTCCGGCACACCATTGAATCCAGCAACGTCATCGAGGCTAGAGGAATGGAACGAAGACGATTTGGAGGATTTGGAGTTGGTGAGGTCTGGCGGAGAATCAGGAGCGGTGTCGAGCATTGTGTCGATCCGGGGCAGGGCTGTCGTGTTTATAAGAGGCCGCACACGGGGTCCTCGCGCTCGAGGCGGAGTCTGAGGGGGAGTAATCGGCGTCTCGATGTGTGCGGTTGTGGTTAGAAGGAAGTGTTTACCACAGGCTTTGTCCGTGGGATTGTTCACAAAGAACTCCTCGTAGTGGACATGGTGATCCGGATCGCAAACATCGTGCAGCTGGCCTTCGGTAATATCAATGGAGTAAATATGAGGCTTGTCGAAAAGAACTGCGGTTTCTGCTGAGTTCGAGGTCATCATCTCGACCCGGCCGTTTAATTGACGGTTCAGGGGCGCGATGGCTTCGGCTGGCTGATCCTGGCGCGACGATTGGCTGTCCGCCAAGCGCGAACGGGGATGCGATTGAACAATGCTACGAGTTCGCTCTGAATGACGATAATTCATGAACATTCAGAGAGGATGATTGAGGTGTCTACGGGGATATGAAGTCAATCTGCTGCAGGGCCGCGTTATCATGATCACGGCGGGACATGATGCATTAAAAGCTGCAGGTTGGCGACAGGCTGGTTGTACCAAAATGGCTGGTTGCGCTGCAGCTTGGCTGTTGCGTTGCAGGTTTTGGCTGCTTGATGGCTGGAAACGGCACACCAGTTGCAGACACGGCGCAGGTCACAGCACCAGCAAGTTCAACGCCGTGCCGAATCACGCCGTGTCACACGCACAAGCACAATTGGCCAAAAGGCGGGAAGGGGAGGAGGTGAGATGCTGCAGCGCATCTGTTTACCTTATCGAAGTATGAAATCCTGCGGCGGCGGTATCTTCGGCACCCCGCAGCAGAGCACTCCAGCCTCCTAAAGTACTGATACGTACTCGCGAGTTACAGTTGGCTCCGTTCACGAGGACCAGACACGATCACGAATGGTTTGTTGCGAGCCCTCTGCCTTTAAAGTCACAAACTCAGCCCCCAACCACCCCGTCCAACAGCCCCCTCTCCACCCTCGACGTCGGCCAAGCCTCCACCAGCCCACTATCCAGCCAAGCCAACAGTGCCGCAAACCTGGTCTGCCGTCTCTGAAACACGTCCTGAAATGCCTTGCAGGCGAGCCTAGCGCCGTCCCATGTCAGAGGAAACTCGGCCGTGTGTGCCGGATGCAAGCCACGAGAACGCCCATGCGGAACTCACCATTTGGTTTGGCGCTTGCCGACCGTGCATTCGTAGCCGGGCCATCCCTTCTTGCTGGCCGTGCGCCGCTTCATCATTGCCAGGGCGAGCCCCACGAGCTCGGCGACCGTTTCTGTGGGAGGTGTCAGTGGTTCTGCACTAGCCACAGCTAACATGGATGGCTTGGATGGCGCGACTGTATGGCGCATTGGCCTTCGTTTCGTCTGATCTAAATCATTCGCGCAGTGTGCAAGGGTTGCGGAGGCGTGTTAGTTCCAACAGCAGCATGACTTACTGATAAGGAGTCCTGGTGGTGGTTGTCTGTTTGGCGGGAGGCTCTTGAGATACCCGTAGCACCTGACCGCTGATTCGTGGAAGGTGTGGTACAGGTTTGTTAGGACGGTTGGCAGAGCGTTGAATGCGGTGTCGAAGAACATCTTGTGCATCCGTATCTTGAGGGCGCTGTTTGCGGTCGTCAAGTCAGCTTCATTGGTTAGTTAAGAGTATGAGAACAATCATACTTGAGCGCTTTCCTGTGGAAAGTTTGGCCAGGCACTGCTGTGACGTCGACTGTGAGAGCATCGCATATATCTGCTACCGGTTAGTACTTTGCACCTGCGCCTCGGGTCATGGGATGGACGCACTGCTCGTCGTCTTGCGATCCGGCACCCGAGATACATCGAGGGTTGCTGTGTCGATAGAGATACCGCAGTATGGAAACGTTGCTGCTGCTGGATGTTTCATGACTTTGACGTCCTGTATCTCGACATCAAAGTTGACCAAGGCCTTCTGCTTTTTCACCGAGACACCGTACTCAGGTACGCCTTCATACATCACCTGCACGAACCGTTCCGCATCGGCTCTGTGCAGAGTGATCAAGAGGAAGTCGTCGATGAGGCGCAACAGAAGACAGTCCGCTTTGCGCAGAAAGCCCAGGCATTGGTCTTCAAGCTGTGCGTAGAAGAAATTGCACAGCAGAGTAGACACCACTGAACCTTGGGGAACGCCTTGCTTCTGCCTGTAGAACTTCTTCCCGATTTTGACAATGTTGCGCTCCATGTGCTCTCTCAGCAGGCCGAGGACGTCTTCCTTATGCTGAACTGACTGTAGTACGGAGTCGACGAAGACGGTGCCCCTCTTACCGCTGGCAAATTCCTGACGCATCAATTGCTCGAACGGCAAGAGGTTGCCTGCGGCGCGTCCGTGGGCGACAAATTTGATCAACGGTCGTGCTGATATGGAAGCACCAGCTTGATCATAATGAGTCTGCGGAGGTCTGACCTCAGCATGGCGGCTGATGCGGTAATCATTTGTGGACAGAAGATTCTGCAACAGTTGAACAAGCCGTTGTTGCGGGATGGTATCGAAGCATGATTGCACATCCAGTTTAGCGAAGTAGAGAGGCGCGTCTGCAAGACCGCGCGCCTGCAGCGAACCTCGGAAAGCTCGCAGTTTAGGGAAGATGTCTCCTATGGAGAAGAGCGACGAGCCGAGTCTGGCCGGTTGAGTGGACTAACAAATGCGTAAGCCATGATTGTGCCTATTCAGACGTTTGGCCTTACCTTCTCGTAGTTGAGTACGTTGAACGTTGGAGCCATCACAGAATTTATACTCCTTCTAAGGATCACGTTGCCACCTCGCCGCACCTGCACCCTTCGCCTTAGGTTCGTGATTGGGCGCATACCGGTAGCTTTGGGTAGCAATCGGATGTGGCTATAGCCGAGAGACCTCTTAGCGAGGAGTTTCTGCGCATTGTCCGTCTTCATCTCCTCAAACATTGCCGGCTTCAAGATCGTCAGAGAAGGCTCGGCCAGGGTTCGCCACACGTCGTGCCTAAAGTAGAACAGACGGTTCTTGTGGACGTTGGATTCGGTAACGTGGAAGTTTGATCTGATCAGCGGGATGAGGAAGGAGTCAAACAGGTAGTACACAAACTCCATCAATAGTTCGCGTCGCTTCAAGAAGTCAGACTGAGACATTTTCGACGTAGCGTTCACCTTCGGGGGCTGCAGCCAGGTGATGTCCGCGATCTGCACATCATCAGTAACATTGACGCGAGTAGATCCGGATAATTGACCTTTAGATCTTGCATGACTTCATGCAGAGTCAGGCTTTCAAACTTTCTAAGAGCAATGAACTGGTCGACGTGGCGCATGAAGACGTGCATGTTCCAGGAGCGGGTCGCACCTTCACCCCAAAAGTCCTTGGGCACCACTTTGCATAGCACAGCTCTGCAGAATGCTGAGACGTCGGATACGGGACACGCCAAGTCCGTGAAACAGATCTCGTGAGCGGACGCTAGATTTGATGGGTTTTCCTCCATCACTTTTGCTGACGCCGAGGTATTGACATAAATTGACTTTGCAGCGGCCGCCGGCAGTGTCTGGGACGGAGTCAGAAAACAAAACAGGGTAGTCATATCGTTGATAGGGGCCGGATTGAACAGGCTCACCTTGACAGGGCAGTAGTGGCGAAGGAGCTCAGTGTACGAGCATGCCTGGTGAAGAGCTCTGAACTTGCCAACAAGCTCTAACGGCTGACCTCGCAGTCGTTTTGGTATGTTCGTCTTGAACGAGTCAACGTCCTCACGAGCACCGCTTTTGACGTATTGCTCATGGCGAACCCGAGCGATCTCCCGCTCGCGCAGCGTGTAGTCCTTGAATGGCTGCGCTGTATCACGGTAATCGACTTTTGATGTGAAAACATTGTGGAGGCCGAATTGTCTAGGGAAGATGTAGTTCATGATGTGTATAGTATGTTCACGGTCCCCACGATCAGGATACCGGTTCAGGACATCTAGTCTAGCGTGTTAAGTGCAGTACATCGTTTACTTGTTTTTAAGTGCTTACGGATGTGCCGCATGCCAAATCGCACACTGCCTTTTGCGTTGAGAGCCGCTCTTGCGTAAAGCATCCGGTTCCTCACGAATTTGATAGCAGTGGGTCGGTTGATCCCTGGAGCTGGCGCTCTGTTACCTTGACGCGGAGCTTGCTTCCCCAATTGCGGAGGCTCTTTTCTGCTGCCACTTTTCACCGCTTGTCGTGGCTTCATCTCGCATAGTGGCGGGCCTAGGGGTTGTAAGCCAAGTCCGTCAACACTAAGCCCCTACTTACCACTGAGCTGCCACAGATTACCCGCCTTTTCTTCCAAAGGCAGGAATATGCCGCAGTGGAAGAGAAGATCTATCATGATGCGATCTCCGCCTCGCCCTAAAAGAGGAAGCAGACAGCACCAGGTCGGAGATTTGACCTGGTCAACATGATTGTTCGGTTGATGAGCCACGATACCCGGAATGCCGGGTGCAGCATTCAGTCGCAGGCCGTTCTGTCCCTCCGCGAGCGCGCGCTGAAAGCCATGGCACAGCAGATGTGGCGGTCTTTGAATACTGCTGTGTCTCCTAAACAGAAGCCATATCACAAACTCGACGACCTGGAATGATTAGTATCTAAGCTCGAATATAGTAACGAAAGTACAGATGGTACCTCCGAGTACACCAATGAGCTCGGCGAGACATTGCTACCGAGAGTCGACTGCGGTAACTGTTGAGTGAAGACTTCGATTGCCTTCTCCCGAAAATCTTGACCGACGTCGCGCTCTTCAGGGACACCGACAATAGTGGAGTCAAGTAATTTGGCAAGACTTTTATTACCATTCTCGACCGGTTGCCTACCATGTTCTACGCCTTCTTCCAGTCCTGCAACGGCTATTCTCTTTCGCCGCTTCCTGGAGGATGGAGGCAACTCGGACAGTAGATACTGACGCAGCGTGACCACTCTACGATAAAAGCGGGCGAGGACAGGGAATTCGGTACCAGTGTCATCTTTAACGGTGGCAGAATCATTCACGCCTCGGATGCCGTCAGTCTTGGCCCGTTTGGACGGTGCGGTTTCCGTCGTCTTGCGCTTTCTTTTCATTGTGTTGCTGGCTCCATCGCAGGTGCTCAAGTCGGCGCGTCGCGAAATAATCGCGAGTCATTTCCACCCCAGGCGAGGCCGCGGCAGTCGCAGGGGCATCACAGACCAAGGGAGCCAGACGTTCCACCACGATTGATGTCAATTGAGGGTTGTCATTGACTGATGGCCGGCTGGGATGATGCAGCCAGTCGCGAGCTCTCCGCTCTGATCCTGCAAGCCCACTGTGGAAAGGAAGCAGAAGTACGGAGTAAGGGGGCGTGGTGATGAAGGAGATGATTAGAGTTTCATGTGCGGATGGTCTCCCGTCGCCTGCGTTTCCTCATGCGAGTAGGATCGCCTCACAGCTGTCGGTCTGTTCATCAGTCGTGGCCAGTGCAACGAATGCCTGCCCAAGTGAACAATAGTCAACCAGTTACTCCGTAAGTGCTTGCGACATAGCGAGCCAATTCTACTTGGTGGTAGCGAGCACCCGGAAACCACGTCTGGTGCGGCGCTTGGTTAGTGCAAGCCGAAATCCCATCCACGACGGCAATCTTGGTGTGCAACCGCTCCGCTCTCACACCTAAGCCCTAAACCTCTACTCTACCTCACCCAACTCTCACACGTCCCGTAACTGTCTGCTGCCTGACCGAGCTCGTTCTTCGCCGCCGGACACGTCGTCTTGCCTCACTCAGGAGACGTCCACCTCGGCCAGCGCCTTGTCGAGCCTCACAGCCGCACCCGCCAAACCCCCACGCCCTGATTGGTCTATGCCTTGCCCAGCATCAAACCACCCCCGTCCCCAGGTGTGAGTTGTACACAGCTATCCTTGTCGGCCTCATTCGCTCGCGCCGACAACACCACCAGCTCGCCTGAACAGCTCCTCCCATTTACACCGTCTGATTGGCGACCCTCCTTGGATCTGCCTGAGCCACGCTGCGATACGGCCCTCCCGCACTCTCGAAACCGCCTTCGGGCCCCATACCGCACACCGGCGTGAGGGCGATGTTTCCAGGTGCAAAGCATGCAAAGCGGTCAACTCCCATCCGACCCTGAAGCTTTGCGTCCGCCTTGGAACGATGCGCAAGCGACGGCGGGTTTTAGCGAAGATCAAAGCAGAACGGCAACCCCGGATGACTTCTATCGACTCCACCTCTCGCCGTCAGGAACGTTGGAACACTGCCCACAGCCTCCCGCCGCACCGCCCGAAGGTGTCACCGACTTGATGGCGGCAACAACGCGCCGGCAGCCTGTACCCACTATTGGGGTGAACCCAGCCCACTCTTCCGCACCGTCATCGCGCGCCTCCTACCGCTCAAATTTCCGCTCAGTCTCGACTCCAGCATCGACTCAGCCGACCGCATTAGAAAAGCGGACACTCAAACCAACACTCGCAAGCTCGGGGAGGGTAAAGGCACTGGCGAACAAGTTCGACCAACCTACAACGACAGCTCCGGCAGTCAATGGCAAGGCTCGGAGGTCGCGAACGCCGTCCGCGCCTAGGCTAGCCGGTCCCGGGGCACACACTACACATTCTCTAGATCCTCTGAAGGAACAAGAGTTCGGTCCACAGAGGTACAAGAAGCGCGACTCTTACGCCATAAGCACTGCTTCGTCGGCATCGAGTGCGCGGCGAACTTCCACCGATCGTGAAAGCGTAGCTTCTCAAGACCCGGCAGCCGATAGTTCATCGAGCTTCAGATCAGATCGGAGCCATCAGTCACAAGGCCTCGCGCGGCCGCTTCTGTTTGGCGAGATTGACCAGACAGATGCTTTTTCGAGTCCAGGGCATGGGATACATGGGGCTGGTCATCGAAGGAGGTTGTCGGAGAGCAGCGCGCTCCGGACTGTCGCATCTTTCGGGCATGGTCGAATCGACAACCTTCAGGTGACTCCAAGAGCGATACACGACATGCCACCCCCCGACCGGACCTCTTCCGCCACCGGCCACCGAAGATACAACAGTGATATTCCAGGCTCACCGTCCACTACGGGCCCTGCTCCATCTATCGATTCGCTTATGAGTCCGATCCTCCTCCCTGTATCATTCAACGCTCGCTCCGGATCAAGTCCGAATGGCCAAGGCCCAAGGTCGCCAGTATCTAGGATACCGGTTCCTTCTCGGAGGTCAAGCGCTACCTCCGACTCTTCTTATTCCATATCCAACCCACACATCAACTCAGCAGTGAGCAGTCCGATGTATCCCGCGACTTCCCCTACAAGAGATAGACGAAGGCCCCGTGCAGCCGCGCACACGGGGAAGGAAAACATGCCGAGCAAACCACCTTCGACGCCGCCGCCCAGCAAACCAGCACGAAGATACGAGCCAAGCCCCAACAAAACACCAACAAATAATCGGCGCTTGGAGGCTCGCATTAGAACGACTCTGCCGAAGACTTCTCCGCCTCTCCGAAGTGCCCGCGCAAGGCAACAGATTTCAAGGCCAGCAGGAGGAGAAGCATCAGCCGATTTGAAGGAGCTGTCCGGTCTTAGTTTCTCTCTAGACTTGCATGGAGAATATGCTCAGGATGAGGACAACACCAGTCTAGCACTTCCGTCGAACCCGCTGCGACCAGAGCAAGAAAAAGATCATATCCCGTTCAGAGACGCGAGTGGAGGAACACAGAGGCCTGACGCAGAGTTTGCTTACACCCATGCCGGACCGTTTCATGTGCCTGCATCTGGTGAAGCTAACGATGGCATCGGAGGATCTCAATCACCTCGCCTCTTTCTCGAAACAAATGATCTCCCACGACCGAGCGAGGAAGAGCCTGTCACCGGCGCAACTGAGTTCGAGGGTGACGAATCGCCGATTCTTGGAATGCCTGGCGGCTTCCCCGTGCAAGTACCGCTTGTGACGGTGGAGGCGGACGAGGACAATGGCGCGGAAACTGGAGCATCAGGCTCCTTCCTTCATGACAGCAATGAAAATGTCATGTTCGAGCGGCAGTCTGGAGCGGAGCAAGATTCGATACTAAATCACGTCAGGATGATGCGCACTAGTTCATCCAGCTCGGCTCGCACATCACCCACCCAGTTCACTGAAGACGCTATGTCGGAGAAAGATGATTCGGAGTCAATACAGATAATGCTTGGCGCCACCCCTACGATCACCGAGCCTCGCCAGGAGTGGGGTACGAAAGATCGCACAAAGGCGGAGACCGAGATGAGTGTTAACCGAAGACTCGCGCGTGCTTTCGATACTTCTGACCCACGAATATCGTACCTCGAGCAGGCAGATGATGTTTACGCTCAGGACGACCAGACACCCGATGGGACGCCGGCATTATCCGGAAAGGAACGCTTCACCCTAGACGGCAAAGCATACAGCATGGTCAACCAGATTCTAGAACAATATTACACCTCTAGCTACGTCACACCAGAGATGGCATTTGGGTTCCAACAGCAAATCCAGGCCATGTCACCAGAGCTGGCGCGGCATGGAAACTGGGAGTCGAAGCAGGCGACTCAAGTGTATCTGGAGCAGCTCCTGAGGGCTGCAACCGGCCCAGTGGGAAGCTTTGAAACACCTCAAACCCCTCCAGTGGCGGATGTCTCCCACCTTGACCCTACCGGCGTGCGTGCGTTGAACGCATCGCCCGACGACGGGTATACCGGGACAGCAATCATCTTTGGCCAGTCGCGGAAATACGGCCAAGCGAGCGATCACCAAACTCCGGAATTGGAGTACCCACCAACACCACCTCCTAAGGATCGGAGCTACACATCTGGTGCGACAGGTTCGCACGATGAGGCAGCTGAGTCCACCCCGCGCACATGGGCTGATAGCCGGTCTCGACTGTCAGAAGTTTCGGACAACGGAACTCGGTTTGGTCTTGCAATTCAGGTCGCGTCGACGGAACCCTCCCCAACTTTGCCGCCATTCCCAAGCCATTCACCACCGCCTCCACCACCCACTGCAATCGATGGGTTGCTGTCCCCAAATAAGCCGATACGGTCCCCACTATCCCCAAGTGTCTATGGCCAACTTCCACCATCAAGCCTCTTCCCACCAGCGGTCCCTCCAGTCCCAGCGGTTCGTACGAGTGATGAGTACGATGGGGAACGTAGCCAGCCGGGGTCCGCTAATGCGCGCCGCTCCCAATCCATAACGCCGTTGTCTCAAGAGCCATCGCAGATGTCTGACGCGGAAAATGACGATCAAAAGCGCTTGAAGGAACGGAGGCATCTGGTTAAGGAGCTGCTAGATACCGAGTTCAGTCACGCGCAAGACATGAGGATCGTCGAAGACATTTACAAGGGCACCTCGACTTCGATAGACACCATCACTGATGATGACCGGAGAGTCCTGTTCAGCAACTCCAAGGAGATTGCAGACTTTTCCGAGAAGTTCATCTCAACACTGAAGCCAGCTGCTGCAAGCATCTATACGATGACGAAGACCGCTAAATGGAGCGTCAAACGTGGCAGTGTATCCACCTCGCACAGCGCAACAACCGATCAGTCCTCTTCCAGCTTCCCAGATCAGCTAGATGACGCGCAGGACAGGAAGACGTTGATTGGTGAGGCCTTCTTGCAGAACCTCACGGCAATGGAAAAGTGCTACGGCACGTACATTAAGAGCCATGAGGCGGCGAATCAACGCCTTGTCGCACTGCAGCAAAGACCCAAGGTCCCGGTCTGGCTCGCAGAGTGTCGTGCTTACGCGAACGATCTCACTACAACGTGGGATCTGGACTCGCTCCTAGTAAAGCCCACGCAGAGGTTGATGAAATATCCTTTGATATTAACGGACTTGCTCAAGTGCACGCCAAAGGATCATCCCGATTACAAGAATCTAGAAACGGCATTGCGGGAACTTCGAAGCATCTGCAATCGTATCAACGAAACGAAGAAACGAGCGGAGCTCATCGATCAGGTCGTCAACCGGAAGCGGAACCAGTCTGACGCTCGCCTACCATCTGGCCTCGCCAAAGTCATCGGACGTCGAACTGAACGATTGAAGCAGCAGGTTGGGCTGACTGAGTCCGTCGATGATCAAGACTACGACGCAATAGCGCAAAAGTTCGGCGGTCATTTCTTCCAATTGCAGATTGTGATGCGGGACGTTGAGAAGTACATGGAGGACGTACAGCAATACGTCGATCGATGCAACAGTCTTATCCTTGCAATTGAAGGTTTCATTGACGTCAGACCGGGTACCTCCCCCGAGCTTGAAAGCAAGTGGCGGAGGTATTCGATGGCTGTTCGGGAGATTACTACAATCGCGCTCCCGGAGCATGTAAGTTACACACCCAGACACACACTAGATATATTGGAGACCCGCTGACACCAAGCAGAAAGCCGCTCTGACCAGCAAAGTGATCAATCCTATCTTGACGCTTTGGAAGGTTCACGACAACCCTCAGAGGATGATGCAGAAGCGGAAGAAGCGCATAGTCGATTACGCTCGGTTCAAGGGCATGATCGATCGCGGTGAAAAGCCAGACAAGAAGACACAGGAAGCAGCAGATCAGTTTCAGGCTCTGAATGAAACTTTGAAACTAGAGCTGCCGAAACTGTACGCACTGACGAAGAAGTTGATCGAGGCCTGCCTTGATCAATTCATCGATGTCCAGAAGCAGTGGCAAGACATCTGGAGGAGAAAGGTTAACGTGCTCGACGAAACGATACCGGACCGACCCGCCAGCAACATGTTCTCTCAAGACATGTCGGAGGTTGTAGCGAGATATTTCAGCGACTTCAGGCCCGTTGAGCAACTCGTGGAATCTTTTGTGATCTGCGATGCAAATCAGGTCAAAGAACTGTGCAAGATGTCGTCACCATCAGCATCAATCTTCGCCGACAGCCTGTCCACCAAGCGGCCTTCCACCTTCGCAAGCTCGAAGCGCACGCAATCTATTAACAGCGAGCAGTCTGCTATTATGGCTTCACCTGACTTTGTCCAGCGATTCAGCGGCAACTTCCCGATATTACCACCCATGGATACCATGACGCCCTTTGGTGAGGCCCAACCCTCTCCTATGGGGAGGATGCGCGCGGGCTCCGCCTTATCTAGCCGTGGACCTTCAACGCCTCGTTCACTCTCCGCTGCCGGCCCGTCATATTTCCCCGCTAGGCCTTCCACTGCAACTGGTCGGATCACGGAGCCTCTACCTTCGCCATCCTTTCCTCGTCTCAGCCTCGACACGCCTGAATCCCGTCCGGCTTCTAATCCAGCCCACATTTCAAACACACAGGGCGGGTACAACCGAGGATCTTCGATCTTCTCGTCGGCAATGCCGATGTCGGATTCCCCTACCACCACTAGGGCCGGTTCCCCAAGTGTGGACAACGGTGAACCAAGAGTCCTGTTCTTGGCAGCTAGTCTCTTCGAGTTCAACATCGCCCACGATCGCACGGAGGGTGGTTACCCTTATCTTCGCTACGTGCCTGGCGAGGTCAGCCAATTTTCAATATACTTAACCTAACATTCTACATACATAAGTTCCAATTCTAACGTGCAAGCAGATCTTCGACGTCATAGGCCAGAAGGGTGAGCTTTGGCTTGCCCGAAACCAAGATGACGCACTCAAAAAAGTGGGCTGGATCTGGGAAAAGCATTTTGCCCGGTTTCCGGTAGACGAGCCCTGATTCTACCATCCTCCCCCCTACGACGCCACCATAATCCCTAGTTCGACCATCTCTTCCATCCCTCAGAACAACGAGTCCCTTTTGTCACCACCGCCGACGATGTCTACGTTCCAGCATTCCCGAGTCACCGGAGTTTAGAGGACGTCTCCGGGACGAGCTTTCCTCAGCGGCTTCATCGCATATGTCGGCTAGCATGGCGTTTGTTTCTCCCTGTCACAAAATCTCCGTAAGCCAGGTTCTCTGAAAATGTTTGATATGCGCTTACGCAGCGGGCTTTGACCTTTATGTTTACCTCCCACGATGGGTGTTCGTGGACGTCTCTGCATCTACTTTTGTTCCATTTACCAGTCTCTCTGTATATCTGTTGGTCGAGATATGGCGCTCGGACGAGGGCGAATCGGGATTTGGGATGTGGCGGCATTTGGTTTGTAGTATATCTCATCCTGAAGCCCCTTGGTATGGGTGTGCGAATCGAAGTGCCTTCAGTTCAGCATAGCGTTGTTCTTGCGTTGCGCTCAACGACCTAGTGCGTTGAAACTTGCTCACCACAAAATCCCTTGTCAAACTGCAGCGGCAGCTTGTCTAGCAGCATATAAACAATTTCTTAAATCACCAGCGTAGAAGGTCATCATCATCGTCATCAATCCGAAGAGTAGCATTTCAACTAAGTAAGCTTCCCACCCCAACGCGCTTAATTCGCCCCGAGACTGACTACATGCACAACGTGCGAGCTGCTCCCGCCACTTCACACATTCTTCATGCAACCGTCTCTCTTCCGGATGATCTCTTGCATGACACCTCAAGCCGATGCCTCCCCTTCACCATGCACATGCTAGCACGCCTAGCGTGACTAGCTGCATCCTTGCTGGCTACAAGTTGGCCATGGTCAACCTGGGTCGAGTCTCTATCTGAACAACCTTCTCTTCCTTCGCTTTTGATTGGAACTAAAACCCATCTACCACGTGGATGAGCCTTCATGACCCTGACTGTTTGTGGTCACGCTTTAGCTGACTAGGATAGCTCCGTAATCCAAGTTTCGTGCACTCCTCCAGGGACTCCACTCCATCCTCTTGTTGCCTTTCGAGGGATCTTCTTCTGACCGTTTCCGCTTAATCTTCACTCTTCTGCAAGCACTCTACAATTTTGGACCTCCCCTGGTCTTACTTCTCTGCGTCGGCATCAAACAATACGTCGGAACAAGGTCGAGCTTCCGTCCGCTGACGAAGGAAGAAAACCCGCTTCGAAGCACATGCATCGCTTCACTGCTTAAGCAATACACCGAAGCCGCGCCACTTTCCTTCATACAACCGGTCCGTCCGTAACTCATCTTGATCCGGGTCGTCCTTCCGAGGCCGACCACAGCCATCTCAACAATGAGTTGGCAAACATTGCGCAATATGCTACCAAGCAATCCTTTCAACGGCACGTCAAGCAATGAGCTTCAATGCGTCCAGCCGAAGTCCGCTCCGCATCCACCACAAGACTTGATCACGCAGCTCTACCAACGCATCGCCGTCCTCGAAGCCGAGCTTGCCCACGCAAAAGATGCGCGAAGCGAAGCGCATAGAGCGAGCAACTACCTGCTTGACAACCTCGCTTCACTGCGCAACCCCGCTGCTCAGGAGATCGCTGGGCTGAAAGAGAGCTTGAACGCAGCACAGGAACAGAACTTCAAACTGAGCCTGAAGCTCGTAAGCAGGAAGGAGCAGTGGCGACGTAAGACGCTGCGGACTGAGCTCCTGCTCGGTGATTCGAGTCCGCGGCGGGTACGTGAAGGTACTTCGGCGCTTGCAGCTCCAACGTCGAAAGGGGAACTCGGAAACCTGCTGGATGTTGAGGACGGCTCGCAGACGCTTTGTCCGACACCGCCACTGTCTCTTTGTCACACCACTCCAATCAGCAAGCAGACTGTACAGTCGAATGATCAAGAGCCGGTTGCCGAGGTAAGTCACATCGAACAATGTGGTGCACAGCTTCTCTGATCCCACCCCTCGGAAACTCTCCATGATGATTCTCGGAGTGGGCTGCGAGGCCGATCAGCTACGCTTTGACTGAGTACTGACATTTACAACTAGCCGCAAGTTCCTCGTGTCACCCGATCTACTACAGCAACTAGATCTTACCCCTCCTACACCCAGCTATTCGATAAGCCCCAGTCTTCTGAACCAAACGCTCCAGCGAAGACCACCGAGAGCGTCGGTTTAGGAATCGAAGTCAAGGCCGCAAAAGACAAGGCGTTAGGTAATAGTAGCGGCACCTGTCTAGAAATCACTACCGCGGATAACCTTGATCGCTTCAACCCGGGCTCTGCGCAAGACGGTTCGGTGCGTAAGGAAGCTCCGCAGCCCAAGTTGGCCTTTGACCAAGCAGCCCAAGGAAACTTTGCGCTGCAAGGCTCGAGGTGGGCTCCGCCGCCAGGGCCGCGCTCAAGCTTCCGCGGGCCCGGCTTCCAAGTCTCGCCGACAAAACTTCAGGGCGTCCCTAGCTACGACACCTCCTTCTCCTCGACCGCATCTTTCAGAAGCTCCCTCAACGGCCGAGACGAACAAGGATCCCGTACCGGACAGGAACAGGACGGCTCAGATCCCGAGCGTTCGAAGATGGAGGATCCCCTCCTCCCCGCCTTCTTCAAGCACGGCATATCCTACACCCCCATCCCAGAAGAAAAGAACACCCGCCGCACCGTCATAATCGACAACCTCCCCGTCGGCATCACGCTCTCCGAAGTGCTGGACCATGTCCACGGCGGGGCTCTCTTCTCCGCGGACCTGCTCGACACGTCCGCCATCAGCGCCTCCATGACTGTCATGCTCGTCTTCGTCTACCAAAACTGCGCTCGGGACTTCGCGGCCTCTGCTAAAGCCAACCCGCTCGTCTTCTCGGAGCGTACGGTGAATGTCACGCATCTGAGCTCACATACCTGGCCGGTTCCGGTCTGGCTCCAGCGCCCGATTTTCGTGAACGAGTATACGCGCTGCATCATTGTGCGCGACGCCCCGGGACATGTCACGCCGTTTATCTTGGAGGCGAAGTTGAGGCTGCATCAGGAGATTGAGGCGCATTGGGTGCAGAGCGTGCAGAGGCTTCCGGATCGGAGCATGCAGGTGGTCTTTGAGAATATCAGGGCGGCTGCGAGGGCCTTTGTGTTCTTGACGTGCCATGCGATGTTCAGGACCTGCCGTATCAGCTTTGCGAAGGATCCGTGCGATCGGGCTGCTGAGGTGGCGGACGAGAAGAAAAAGCAGGGAGAGGGGGAAGCTGCGGGTGCTGAAGCGGTGGAGACGGCGCAGTCAGAGCATCGGTCTGCAACGGATGTTGAAGAGGGAGAGATCCTGGAATCGGAAGAAGACCCTGTTCCTGGCGCCAGCCAGGATGCTGAGGATGGGGATGCGAAGGCGGACGAGTCTGCCAACGCCACCACTGATGTAGACGGCAGTCACAGCAACCAGTCCACATCACGCTCGAAGCCGCCAACTCCTGCCACCACCCCGGTACCACACGAGCCCGCCGTCCCCGAGACCGAGAACTCCGCCACCAAAAGCACAACTCCGCCGCCGGCGCCGAAACCCGACCCCTTCGCTGCCCTCCATAACCCCGCCCTTCTCGCCCGCCCACGCGGCCGCCTCCTTGCGCAGCAGTTCCATGCTAGCACCCATCCGGCTTCGTCTACACACCACCCATCGCCGCCCTCGCCGCCGATAACGCCCCTCCTGCCCTCATCTCAACCCCCAGCACAGGCCCTGAATGGCAACGAGCACCCAGCCCGCTTCGCGCAGTCCCCAACGCCTCCCCGCTCCGAGAAAGGAACCGGCAGCCCGAAACAGGTGACGATGCAGCGGCTCGCAAACGAGATGGAGGAGATGAATCTCAGAGAAGCTTATGGAGAGGTTGATGACGATAGACCGGATGGTGAGGCTGGGAGTGTTGGGAGAGGCAGGAGGACGGTCGAGGAGGTGGTGGGGGATTACTGCTGAGATTCACTGGGCCGTGGCATTGAGGGAGCGGCACTCGGCTGGTGATACCCTTCCGGCCATCATTTGCTAGCGGCTCGGAGTAGGGCTTTGGGCTTTCGCCATCTCTTTGCTGCTTGGACGATCGCCTATGCCGAGATGCTACAGGCGTGCAGCCGAATGCGGCGAATGGTGGACCAATGGGCTGACGGGCTGACGTGTGAGGTCGCGGGCGTACTAGGGTGTATGGCATGGCTGGCATGCACATCCATACTTCCCATCATTATTTCCCTTGGTCTTCTACAGCTTCCGGTTCAGATTCATCTGCGCTTGGCGGTTGTATCTGCGGTTCTGGCGTTGCTTCTTAGGACCAAAAGTGGTTTTTCTTCTCCATCCACAGGCAAAATGAGGTCTTTCAATTTCAGGCGCTATCTTTCTCCCGGTAGTTACTGGCTCAATGAAACTCCGTCTGAAGCCTTGCTACCTAGCCGGCCCCAGGCGCCCTGATCTTCTTGCGCCATTCACACGTCTTATTTCAGGATTCTAATCACCGCAGTGCTAGTCCAGCCCTCTCTGCGTATTCTAGTTCCTGCATATGCAGCCTGGGAAAGCCCGCTCACGCGTACAAAACACCGCTTCAGAGAACACGAGCATAAGAAGCCAAAACCGAAGGCCCTCTGGTACACTCCTCCAGACTGCCTACTGGAAGGAACAGCGACAATCCTGTGTAAGGGGAACACTGATGCTGCTCCATCAACATGCCGACGTACCGATGTCTGTAGATAGGGAGTTATGCTGTCCACCCTTTTGAAAATTTGTCAGATGCTTTAGCGGAGTGATCAAGAGAAAATCTAACCCAATACTCAGAGTATTGAATGCCTCGAATATTGAACAGCCAGATATCAGTCGAACGGGTTTTCAACATGCTGACATGTCTGAAAGCCGATCAAAGGCCTACCTCCCATCATCTTCAATCTCGGGGCGCAATGGAAGAAAGCCTCAACAAAACCCAGATTAATTCTACGCTTTCAGAGGAACCATCAAGCAAACAGTCGCCAGCGGTCTATACAATGCAGGAATGCAATCAGTGACGTAAAGCCATCAAAAGCCAAACTTCCTCCACCTCAAACTCGAGAAACTGCTGAACACACCGCTCCAACAAACCCCCCCTTTTCTTTTTTCTTTCACAACCCCAAAAGCGCACTAGCCCCCGCCTCAGACGAGACATAAACCGTCTCATGGCAATCCGTAAAGCCATTGAACCTCGTAGCCGAGCACTTAGTATACGCGCCCATCTCCTCAAAGTACAGCCAATCGCCGACATCCAGCGTCTCCGGCAGGGTGCAGCTAGCCGAGATGCAATCAATACCATCGCACGTCGGGCCCCAGATGGAGTACTCGGTCGGCAGCTTGCCTCCCGACTCCAGCTCATAGCTATCCTCGTGCTCGCCGAAGAGGATGCGGTCGCCAGCTTTCAAGATGCGGGGCACGGGGTGCTGGTGATCGAACATGATGCTGCTGAAGTTGCCGTAGACGCCGTCGTTGAGGTAGAGCATGTAGCTGGTGGTGCCGAGCTCCGGGTCGTGCACGGTGCGGCGGGCGATGACGTTGCAGGCGATGGTGAAGGCGTTGGCGACGTAGTACCGTCCCGGCTCGCCGATGATGCGGATGTGCGGCGGGAAATGGACGTCTAGAGCGTCGGACAACACGGCGGCCATGGCGTCGAAGGTCTCGCTGACGAAGCCGCCGCCCACGTCGAGCGTGTGCAGCTGGAAGCCGAGCGCTTCGGCTTGGTCGAACACGACGCGGGCGTCTTGGACGGCTTTGAGGAAGGCCGCGGGGTCGGAGGCGCCGCTGCCGACGTGGAAGGCGACCCCGACGACGTTGAGCTCGAGCTTCTTGGCCAGCTCGAGAAGATCCTGGGTAGAATCCAAGGAGGCGCCGAATTTGAGACTCAGGCGGCACAGGCTTGCCGAGTCGTCGGTCAGGATGCGTAGGAAGAGCTCGGCGCCCGGGAAGAGCTGCTTGATCTTGTACAACTCATCCGCGTTGTCGAACGTCATCTGCTTGACGCCTTGCTGAGCGGCATAGCGGACATAAGATTTGGTCTTGCAGGGCTGGGCGTAGATGATCCGCGACGGGTCAACTCCCATCTTGATCACCTGCTCGATCTCGGCTTTGGAGGCGCAGTCGAAACCGGTGCCCAGCTCGGCGAGCAGGCGAAGTACTTGAGGATCGGGGTTGCATTTGACAGCTACCACAATGTTAGCTGTTGCTCGCTAAGAGAGATACACAGCTTGTCGGCTCATATAGGCATACCATAGTGGGGCTTGACTCGCTTGAGATTCATCTTCCAGCGCAGGTGCTGGCGGTAGACCTCGCCCATATCGGCCACGAAGAACGCATCCTCCTCTCCCACACCGCAGGTCTCCGAATCAATATTCTCAACACGCTTTTTCAGCGCAGCGCCAATCAGCTGCTTTGAGTCTTGGTAGACATGGTCGCCGGGATTCTTGACAGCCAGACTATAATCCGACTGTTCGAGATTCTCTAGAAACAGCTTGTTCGTGTATTCGGTGATGGTGGCGATCGCAGAAGGTGCCATACCCAGGCAGAAAGTTCTCCTAGTTTTGATTTTGTGGTTTGTCCGTTAACTCGGTGGGTCCTGTTAGGGAGGCTTGAACGGGGCGAACCCGAGGCTGAGTTGTGGGCGAGGCCTCCTCAACTCTTCCCCGGGAAGGAGAAGAGACTCAGAGTACGTCCTATGCGGCAGCTGAGAGGGTGGTGAATCCGGGGAGAGTGTTTGATTCGGAACGAAAATCAAACGCTCAAGTTCAAAAGGCGACCTCAGCAGAAGGAGGCGGTAGGTTGTTGAGGATGTCGCGATGTGGTCGAGTGGATACAATTTGAAGTTCGACTTGGACTATAGCCGGCGGGGCCGTGTTGATAAAGGTGCCTTTGAGAAGACCAAAGGCAGTCTGCTTAGGTTGTTTCCAGGGTGTCTGGAGGGGAAGACTGTCAGTTGGAATTCGTGGAGTTGTTGGAGGAATTGAGTTTTGGGCGAAGTTTGAATGGAGGGCAAGGTTTTTCAGTGTTGTGAGCGGGAACAACCGACCGGGGGATTGACGGGCTAGAAAATCGACGAAACAATGACTAATGCTCTTGGGGCACGCCTGTCGGTATAGGTGACGGCTTCGAGAGGGCGAAAAAGAGGAGTGGTGTTGAGGGGGAGGCAGTGCTTTGCGTGAATTACTGAATTTTGGCCGGTCCGAGGGTCGTGTGGCGTTGTGTTGTGCCTGCAGATGCACGTTCCAGCGATGACGCTCGCCGTCTTGGTTGAAACACCGAATGTCGAAATGCCTTAGCTCAAAATACCGCACTCTAACTAGGTACCTAGTGATCGACCCACCTGCCATCTCCAGCTGCATTCCTTGATGGTATCAAGTATCTGTAGCTAATCATCAAGATAGGCTGAGGGGACTCCTGTATGAAATTAATTCGTCTACGTCACACCTCCTCTGATTGTGAAAGAGTATATCATTCGTCTTCGCCATCATTTGGGGGGTTTCTGGTCTTCCCAAGCCTTCACATTCACTTTGCGCAGGATTCAATCAGTTGAGTGGAGACTTGAGGGATGATTACTACGACGGTCCGGCATGGTCCACGGTGGCGGAGCTCAGGGCGTCTTAGAGCGGTGAATTGGAGGGCCTCCAAACCCTTCATACAGCGCAGCGGATATACTCAACAGCAGCACGTTGATGATAACTAGTCCTTGCGCGGTCCCGTTTGATTCAAGCTTAGACAACTTACTGCTGCAAGGAGTCCATTACACAAAAGTCAATGATCCGATCGCTCCCAAATAACCATAAACGATGTTAAGTAGCAGGCACCGAATCCGTAGCTACAGCCGCTTGGACAATCCTCTTCAGATGATGCTGGACGCCAGTCCGGCTGAGAAGTGACAGATGGGTACAAACGCTTAACTAAGAAGCAGAATAATCTCTTATCCGAGATTGACGAAGGAGCCCCGGCTGTAAAACAAAGAGACACAATCACCAAGCACCGATAAGTGAATCGATCTCAGCTTTCCCAGACTAATGGCGTCTCGGGTCTGTAGGCTCTTCCCTTGTCGCGGAAGACGTACAAGTCGACATGCTCACTGGCGTCAGACCACTCCTCATTACGTGGAAGAGGAAGGACGACATGGCTTTCGATGACAAGGCTCGCGTCTTTCATGTAGTCGAAGAATATCGATTCGCTCTCGTGGCGCACCTTCATGGCTACTACGATGATAGCTTTTGGCGATCGCTTGACGAGCGCTGACAGCGTCTTCACAAGAGCAGGGCTGCTGTCCGGATTGTAAGTGCAATCCGCAACGAGAATCATGTCGAAAAGCCGATCCCGGATCTTGGCGGGTAGTGGTTCCTCCCAGTCGAGAGCCTGGAAAGTTGCTCTCGATGAGATGGCTGGGTTCATTGCAGTGATATTGTGGTTTACGATCTCCTCGGCTTCTGGCAGATCCGTGAGTATTGCTTCGCAGTCGGGCACCGTCTGGGCAAGGCCGATGCCGACAATCGCGCATCCGCTGCCCAGTTCGATCACGTTGAGCTTCTTGTAGGTTGCTGAGCCTAGCACCTGCTCGAGAAGAGGAATGCTCTCTGCCTGGAGGGCCACTGTGCGGTCCAAGTATGCTGTGAGCGCTATGCCAGCATCCCTGTGGTAATGTGAGCATGCTGCAGCGTGGACGCGAGGACATGGCTCCCGCACCAGAGATGCCTGGCTATGCTCTCACCAGTTTCTTCCCACACGCTCAGCGTACGGTGGCTGAGAGGCATGAAGCGCCTCTCGACACGCCTGTGGGCCTCCATGATACCCTTCTCTGGATCGACGACATCGCTCCACGCGGATATCAGAGATGGGAGATCCCCTGAATCGTGATGCTTCTCGAAGTGATCGGAGTATCCGGCATTCCTAGGGCCGACATGCATCCGGATGGGCCAATCCACATCACTGGTAGTAAGGTCGAAGGTAATAGGTAACGAGCGCATGCCCGGAGTCCATTTCAGGCTTTTGCGTAAATAGATGTCCCCATGCGGCTCTGCGGAGCAAACAGTGGCTGCCAAAGCCACCTCATCGGCTAGGAAGCTGTCCCCTAGGTCGGATGTGATGGTAATGAGGGTTATGAGCTTCTTGCCGTCGGTCTTTGGGGTCTTTAGATAACGGATGTACCGCATGGCGGCGTAATGTAATCAGTGACACACGAGGAGCGCTCTGAGCTGCTGATGTGCAGGGAAGGGTTAGCAAAGGGGTCTCAAAGGATGTCGGGACATCTCCGAAGCGCCGATACGGCAGGAGCGGGCTGTTTCTCAGCGTCATAACGGCTGGCACAATGCAGATATGAACCCAGAAGATTGTTCTGGACCGCGGTACCTTAAGCCTTTTCCCCCCAGGCCAAGCTTCAACAAGCGAGAAGCGCTTCAGCCTCCCGCTCCGTCAACTCCGAAGCCCCAAGCTTCCACTGCGCTCCTCCATATCCTCGCTTCGCATCTCCCAACACATGAGCGCTAGGCGTCCCATGCTCCTGAGTCGTAGCTCCTGTTCAAGAAGCGTTGAATCTCTGCATTGCTAAATATTCCTAGGACGCAAAGATGTACAGCCGCAACGACCCGCGTCTCCGGCGGACTCTCAATCAGCTGTCGCAGAACCTTGAGTCCGCAAACGAAACCGCCCAGGTCAACCTCTTTACCTTTTCGCGGAGATACGTAAACCCTTGCTTCTCATCGCTAGGGAACTGCTTCCACGCCTGCACCACGCCATGTTTTCCCACACGCGAAGAACGATTGCGCCGACAACGAGGCCGATCGCGCGGCAGGGCTGAACAAAGTTTCGACTTCTATGACGATTGGGACGAGGACGAGAACGAAGGCCTGCTAGGCTGGGCAAATGAGGGCAATGACGAGCTGGACAGGCTGCTTGCTGGAACTGGCGGATCCGCGCAGCCCGGCCGACAGCGAGCAATGAGCTACGGCGCGCGAAGAGGGCGAAGGAAGAGCGCCGGCCCGCCGCACGATGGGGAAGCGGATCCGACCGTGATTCCGAGTCAGTCCTACTTCGGCTTCTTGGGCAGGCTACCATGGAAGATTGGGGGCAAGGGATTACGGTATAAGCCTTCAGCGGCGGATTTACAAGAGCACCCTGGCACAACACAGCGGACTGAGCTAGAGAATCAGCCACTGACAGAGGAGGACGAGGAGGAAGAGCGCTTTGCCAGAACGCACAAACGAGTCAGAAGCCAGACGACGGGTTCGGGACACACTACAGATTCTCTTAGTTCACGGGGTGACATCTTCCCGAGCGAAGACGAGCTGGATGACGCCATTCCACTGGACGACGAATTTGCGACGGTGCTCGAGCGGCGAACAACCGGTCTCGGGTCAGATGAGAATAGCAGTGGGAAAACACGCTCGGGCAAGAGACCGTCAGGCTCTCGTCCTTCAACGAGGACGCCATCGTCGAGAAGCGCTCAATCAGGACAGACGCCAGCCCCAAAGATCACCCGAGGAAATTCAGGTATTGAGGAGGTTCCCACGCTGTCAGAGTTGAAGCAGGAGGAAGAGAGGGCACAGCGAGAAGAGGAACAAGATGTAGAGCGAAAGCGTGATGCGGCACGCAGGCTTGCCCTGGAGCGCGGGTTAAGCACCACTCGGCAAGCAGACTCACATCCGCCTTCCGTGGAAAGCAAAGAAGAAACGGCAGAGGTCACCCCGCCTGTTGCTACCGTGCAAGTAGAAGATCCGCAAACTCCAACCCCGCCAAGGACGGTTGCTCAATCTGCTTCAGGACCGATACCATTTCCTGCTTTCGATCCGTCGGCAACACCAGACATCTCTCCAGACGTAGCTGAAGATGAGACCAGCTCGCTACGATCAGAGACGCCGGCTGAAACATCGCACCCGCCGGCTTTCGTACCCGCTCAGCTACCAAGTTTCGCCGCCAAACCAGACTGAACAACTGCCACATTTGGTAAAAATACCTTACCCTTACAGTGACGCCAAAGATGGGTATCTATGCTAGCTTAATGCTGGGTGTCGTTAGACACAAGCTCAACTCGAGACGACAATGCCGTTCGAGGTCGCCAGCACGCCAATCCCGTGTCGGCTAAGATCACACAGCTTCGAATAATGTTGTAACGGAGCCATCTCACCCTTGGTGCAGCTCTCGATTTCGTTACTGGGCGTGGCAGCGGCAAGCCAGTTATTCCCGCGTTCATTGCGAGTCGGCTTGCCATGACGTCTGCAGTGTGATCGTGGATATCAAAAGAAGGAACCGGTATTCGATCTCTCGATAGGAATCGTATATCCAGTCTGGTGCCGTAGTATCACGGCGGGACACATGTGAAACGAACGTCCACCGAATTCATAACTCTATATTTACAATGCGCGGCTCATTGCCCTTCGGCGGGCTATGCTCGTACATCTCCCTAAGTAACATGCTCCGTTTTGCTTCTGGTAACAACCCGCAGACGCGACTGCTCATCTCCGGGTCCCAAATTTAAAAAGGCATCCCGAGGCTTCTCAAGGCGCTCATTGTTTCTTCTATCGCCAACTGTTACCCCAGCCACTGCTTCTACTCGTTCTTCACGGGTCAAATTCTGATCCAAGCCTCTAAGATCGCCTCGTGCCGAGACATCAGTGTTACAGCGTCTCGGCGGGCTTATCCGGTCAAGCCCACGCTGCAAGTCCTGAAGAGCAGCCTTTGCTACACCGTCCTTTGTAGAGGCTGGATGTTTCTGCTTGTATCCTGCGAAGCCGATAACGACGCGGCTGGACAAACCGGTACTCGGTCAAGGGCTTCCCTACCACATGCCACAAGGTTATGAAATCCTCTCCACGCCAAGGTTTTGTCCATTCGCTCCATCTGCTAAGGCGATGTACTCTCCGCCTTCAATACTCTTCTTCCACTTGTTCGACTCATACCGCGCCGTAACGATGGTCATTCGCAACGTCGGCTCATCTCCCCGCTGGGCCGGCGAAGGTGTCGAGCTGCCTGATGCAGAGGGAGTTGCTCGCTCCGAGTCCACTGGGGTCGTCAAGGCAGATTCCACTCCTGCTGGGGTGAATGTCCATCTGCCGAAGGCCCAGTTGAGGATGTATCTGCTCGGTTCCTTTACCGTAGATACTGGCGCCTTCTCGCCGTTGGATGATGTAGGCGACCCAGAGGCGTAAAGCACGGCCTTGATTCTATACACCTCGTCCTTGGGCGCATCCTCCAACATCATCATCAACTTGTCCAAGTCCACGCCCTTCTCGCTGTCCCCTCCCACCATGGTCACACTCAGCACCTCAACCTCACTCTGATGCCCGTGCTCATGTCTCTTCTCCCCACCCAAACTCGCCCCCTCCCTCGCCAGCTTCCCATCAAGCCCAAACACGACATCGACCGGCACCCTCCCCATTTCACTCTTCACCGTCGCCGTCTCCGTCTCAATCGCCCCAAGCCGATCATAGCAATCGTCCAGCGCCCTCTCACCCACGCCCTCCCACTTATTCAGCACAATCAGATCCGTATACCGCGCCTGCATCCTCGCCGTGGGGCTCGTGTCTTCATACCCCCTCCAGTTCTCGACATCCACGACCGCAACCACGCCATCGAGCACATAGTGTCCCGTCTCTCGCGCCAGCCGATTCACCTCCATGGCCAGCGTGGCCGGAAACGCGCTTCCAGAGGTCTCGATGACGATGCGGTCGGGGCGTACGTCGGTGCGCAGGGTGTCGAGGGCATCGCCGAGCTGCCCGACGAGGTTGCAGCAGATGCAGCCGTTCAGGAGCTCCTGCACGCCCGAGACGGCGGCCGAGGAAGCCAGCTGTGAGTCTATGGCCAGATCGCCGAATTCGTTCTTGAGGAGCGCGAGCCGGTAGGCTAGGGGGAGCTGGGGGAGGAGATTCAGGATCAGGGTCGTTTTGCCGGAACCAAGGAAGCCGGTTATGATCGTTATTGGGATGGGGGACATGGTGGGGAATTGAGGGGTGTTGCGGTCTCTCGGGTTGGAGGGAGAGGTGGGTGGTGGTCGTATGAGGGTTTCAATAAGGATGTCTATCCTCTATCGGGTTCTAAGGGACGTAGCACGACGTGGAAATACTCAAAACGGTGGTGCGGATGTTATCAAGGAAATTTTTTGGTGTTGAGCTGGAGGGCTCATGCGGGAAATCGCGGAATGGTGGGGCAGCCCTGCAGATCGCGGGACGCTGTCTCGGCCCGAGCGCTTGATGTGGACCCGCGCGGCTCTTCAGTCTACTCTTGCTGCCGGAAAGTTATTCACTCACGTGCGGCATCAACAAACACCGTCGTGATGTTCAATCACGCTGTAAACCTCAGCCATAGGATAAACGATGGTATTATAGTGGCAGAAACATAGCTAGCAGCTAGCTATCTTACTGCAATCGCTTGTTCCAAGAGCAATTCTATCAATCCGTGTGGTATTGAAGATTGAACATCACCGCTAAAACTGTTCGAACGCCGGCTTGGCATTAAATCAGTTTCCGGTGACAAGAGTACACGTGCGATTTATGCACTCGAGTCCCTCGCCTTCGTACTCGTAATGCGGAGAGGGTTTGTCTGTTCGTCGTTCTGCAGTTCACGTTTTGGTGCCCCTGACGTGCATCTTCATGGCAGCGTGCGAGTACGACGCGATGGGACCGCATCAGGTCGCGTCCATGCGATGGTGTGCTGAGCAGCGAAACGCACCAGCTATCGAACCGCCACAGGTATTGAGAGCCTGACGCGCGAGGGCTAGCATTAGGCAGACTCTGTCACTCTATACGGCCAAGTCATCATATCTCCTGTCCGAGGTTGCTCATGCGGAGAGTTACTTTGAATTCCTGCTTAGTGCGCTCAACTGCGGAAGAAATTAGGGGTGCAAGGACGGTGTTGACCGAAAACTGCTCTTGTACAGTCCCCGATCTCTTAACGGGGACCATGCTACTCTATACAAGACCGGTCTTTTTAGTGCATGAAACGCGACACAGGAGTAGCCGGTATACGCGTACGAAACCAAAAATCCTCCCTTGTGCGCTGAAGTGAGTATGCGCTGCAGCGAAAGAACCAAATCAAGTCATAACAGCAAGAAACGTCGTAGGGATAAAGGAAAGCTGCGCGAACCGCCCTTGATTACCCCCTGAGAGAACGCCGAGCAAAAGTATGCTATGAAATTTTATCCGATGAAGCCGCCTAGGATCGTGTCTATCCAACAACAACCTACCTCCACCAGCATACCAAGGAAAATGATCTCACCCTCGACCGAGTCCCGCGCAATTTACGAAGTCTTCGAGGTCCAGTCCGCATTGGCATCCTAAACCGGCCATGCTAGGAGGCGGACTAATCGGTGCAGCCGGCCGTCGTGGACGGTCTACCCGATTGTCCACCACCTCGACGACCTCGTCATCTTCCGCTAGTCGCTGGGGGGGCTCACCTTATCGGCTGCAACTGCCACAACGATTAGTCATCTGCGTCATACTCTGCTTGGTTGGGCAGCTGCTTCGGACCGTCTTTGCGGATCGGAATCTTGATCCCCTGTCCCGCGAACACCTTGCTGAGCGGCGTCGATTCGATAACCCCGGGAAACTTCTTGGCGGAGTAGACTTGGAATTGGTCAGAGAAGACGGTCGCCAATACTGGGGCGCGGCCTTGGTTGAGCGTGTTGTTGCCGGCGCCGCTGCCGACGTCTACGAAATTCATCTTGAGGCTGCGTGGTTCCGCGTTAGTATGTCGGAGTGTTGTAGGGTGAGTGGCGGCGGGGGCTTACCGGAAGGTTCCCTCCGTCCTGACAGACAGATCCTGCAGCACAAACCAGAACCCGACCTTGTTCTCCGTATCATGGAGCTTGAACGCATTAACCGTCAAGCTGCCGATCAAGTTCCTCGTGAACATGCCCGTCGCCTGCGCCGGCGGCGCTGCCACCTGAACCGGCATGGGCGGGGGCGCGTAGGCATGAGGCGGGGCGGGCGGGTACTGGAAGCCGCTGCCCGGCGTCACGGGCGTGGCAGGTGCCTGCTGGTAGTACCCCTGATGCATTGGCGGCCCTGGTGCGTACGGGCTCATTGGCGGTGGTGCGGCCGTCATGGGCTGGCCGTAGGAGTGCTGCATCGGCACGCCCATTGGCATCGGCATGGGCGCCATGTAGTAGGCTCGGTCGGGCGGCGGCGGATAGGACGTTATGGTCGAGGAAGAGATGGAGACGGTTGGTGCGCCGGTCGAGTGCCGGACTAGATTGACTTCGTGCTTTGCATGCTCGTCCCAGAGGTCTACGGTGAGGACGAAGAAGGTGCTGTCGACTTCGCTGCAGTCGGCCGTCACGTTAGCGTTGCTCGTCTGGGGCAGCACTCGTGGCGACTGCGCGCAGACGACTGGAGGATGGACTTACTTGACGGGGACTTCTTTTCCGGTGTTATAGTCTTTCACGATTAGTCTGATGCATGGTGGTGGTGTGATTGGTCTCCGATCCTGTATATACCCGAATATCTTAGCGCTGTTCCGCAACTATGACCAAAGCATGGAGCCGAAGCTCGGCGAAAGAAATCAGTGCTCGGCCACGACGTGCTTCAAGGTGTCCCTTTCGGAGGTTGTTGGTGCAGATCGGCACATGACCGCCCTCCTACGCAGGATTGGCGCGAGAAGTTGAACTCGCCGCACGGCGCGTTGCTGGATGGTGATGGCCTACGCCGGAGTGTTGAGGTGGTATAGTCTTACCTTGTCGCCAAATCCGCACATGCGAGCACGTATCGGCTGCTGTTCGATCACTAAGCTGCCGCAAATCAGTTTCACCGCCCACTTCTAAGAGCGCCGACCGACAACCTACTGAAATGTGCGATCGCCCTTCCTGCCTATGTACCCCTGCAGTGGGTTGTTGTATGAGTGCTGGGTCTGGATGGGCGCCATGCGCATCATCGAGCTGAGACCGGCCATCTCTGCGGACGAAGCTAGTACAGGACTACTGAATTCGGAGTGGGTAGTAGTTGGGAGGGTTGGCGGTACTGGGTATGGGTTGTCTCGTCGTGGTTGCATGTTATAGCCTCGACTGAACCTGCTGCGTGCGCGAGATGCAACCTCTGCTCTTGCCCGAGCCTCTTGCCGCGTATTTCAGGGAAATAGCAGCTCGGCGCGTTTAAGTTCTGAGGATTCGACTCTCTACGAAATGGGCGTTGTGGGCCCCGCGCAGTACCAATGGGTCAGAGTTGCGCAGAGACGTGGTTCAGGAGGAGGAGCAGTTGGGCGGTCCCGCCCAGTAATGGAGGCCCGAATTATAAGCAGGAGGCTATTGGTATCGCAGGCTCATGCTTCTTCAGTCTTTGTCTTCCTCGAGCATTTGACTATGGCACACGTCGTGACAGGCAGCCAGTCGCTGCTGTACAACCTCGCACGGCAACGGCGCCGTTGGAATCCTTGGTCAAATCTCAACGGTCGCCGGGTTCGTGCAGGACTGCGCTGCCCAGCAATACAACGGCTGGCAGGAGCTGCAGCGCTCTGCACCTGTCGACGTGGGTAATGTTGCGGTGAGGGACGGGAGCACCGACGCGATACGGGCACGCAATCGCGAGTCTGCGTGTAACTGGGGTGGAGAGGACGGGGGGGACGGGGAGCTGCTGCGGGCCACGAGTGGGATCAATTGCGCGTACAGATGGTGTTCTGGACGTCCTTCGGGCTTCAAAGAGGAGGCATATGGCGTGCACGACAGCCCAGCTATCGTGGGGATCTGAGGGCCCGGTATTGAATGATTCCGATGTTTGGTTTGCAAGGGTTTGCTCCGGCCGAGAGACCCCAGGCGGTGCTCGCGCAAGACTCGAACGTGCATGATTCGAGACGGCCAAGGCGGAGAGCCAACTGCGCCGCCGTCTCCCTCGGCCCATTGAGCGTCCTCGCAGGTGGGTCGTATCAGCATCAAGCGTGCGATGGTCTGCGCTCCGAGTCAGGATGCGTGGACGGCATCCGGTCAGATATCAATCAGGATCTCGCAACTAGCATTGTGCGAGTAAGTAGCACTCGCTCCTCTACCCAACCGCGCAGCTCCCGGCAAGTCAGACAAGTGGCTGCTCACTCTCATGCACTGCTGTCACATTATCCGCCCCCGCTGCCGTCGCCACAGCTCGCAATCGACCAGTAGCGGAGAGGGTCTACGACACCAGAGACGCGGACACGCGCCTGGGCTGCCGCACCCGCGAGAGGGTTTTTTCCCGTCGCCATGTCCATGACTCCAGATCCCTGGAGCCGGAAGCCTCTAGCGAGGGATCGTGGGCTTCTGGGTATTTGGAGGCTGCGTCAACCTGAGGCACAGCAGCGCTACTGGGGTACCTTGACAGTCTGAGGCGCATCAGGGAAAGGTTCAAATTCTAGCTTGTAAGTAGCTGAAGCCGCAGTCTTTAATCACGTCGCGACGGTTGAGCGAAATGAGATTTGGTACTGTCTTGAGGTATATACATAATGCGCTGTACGCGGTGTGTTCGGCTTAGTACGGCCTCACCCCTGATTGTGGAAAACCACCGTTGAAAGTGGGAAGGCGAATATTTGCTCTTCCCAACGCCGCGCTGTCATGCGTATTATCATTCGTTAGCACATACACGGAGAGCCTAGCGATTCCCACCGTCCCAGCCACTTCACGTGCGACGTTACGTGAACCACGATACCGCTGCGATGAACCGTCTACTACGACAACGAGGTGGGCATAAGCTTTTGTTCTGGCCAACTCCAAGGACTATCATGAGCCGCGCTACTGCAGGGGGCGCTGCAGGTAGTTCTCGTTATTGGCGAAGCTCCCGATGATCGCCAGCGGTCTAGCCGTAGCGTCCACTAAAAGTGCATCCGAGATATCAACAAGTGGCTCAGCCAAAGTGAAACAATGTTTGTTTCTTGTTCTTGTTGCCCTTCTTCTTCGGTTCCGTCGCGGCTTCTGCATCCAGGTCTGCATCAGCAACAGAGCTCCCGGCAGCTGACGCGCCAGCACCCCATACGTTCAGCGGAGTGCTTCGCCCGCTATTGTCTCGCCTTATGCCGTAACCTGTGTAACCGGGAGTGAAGGCGGTACTCGTAGGCTTCTTAGCTTGTGGTAAAGCAGGAAAGGCATCCGCTCCAGCAGGTGCACTTCTGTTCAGTGCCGTGGAGGACGCTACACGTGACGGTATGGGCGAAGGCCTTGGAGACGCAGACGCGCCAGCCCAAGGCACGGGTCCGACTCTGCCAGCACCTGCACGGTTGGCTGAGGCTGCGGCACCTGCCGCGAGCGGAGGGAAAAGACCTCCCTCACCAGCAGAGCCCCAGCTGCCCTGTCTGTTGGCGGCGGAACGAGATGACTGTGCCGTAGAGCTTTTGAGCCTGAGAACTCTCGACCCACCGTGGCCGACAGAGGAAGTCGTCGACGCTGATACGCCTTGGCTTGGGCCGGGTAGAATAGGATAATCCTCGTTAATCGCCTTCCAGTCACTCCAGGCTTTAAGCAGGTTGTCTCGTTTCGATGGTATCTCAAAGATTTCCGCAAGTTCCTTGACCAGTTTCCCCAGCTCCTTCGTATTGTCGAACAAGGCTACAAAGTGGTCCACAAGCTCTGGCGCAGTAATCGAGGAATTCTTATACGATGAAACTCTACTGCGGAACTCGGCAAGCTTGGTCTGATCGTTGCGCAACAGGTTAGCTGCTCGTTCCTGGACTGCATTATGGCGCAGTTGCCGCGCTTGTTCTTGCGGTGTAAGTGGCGCACGGGCTAGAGGTGTCGCCGAGTTGGTTCCTAGATTCAGGGACGCGAGAGATGGGAATATTTCGGTGGTACCGACTGGTTGTGCAGCCGCGACTGTTGCAGGTTCTTCAGCCCTTGGCGGCGGTCTGGCAGCGTAGATGTCCGTCGATGTCAGCTGGCCGCCGAAGTTCCTTGTTGAGACAGACTGAGCACTCTGAATTGCCATCTGGCGTTGGTAAGCCAACTCATCTCTGCGCAACGGTTGAGCGGAGGATGCTGGCAGCGCTTCTGTGTTGGGGTCACGGCCTCTGCCCCTGCCGCGGCCCTCTCGCCTGTTGCCGCGCTCCTGCTCTTGCGATTGCCTGTAAGCAAAACCTGAGACGTCTACTCTTCGTGCATCACGCCGCGCATCTTTGGTCATTCCGTTGGGGTGGACTTCAAGCTGATGCGCCTTCAGGTCCATCTCGGACTCAAAGACAACAAACTTCTTCTCCAGACACTCTCGGTCCGGGCAAAGAAAGTGGTCTTTCCGGAAGTGGACCTCCAACGCATCGTAGTCGACATAGTACTGCTGTTGCCGGCCCGAACTGCGTCTGTCACAAATGTGGCATCGTTCGTGCTTGTCTCGACAATGCGCGTATAGCTCGTCGTCCCCATAGAAGCGTTCGTGGCAAAAGCCGCACTCCGGATGACCCTTGAAGCCGGTTTGGTCAATTGCACCCGGGTTGTCATCGCCGAATTTCTGATGCTTTCGCAGTTCCGCTGGAGTAAACAACTCATGTTCGTGCGTAAAGACCTTCTTGTTCTGCGTGCATAGGTTGCTACAAAAAATCAGCACAAGTGGAGATAGTTGGCTTGAGGATGTACTTACCACATAAGCTTGTGGTGTACGCTTTTGACGTGCCTGTGCAGGTCTGCCCACCCCATACATGCGACATCGCACTCGTGGTCAGGGCAGTTGAACTGCAATAGAAGAACCGTTTCATCGCAGATTTCTGCCTTTTCATATCGGATTCCAAAGTTATCATCCGTCTTGACGATCTCGTCTGGGGCAAAGTCCTCGTATCGCTTGGTGGCGTTGTCGGTGAAGATGACATAATCTGCATGAGTCTACCGGCAGTGTACTGTTAGCAGTCGTTGCTAGAACATGGAATACTCTCTTACCCGACAATGCGCGCAAGCCTTCGTCTTGTACAGCGCACGGTATCTGAGGGCACAGATGTGGCAGGTTCTGTGGTTACAAGGTGTCACAGAATTATGCCTAACGGGTGATGCACAGATGAAGCAGACTTCCGCCTCTACCTCATCTGCAGCATCTCCCTTTGTCTCTCCTCCCCTAACATCGCCTTCAGTGGCAGTGGCATCTCCGGTCAGGCGGGCACCGAAGTTGCCTCTGTTCGCAAGAGGCGGCGGCGGCACTGTTGGAGCTGGCTCTTCTGCTCCGCCGTTCATGTTCATGGGCCGGGTATTTTGGTAATCCCCTCTGCCACGATAACCCCGCCCCCTTCCCCCGCGGCGGCCACCCCGGTGCCCTCTGTCGCCCTGTCCGAAAGTACGGCCGTCAGCCTCGCCGCTTGTGGTTCTTGCATGGCCTCCTCTTCCTCTGTACGTGTTCCCTCTACGCCGTGGGCTTGTAGGGTCGGTTGATGGTGGTGGTATGGGAGTCTCTGTGTGCGAAGCCATTTCTTGCGTCAAAAGTGTTTCTATTGGGGACTTGTGGTGTGTTCGACAGGGCGTATTCAAGAGGGGGTGGGGCCTCCGCAGCTTTTGTTCCCGCTCGGCGATTGCTGTGTAAGTGAATGTGTTGTGAGCAATCGTTGTCGCGGAGTCATTTGTGCCTTACCGTGGATCTACTGGAAGCGATGTCAAGTGACGCACACTCTGCCTTACCCGCTTGCAGCTAGCCCGCAGAAAGCTTAATAATAACCCGGGCGCAGGTCAGCCCTATAAACTTTTGCTGTTCAGTTCCAGCTGTCATCTAATTTACCGTGACCAGCTGCAATAGCTAACGGGTGAGATGCCTCCGAGTTACAAATTTTGCTGAAGTCACAAGGGCGGAGCACTCTAGAGGACGGGAGTCCCAAGCTGCAGCCACTTAGACGCTGCCATGTGGTGACCGGGCTCGATTAAACGGCTTTGCACTCTTACACAGCTCAAGTGGAGTGATACAAGTACAAAAACGAGTATGCATCTTGTTGTGTGGAGAGCTGCTTGCTGTGCAAAACGCTAAGGTAGACGCGTAGGAAAGACGCGGAATCATTACCATTAAATGTCCTCCCTTAATCATTACATGCAGTCGAACTGTGTAGCAACAAGCCGATATACAGCAACATATCTTATGAGATGCTGTGCGAACAGCATTATGAGACTTTCAGTCAGATCTCTCCTCACAGCTCCTTCAGTCCCTGCTCCTTGTCATCAAACTCATCCCCATAGAAGTTCCTCTTGAGACCCGTCAACTGCTCCCTATCACCACCAACCTGGTCCTTAAACCAGCCCTCCATGCTCTGGATCTGCTCCGTCCACTTCTCCGCCTCTCCCCTGCACTTCCCCATCCTCTGCCTCTTCCTCTCGACCTCAACCGGGTCATTCTCACTGTATCCACTCAACTCGCACCTCAATGACTCCATCTCGCCTGTCAACTCCTTTAGCGTCACCTGCAACCCCTCCCTTCCTTCCCCCTCCATCAACATACCCCCATCCTCCTCCCTTTCCCTCTGCGCATCCTCCACCTTTCTCTTCAGCTCCTCGACCGCCTTACCCGCCTTCTCTCGTTCCTCCTTAACCTTCTCCAACACCGCCTCCTTAGCGGCCTTCTCCTCGGACGCAAAGCTCCAGTACCAGTTCCCGCTGCCGATCTTCTCGACCCGGATCTTGTTCTCGTCGGAGAGCGCTTGCAGGTAGTCTTTGACTTGCATCCCGTTGATGGACGCGACGGATGGGAGGGCCTTTTCGAGGCCTTTGATGCTGTGCGCGACGCCGGAGGTGCGGAAGTAGGTGAGGATGAGCGCTTGCTTTGCGGCTGGGGGAGTGGGTTTGGGCGCCTGGGGTGGGAGCGGTGAGTGTGAGGTGCGTGGGAGATGGAGGGCGAGGGCGAGGTTGGCTTACCATGATGAAACGCGCGCGACGTCCAGTGTATACGCTATAGGTTTGTGCGTCACCGCGGGAGGAAGTTCGTGCTGGTGGCGAGCCAAGTGTTGAGACGCGTGCTTGGGTGATGTTGGAGTGGAAGTGAGTGCTCAGGACGCGTCGGGGACGAGACCCAAGCGAAACGCGAGCATCTGAAAAATTCCGGGAAGAGGAGAGTGTAGGTCACAAAACAGCATCTCAAATCACATGTGATAAATAGTTTCTCTGCGTATGAAGGCTTTCGATGATGCCTGTACTACATCTGCTTCCTCCGGCTTTGGGAGCTAAAATCCAGGGAGCTCAGAGTGCTAAGCAGCTGGGATTTTTGGACCTACACCTCAAGCGAAGGAAGAAAATTACCGCTACAACTTGTATTGTGTGTTATCCACCGAATGATAATGCAGGACTCACGGGTCCAGGTGGGTTCCAAGAGCCTCTCCCCATGTGACGTAAACTAAGCAGGGCTGCGGTTCAGCAGGGCGAGACCTACGAGGCCTTTCGGTCAACAGCTCTCGGCTCAAAGATGTGACTGGCTCTGGATGCATTTCTAATACTTAACGCTCCATATTCCGCGTAGCAGGATCTGGAGCATCAACCCCTTAACACCTGCAGCCTGTGGCCAGTACGGTCTATATCGGCCCCAAGCAGCTAACTGTTTGTGGCCGTAACCCCTTCCCTAAGGTGTATTTATTCCTTAGCGGCGTGGACGGTGGGAGTGAAGCGATCCATAACCTTGATGGTGGGTGCAGTCTGAAGATGCTATAACTTTACTCGAATACGGAAGGGCACCAGAGCTTTCAGTATCCGTTTCGGTTCTGTCGAGGGATGGCATGGCGCCCGTAGTCCATCAAGACAAGCCCCAGCGGTCTGAACAACCACGACCTTCGTTTTGGAGTTGTCCGCCGAAAAGATCAACACGGAGTCCAATCACTCGGCTCCCATCCTAACCACCACCACTGTCCATGTCTGACACGGACCCGCTCGATGCTTGAAGCTCTGTCGGGGATGCTACGCTCGCGGCTGTGTTGGACTCAGCTCGCTTTCTCTTGCGCGTACTTCGTCGTTTCTGTGACTTCTCATGCGCACTCGCATGGGTGATCTGGACAGTATGCTGATTTGGCTGCCGGTTCACTACGCTTCTAGCCCAGGCCGTGCCATTCCAATACCGAGTCCGATCCACGCGGTCTTCGTCACCGCTTCCAACCAGAGCCAGATCACCGGTTTCGTCAAGAGCAGCGGCAGCCGCTTCTTCCATAAGGATACCCATGGCCAAGAGGGAGGTCTCGTCCAGTGATTTGAAGTCCTTCGCTGCTGTAGTGGCGGGAGCTTCCGAGTAATAATCTGAGGCGTACGCGTGCATCGCCTTCAGCAAGTCCGAATCCGGCAAGATTTGGTTGGACTCGAGGTACCGGCTGGCGAAGTAAATATCGTTTTCCTCGTACCGCGCTGGGGCGTCTTTGCGCTTGAAGAGGGCCTCCTCGGGCGGAATGGGAAGAGTCGATGAGGACGCTGTGTTCCGGTCTTTTGCTTTGGCTGGCGGTAAATCTAGAAAGCCATTCGGTCCGACGCGACCTGTTGGGAGCTTAGTCCGAGTTGGAGGTCCAGATGGTCTAGCCCACCTGCTACTGCGTCGTAGACGGTAGCCTCCCTTCTTTTGCGCTTAAGCTGTTGCGCGGCGGTGGCATCGTCTAGCTGTGTGCTCGGCATAGTTTCAGTTGGCTTGTAGAGCTGGCTGCCAGGTCCCAGCTGGGTGTTGTGGCCGTGCCGGATATACAGCCCAGGAGGCGGTGTGGTAGAAGCCTCTCAAAATACAAAGAACCGGTGCTTGTTCGACCCTAAGAACCGCTGAGAAGATGCTGTGTCAGTCAAAAGGCAAAGTAGCAAAAGGCCAAGAATATACAGCAGTAGGCATTCGCTAGTGGCTACCCACCTACTGATCGATTATTTGCGAGCCTCTGTATGAAGTAGGATAGGGCTGAGGCTCGGCGGATCAGACCGTGGTTGATCCGCTCCGGTGGCACTATAGATGTGCACCATGCAACGTAGCACAAGTCGTTGAACTGACTCGAGGTCCAGCCGGTAAGTGATTTTGTTATATGTTAGGCTACAACGACGTTTTCCTTGGAGGAAGTATTATACAGACTGATAGAGAATCATGCCTTATCCTTAGCAGATGTCTAAAAATAAAGTTTAGCTTGTGCGGGGAGCTTTACAGTTAGTTTGGAGAGGGCGGACAAATCTCGGTCAGTTCACAGACTTCTGCTACGTTGCCTGGCACCTCGTGCAAGCAGAAAATAATATGCCCGATATCCAGCTTGAAGCCCTTGCAGTAATATAATGACACCAAAAAAAGTCCCTGCCTCCCGGATCTCCTCCTTTTGTGCTCAAGTGTTACCCTGAAACTCCGTCTTGCTTGTCGGAACCACAAAGCGCTTGCGTCCGCTGACGAACCAATCAACTAGAGCAAGCAGGATAACCGCCACCAGAATCGGCCCTGCGTAATTCATGTTGACCGCCGTGACAGGCTGAAAGGGCGGGAACGGGAGCATGACGACCATAAACACACCGAAAGCGAAGCCGAAGCAGTTGATAGGGAGGCTCCAGCGACCGAGTTGAAACGGGCCGTAGACCGGGGGTCGCCCTTCAAGTTTACGTATGATGACAAAGAGTACCGGTATCACATATGATGCGTACAGGCCGACGGCTGTAAGGGAGAGGATCGCGTTGAAAGCTTCCGTGCTACCGATGTTGATTAGGCCGAGCAGGGCGGATAGAAGGGTTACCAGACCAAGCGAGTTAAGAGGAATGCGGAGCGTGGGATGAACCTGCGTTATCGTCAGTCGGGTTGTGAACATGACATTTATAGTGCATTAATTATGAGGACAGGAATGCAAGACATACACGGGCAAAAAAATCAGAGAACGGAAGGCCTTTATCCTTTGCAAACGTCCATGCTAGTCGAGATACAGATGCATATACCCCGAATAGGGAAATGCACTGAAGCAAGGATATCATGGCGACCAGAACATTCGTAGCGGCTTTCGATTTGGTCGCTTGGTAGTAGATCGCGATGATTGGATACCCAGTTGGGGTATTGGTGACGGCGTCGACGTCCCCAATGCAAAACAGCATTGCTATCACGAAACCCAGAGCCATGATGGCATTAAGGACCACTGCCCACATCATAGCTCGTGGGACTTTCCTCGGCGCATCTGTAATTTCATCACTTAGATGAATCACGCCGTCGAAGCCTGGGATAGATTAGCAATATGAGCGGTGGGGGATATCAATTCGAACTTGCCAACAAGGATAATTGTCACTGAGAGTAAACCGAGGCACCACTGTACACCCTCACTGTCCCACCCACTTCGTCCGAAGAACGATTCGGTAAAGACAAATTCGGCAGACTTTTTCGGCGCCATAACCACCAGAACGACTATGCTAACAATGAAGCAGAGGATATGAAGTATTCCACCAGCAATTTCAATCGGCGGCAGCGCTTTTCTGGCCCAAATGTTGAAGACAAATGGGACTAAGCAAAAGGCCCACATCAGTAATGTACCATGCACACGCTGAGGCACGTAGCTCTCAACGTTGAGAATTATGAGACCTTGGATAGTAGTGCCGTTCAGGAAAGGTATAGTGGCGCAAAGGCCGATCCATGAAAACAGCTGTCCATTATTAGCAGCAGCCTCGTCCGATGTCTCGTTCAGGGATCTTACGGTGAGCCAGCCTATACTCCGTTAAAACTGGCTTTCTTGAACAGGATGCTGAAAACGTACCTTGCATCAAACTCCAAAACGCAGGAGTCATTGCCCTAGGAGCGTACATACCTGTCCATCGGTACTGCGCCCCAACATACGGATGACTGAAGTCCATGTCAATTGCTCAAGCTCATATAGACGACCTCAGAAGAAGAAAGAGTAAGACTATACATGGAAGCCAGTTCGGCCAGCGAAGCAGCAAGCGCGAGAGTCCCCAACCCGGCGAGTACAAGCCCGTAGACGAGCGCAGTCGGACCACCGTTTATGAGAGTAGATTTGACGGTCATCGCAATCCCCTCCCACGAGGCGAGGACCGTCAATCCAAAAGCGATTGCGGGCTTCAGCGTGATATATTTCTACCTCACGTTAGTCTCACGACGCAAGAACACTCGGTCCAGCCAGAAAACCGACATCCAGACGCCGTATTGAGCCGGGTTCCGCAGGATGCATGTTCGAGCCGATTGGAGCATCTTCGTCTTTAGACTCGAGGCCAATTGGTACAAACTCCGTTGCCATGCCTTTCTCATGCGTCATGATTCATATGAGTTTGGTTTTGTCAGTGTAGAAAGTGGAATCAGTGTGGTAGAACAAAGGTGAAATGGGAAATCTAGGGAATCCGAGGGCACAGAAATTCAATGCAGCTCCTCGCTTTCGCGGGGCTTAGTGCTTATTATCTAGATTGCCTGGGCAAGTGCAGGATTCTGGCGATCAGAAGAACGCAAGCCTAGGCTCCTGCACATCGGCCGCTTTGGAACTGTAGCTGATGTGCATACGGCTGGTAGGACGCAGATGTACAAGGGTCAGTTATGAGCGGGCTGAATGCGCACCCTGTCTGCATATCCGAAATCTTGTGTGACAAACAGGGGCTTTTTGCAAATGGGAAGAGCAGGATCAAGCAAATCTGCTGCACATTACCCCACAAAAAACTCAGACGAGGCTTCTTCACTGGCTGTAGAGTAGTTAAGCTGTGGCGACGGCACGGGAGACAGGAACGAGCCGCGCCTCACGGCAGAGCACAGACATGATACCTAGGTAGCTTCAGGGAGAACAGACACAATGTTGAATATCACGTGTCAACCAAAAGGGGAGGCTGGTGATGCAGTATATAGCCAGCCTCTCCCACGTCCATAGATGAATCAATGAAGCTCTTAGCCCTGCATTTCACCACACGACATCCAAGGCTCAATCACGAGCGAGCTGGTAGTGTCCGAAGCCTAGCGTGGTACCTTTTGTAAGTGCTTTCTGCAAAAAGGTATAACGGGAAACAGTGGGGGCCAACCAGCCCGTCCTTGCAACACGCTTTGTGATGCACCCTCACTTGGGCAAGCGATCACTTCTCCGGGGCGCCATGAACCTTTACAGGGTGCGCGAGTCATGCGTGCTTCATGCTTTCATGCGACCGCTTGACGCCACGCCAGGACATGCCTTGCAATCTTTCAGCCGGAAAACGACTTCTGAGATAGGCGCTGCCCGCGCAGCAAGCAGGATGTTCATCTTGAGACGCCCAATAGCGCTCTTTTCACACCTCAGAGCTTGCACAGCCCGACATCTGATTACCTTACCTGCCCGCCTTCCTCCCGCCTCAATAAGAGATTTGGCAAGAGGGAGCGCGGTGCGAATTTGGATGCCAGTGGCTTGAAGGATCTGCTTCTGCATTTATCTGCACAGTTTACGGCCTATCCAGATACTGCTCATGTCAACCTCCTCGCCTCGCCACCTCGTACCATGCCAGGCAGAGTATGGAATCAAGTCTCGCACACAGCATACTCATGACCCGAAGGAGACCTTCCTTATTTTTCCGCGGCAAACATCTTGACATAAGACTCTATCTCTCTTCTATTAGCCTGGACCTATCCCGCGGATACTATTCGACCCCAAAATCAAGACCCTCCTCCTCGCCCTTTCCATCATCATGTCGTGCTCGACGATCTATGCATCTCCGATCAGCGTAACCCCGATTATAGAGGTGCCAGCATCGTTATTGTGACCTATTCGCTCTTGCTGATCCCTATCAGCTTCGCTGTTTTGCGAGTGTTCACTGCCATCAAATGAAAACAAGAGTTTGGGTAGGACAACTCAACCTTTCTGATAGCCATGCTAAGTGCTCAATGGTTCTTCTTCATACAGGGCGGTACTTCTTCAACCGCAATTACCGTGGAGAATATGGTGTATCAGTCAGAAGACAGAGCAGCAAAAAATCAAAGACATACAGCAGCAGGTATTCGCTAGTAGTCACCCACCTAACTACTAATCTACCGATTCAAAGCTTATGTGAAGGCAGAGCGAACGGGATGCCCAGTATCCTTTGATCTATGGCCGTATGTGAAAGGAAGGAGTGGTTATAAAAGTAATAGAGAAAACGACGTCGAACACATGAGAGGACGTAAGTCTCTCTCCGCTCCCATATGGCAAGACCGGGTCCAACCTCTCAAGCAGAATAATATTACACATCTTCATCACGCACGGAGTACAGGAGCTTCGGACATCACGTCTCAACTACGCCTCGAGGCAAGATTTTGCATAGCCCGGCGTATCTCACTGCTGAATGTATATTATTGTTAGGGATGTATGGCCCCAGTTTGAGTGAGATTGTTCTCAGGCATGTTCCGAATAACGAGGATGACCGCAAACAAGAACACGCTTCCCTGTTGGAGCGCGACCCATGCTAACATTCGGTGCAAGATGCGTGAGTCCCACAGCACGGTCTACGGATTCTATTTGGGAACGTAATCTAGGAGGCTGTGCTCGAACGGTAGTACCACGCGCCAACCAGCACAGCAGGCTTTCGATTCTGCACTCTGCCTACAGCAACTACCTTGCAAACCGGAAGTGCGGATGATCGTCACCCAGGTTATCAGCATCCGGTCCCTCAAGGCGATGATCCCTCTCGCCACGATCTCGCTTTTTGTTTTCAACGGTGACACCAAGAAAGAGCACTGTACAGGCTGCGGCGCATACCCATAATAGTCCTAAACTGCTACCGTAGCCTGTGGGGTAAAGAGGAGCTTCCTTAGTCACGTAGACATTTGAAGCAACGATACCACCCAAATTGCCGAAGCCGACTTGGAAGGCCGACGATATCGCGCGCTTGTCTGTCATTGCGTTAGGACTGACCCGGTACTAAACGGTATGGCTGACTTACAGTGTCCGGACATGCAATTGGAGACCCAAGCCAAAGTGATAGGCTGGCAAATGTAGCCGCCAGACGTGATGACAAAGAGAGCGAAATACTTTAATCCAACCGGAAGATCGGAGCTCTGTTGAGCAAGCAGAATGGCGTATCCGGCGGTGGCAATGAGGATGCCAAGCATGCAGAATGAATAGCGATGTCTTAGGCGGTCTGTGAGCCAGGCCGTAGACAGCGAACAAACGGCTGCGCAGGCGAAGACCGGAATACTGCGGATTTGAGCGCTTGCCGAAGTGTAGCCCATCTCTCTGATGATCGTGGGTACAAAGTACTACAAATTATATCAGTATTTGCGCATCAAGGTGTTCACCGGCTGGGTATTGCATACTGAGGTGGAATAACCAGTATTAACGATGCCGAAATACATGACGAACCCGCAGTAACTGGACAGCATTAGCACAACGCGGTAGGGGCTTGTAGACAACGCGCCTGATGCTTACATTTTCCAGTCGAAGATGATCCTCTTCCATGCACGCTTGTCGAGCGTGTTCATATCGGCACCTCCATTGTCTTGCTTGAGCCGGGCGACGAGCATCCTCCGTTCATCCTCATTAAGGAATTTCGCGGTCTCGGGCCAGTCAACGATCCAGAACTTGGCGATCGCACCAACGACAACCGTGAGGATCCCTTCGATGATGAAGATCCACCGCCAACCGCCATAGCCAGCAATCCCGTCCATCTTTGCCAAGGCGAATGCGAACAGGCCCCCGAAAGCCCCAGCGACTATACTAGCGCTGAAGAAGAGCGACAATCGCCATTGGAGCTCGTACCGCTTGTAGTACATGCTAATGAGGTACACGCAGCCTGGAAAGAGGCCCGCCTCGAAGAGACCGACAAGTACCCGCATGGCGATAAGGCCGCCTTGTGTCGTGATGAGGCCTTGCCCTATGGTCGCGATGCCCCATAGCACCATGATTGCGGACAGGTACGTCGACGGCGCAAGTCTCTTAATCAAGATATTCGAAGGAACTTCAAATAAAATATAAGGGATAAAGAAGACCAGAAGAGCGACATTGTAGTCGTTTCCGACCATCTTGAGCTCCTCAGTAAGCCCTTGGATCCTCGCGTTACCTGTACTACAGTCAGTCCTATGCCCACAGCTTTGTTGGATAAGAAGAAGGATTCGACCACTGCTCGGTAGACCTACCTATGTTTGTCCTGTCCAGAAAGGCAAGTAAGAAGATTGTGAAGAGAGCTGGCACAACACGGATATCACATTTCCGGATGAGCTTCTTCTCAGCGACAGGATCAAAATCGAACAAAGGTGGGGTGTCATCGCTCTTGATATCATCCATGTATACTGCAGTCTGCTTTTCTGCTAGAGCCATCTGGACTGTATTCTTCAAGAATACCGAGGTGAGAGGAGAGGAGCTCCAACGACAAGTGAGATACAAAGATGTCGCCTTTGGAAGCAGCTCTGCATGCAAGGCAGGGAGGCCCTCCTGCAATGATATATGCTGCTTGTCAATCTGATTGCGGAACTGGACCGTTTCTTTCCACCTACGAACATCCTACATCTACCGGCAACCTGCACTAATAGAGCGCCTCCAAAGACCGCAACCAAGTGCCGCTAGGTATAGCACTCCCGCGAAGAACGTGCGTCCCAGTGGGGACCCCGCAGGTGCAAGGCCGGATAAAGCTCCTGCATGCATTGGCAACATCTGGTTGGATGTTATGCAGCCCGGACAATCTGCCGATGTATGTATCCTAGGAACACGGAATGTTTCCGCGTAAACTTGGCCGCCAGCGCCAGCCAATTGTTTTGAGATCCGAGGATCTGAAGGCTAGATGTTGCAGTTTGGTTGGTTGAGTCGGAAGATGGCAGCTTTGGAGACCATGGACGCCCCAAGAGCGTGGAAGTGCAGCGAGGGACCCAGAGATGAATGAACATGGCTGTTGCACGTGTTTTGCATCACGTGACCGTATCAACACAGGCGGCGCAGGCATGGGGGATGTGGCGGGGCACGAGCGTGATCCCCAAGAGCTCGCACGCGCGGTAGATCCGGGAGAATGTTGGGGCGAGCGAATGTGTGCTGGCGGTGGACTATGTGGAGGAGATTGAGGCGGTGGAGCGTGAGTGGGTGAGGAAGTTTAATAATCCGGGGAAGGGGGTAGGGTGTTAAGCTTTTTGAGGGGTTAGATGGGGCGTGATTGGTGGGGGTATGGGGGAAGTGAAGGAATTGGTGGGGGTGGGATGGTGGAGCTATTGCGCGGAGGGCATGAAGTTCTATGGAAGGGTTGGTTCTCGTAGCTCGGGAAGAGGTAGTTGTGCGCTTCCCAGGGGGGTGGGAAATCGAAAGCTTAACTATCCAATTGCTGATCATAGAACAAAACAAGACATCTGATGATATCTGCCCACGCCGAAGGCTCCCAGGGGAAGTAGAGCCGGTTCAGGACTACGAGGTCCTTAGTCTATCTCAGTTCCTCCCTCCCACCAGCTCCCCGCTCCCTCTCCCACTGCCTCTCCGCCTCACACCGTTCGTGCTCAGCACAACCTTGAGGCGTCTCCTGCCTCCGCCTCGCATACAGCGCGGCGCCCCTTGCGGCCGCAAACACCGGATCTGCAAGCTTATTTGCATCCAGATCAGCAGCAAGTGTCGTCTCGGCAGACGGCCCAACAAGCTCAGCCAGCGAGTCCCTCAGGACATCTAGGAACTTGGCATCTGTGGCACTTTCGCCTGCCAGGAGGAGCTTGGTAATGGGTCTGTTAGATTTTTGGGGAAGAGAAAGAAGTTAAGATCGGATGTACGTCCAGAAATCTGAGGGGCTGGTGTAGGTGGGGAGGCTGTCGAGACCGGAGTTGAAATCCATAAGGTAGATCTCGGTATCTGATGTATATTTGAAGGCGGACCTGAAGGTGTCGAGGGTGGTGTATAAGGCTTGGCGGGTGAACCTGGTATCCTATACTTTAGTATAGACGTGGGGGGAAGGTAAGCGGAAGGTGTAGTAGACGAACGCTTGACGGGCCAAAAAGTAGTCAGTCACGTGGAAGCTGCGTTTGCTTGCAGCTTGCTTGGTGGAGAAGCAGAGCAGCAGCGACACGTGACTAGATTCCTTTCTAGTCCGTCGCATAGATCGTTGATTGTACGGGTAACGAGGGGAATACATACGTTATGGTGTAAACTGAATGCCCCGGCATCCTCTGCTCCTCGTCCTGGCACTCATACAAATACTTATAAGTTTTACAAAGGCCGTTGCCATTAGCCGCAAATACGGCTCTGGATTCTGAGAGGATCTTGGGATATGGGAATGAGTAGGCAAGCCACGAGCGCAGTCCTGCATACTCGATAGCATCGTTAAGATCCTCTGAAGTTAGGGCAGGTAAGAGAGGCGTAGTGACGACTACTCTGTCCATAGGGTATGCAGGGAGTGCAGACTGGGTTGCTTTATATAGATCGGCGATCAAGCTGCTCAGGATACCTACGTCGGGGGTAGAGGGGTAGCCGAGCTTCTTGTTAAACCAGCGAAGGTATCTTTGATATTTGCTTTGTGGAGGCGGCGGTGGGGCGTGAGCAAGACGGAGCATAAGTTCTATGTAGTCCGGGTTTGCAGGCACTTTGGCTATATCCACTATAGAGCCGCCGTACATGTGCACGGCCGAGGTGCTGTATGAGGTGTGAGACGGACGCTGGAAGACTGTGTGAAGTCGAGATACCACTTACCCATATGAGATGGTGAGGTCGAATCCTACTCCAGGCGCGTCATGCACTACTGCTGGGAGACATGCGGAGCACTCCCGCATAGGACAACGATACGCGGCATACCCGAGACTTAAAAGGACAGCGAAGAGGATTAGTCTGTTTGGCCGGAGCCATCTGGGAAACAAAAGTGCCATCATGCTGGACATTGGTGAGGCGAGGTGGGTGAATGTCGAAGACAGAAGTGCCAACAGCTTGATGGATGGTTGTAAGGCGTGGGACCTACAAGGAAGGACTGCTATATATTCCTTCAACTGCTTGAGTGACTCAATTTAGACGTTTCGCTGATCGAATGTTCGTATCGCGTTTAGAGGTCGAGATCAACGTTGTTCCGTCTTGGCTTGGCCATACATCAAATCAGCGAGCGTTGAGTCCACAGAGCTAAGTGTAATCATAGGACATATGGTAAGACTATCATCCGGGCCATTTTGCACGCTGAATGTGAGGCGTTGACAAATGGTTGCCTGGCCGTATGTGAAAAGAAGGAGTGGTTGTAAAACTACATGAAGCTGGGTGATGTTGGAAGTTCGCAGGGGGTATCTTGCCAAGGAGAGCTCTGAGCCGCAACACTTTACGTCATACATCACCAACTCCATCTCGAGTCATCTTCATGGATTGACTCGATATTGCCGTGCTCTCGCATATCGATACTACACATTTCAAAGGGCTAGGCTACAACGCAGAGCGATCTGCATACCTGGCCATGTATGAACTCCTACCTCTTGAACCGATCGGCCGGCGTCATCAGCCCTCGAGAATTTGCCCGCTTCGAGACTGAGCGCCGGCTGCACGCTCTGCAATATTCCAGCGTCCGCTTCGACGGTCGTATACGGCAGCAACCAGTAAATGGCAGCGGCACTAGCGATGATGTGCAGCAGGGCGCACAGGAAGAGGCCCTAGCGCATCCAGCAGGAGTAAACGCCCTCACCATCGACAAGTTCGAAGGCCGATAGTACTTCTCTCCCCCTTCCCCACCTCCCCTCCCGACTAACCACCACCAGCCTCCTCTCCGGCGGCGCCGACCACGCCATCTCCCTCTGGGACCTCGAAGCCGCCCTCCCCACCGTCCCACCAACCCACCACCCCCTCTCCACCGCCTCCCGCAACCAGCCCCCCTACCACAAGTTCGGGATAACAGACCTCCACTTCTACCCCTTCGACTCGCTAGCCTTCACATCCAGCTCCTACGACCACACTCTGAAGCTATGGTCCTCAGACCCCCTGCGCCCCTCCGCCTCGTTTCCCTTGGGCTCAATCATCTACGCCCACGCCCTGTCACCAATCGCATCCCACCTCCTCGTCGCATGCGCGACACAGCACCCAGCAGTCCGCCTCATTGATCTCCGCTCGGGCGCCGCGACGCACAGCCTCACGGGCCACGTCGGCGGCGCCGTCCTCAGCGTCGACTGGAGTCCCATCCACGAGCACATCCTCGCATCCGCCGGGGCGGATGGAACCGTCCGGTTCTGGGACGTGCGGCGCAGCGCGGGATGTCTCGGGGTGCTGGACATGGACGACTCTGTCGGGCACGGCGGGTTCCTAGGCGGCGGTGCGCGGTCGCACACGGGGCGCGGGAAAGCGCACGCGGGAGCCGCGAACGGCGTCGTGTGGACGCAGGATGGGAGGTTTGTTGTTAGTACCGGCCACGACGAGAAGATCAGGGTGTGGGATATTGAGACGGGCGCGAATACGCTCGCGAGCTTTGGACCGCTGGTCAGGAACGCGCAGTTGAGTGCGCTGGTGCCGTGTCTTGCGCCCCCAGGGCTGGTGCGGCCGGGTCGGGAGGTGCTGTTCTTCCCGAGCCAGGCGGAGGTTCTGGCGTTTGAGCTGTTCGAAGGCAGGTTGTTGAAGCGGCTGCGGACGCCGGGGGTGGTGTTTAACAATGCGAAGGCGGGCGCGGAGAAGAGGGGCGTGAAGAGCAAGGTGACGGGGCTGGCGTGGAGGGTTCACGAGGTGGAGCTTTATTCGGCGCATGGGGATGGGAGTATTAGGTGTTGGGCGCCGCGGACGACGGAGGATGTAGAGGCGGATGCTGAAGAGAGGGAAGAGGTGGGGAATGCGGAGGAGAGTAGGAAGAGGAAGCGGCAGGTGCTTGATGATCTGTATCGGGATTTGACTAGGCGAAGAGTCGCTGATATATGAGATCCGCTCTATAATATGCTGTTATTCATGTACAGTCGATACTTGGGTAAACCGGGTGCGTTGACGTAAATGTTACCCTTGAACCTGACAACATCTGACCAGCAGCACGGCTATTACTGAGCATGTAGAGAGAAGTAGTGAGGAACCACGTGCTTCGTACAAAGGCTCATGCAACTGTCTTCCCAAGAAGTTTTAATTACTGACAGTGGAAAATCTAGGTGTTGATTAAACATGCTTCGTATTTGAAGTAAAGAATAGCGTTGCTGGATCTGCCGTTCACGACTTTATGGCTACAGCGTGTGACATGTTCTCGCAGCTTAGGCTTCCCGACATGAGAAGATAAGAGCTGAAAAATTGAAACAGGTTGAGGTCATCTCTACCGACCGCGGTCGGTTCAGAACGCTTGAACAACAACAATGCGAACGCCACCGAGATGCCCACCTTTCAAAAACTTCATGTCCTCTTGTACGTCTAACCCCCTCCCACTACACGATCTTCTCCGCCTCCTCAAGCAACTCCTCAACCCTAAACCCACCATCCCCCTTACTAAACTGCTCCAACAGCCTCTTCCTACTCACCTCCTCCCCCTGCAACCCATAGAACTTCTGCAAACACATCAGCAGCCACTTCGCCTCCTCCACCCCCACGCCTCGCCCCTCAACAACCTGCCCCTGCACCAGCACAACCCCCTTACTCTCCTTAAGCTCCAGATGCACGTTCACAGTCGTGTGCGGAGAGGCAAATTCCCCGCGGAGCTTGTATTCCGCCAAGTGCGTGAAGAGGACAGAGGCGACGTTGGGGTGCGGGAAGGTCCACTGCAGGAAGTGTATCTCGGCGCCTTGGCCTTCGCGGGGGAGCGGGAGGATGAATTGGGGGTGTCGCGACGCGGTGAGCCGGATCTGGTCCCAGATTCGGGAGGGGATCACGGCGCACAGCGACTGCGCGGAGGACGCATGTCGTAGCCGCCATATGTACTCGATTTCTGTGGTAGGGAGGTCGGCGGTCTTCTCCAAGTCAAGATATGACGAGAGAGTCTTGACGCCTGGTGGTGGTGCTGGCGTCTTGGGGGAGGATGAAGGGGGCGGAGGCGTGGTGGTCGGGTTGCCGGTCGAGGAGGCCAGGTCTTGGACTGGCTGTGGAGGCGGCGGGGGGTGGAAGGGCAGATTCTGCGCCTGTGTCTGCGCCTGGGAGTTTGCTGACCCCAGCGGAGCAGTCGCGCCCGGCACAGCAGCCTGCTTGCGCAAACTAGTAATCTTGTCCTTGTAGGCTTGCGTGAGCTCGTCTACGCTGCCGTGGCCCTCCCTACGTCCCAAGCGTCAGTTTTGCCAAAGCCAGGCAGCGGGAGTGGCAGTCACCATGGTTTGTGCTGCGTTCGCGCTTACTCTTTCGCCTTGCGGTCAAGCTTGTCGCGGTACTTGGCTAGGATGCGCTCGCGGGTGCGGTGGGTGGCGAGGAAGCGGACATCGTGTACGCGCGCCCATCGTCGTTGCGGCACGCGGAGGGGAGGCGTTTGGCGGAGGAGGTGTCGTATGGCGGGCGTGTTTAGTGAAGCCATTGTGGTAGACTGGATGGATGTTGTCGCGGACTTTGAGAGTTAGGATGCTTGAAGGTTGATAGAAGCTTCGGTATAGCATCACGTGCTTTGAGATATCCGCCTATCGATAGATGCGCCAAGATTTCGATTTCCGGCGCACTTCAGAAAGTCACAGTCCGCCGCGACAACAGCACTAAACCCTCAAACCGCCTCTAGCGACGCTCACCTTACTATTCGACTTGTCGTTATATAGCGTTCGCTACCAAGATGCCCGCGCCGGCCAACACGCTCCTGATCGAGGGTTCCTTTGAGGAACTCACCGAGGAACTCGCGCAATATATCGACAATCTAAAGAGAGCGCAGGGCGACGAAAGCCCCGGGATACAGTCGGAGATTGCATCGTTGCTACAAGAGAACAAGAAGGATGAGGTATTGAAGAGGCTGGTGACGGGCAGCGCAGTCCTGAATTCAGCGCCAGAGAAGGGTGCGAATTCCAGACCGTCTCTAGAGAACAACTCTTGCTGATATTGAATACCAGAATTCGTGGCAGCATACAACCTTCTCGTCCACCTCGTCCGACAGTCCCCCAACATGAACATGTTCCTCTCAAGAATGTGCCAAAACCTCTCGGCCCCCATAACCTCTTCGCCAGCCAATGCCTCGGGCCTCGCCCTCTCGATCCTCAGCACAATCTTCAACATCCTCCCCGCCGACAGCGAAGCCCGATACCACGTCTTTCTCGCCATCCTACGCGTGATCCGCTCATCCGCCAACTTTGACACCCTGCAACCGCAGCTCAAGAACCTGGACTCCTGGCTCGCAGAATGGGAGATGGACGAAGACTCCGAGCGCAAGCTGTATCTCGCCTTGGCCGACTCCGCGCAAGACGCGGGCGAAGATGACCACGCATACCAATACCTCGTGAAAGCTCTGCGCACGATCCCCTCAGACGAATCCTCCAGCGACGAAGCGCGAACCCTCAGCCTGCGCGCCCTAAAAGCCGCACTAACCCATCCGACTCACTTCGACTTCCAGGACCTCACGAGCCTCGACAGCATCCAAGCCCTCCGCAAATCTGACGCGGTCTACTTCGAGCTGCTCGAGCTCTTCACATCCGAGATGCTCGACGACTTCAACGACTTCAAAGACGAGCACGATGGGTGGATCGAAGCCGAAGGCCTCGACGGCGACGCTTTGAACCGAAAGATGCGGCTCCTGACCCTCGCGTCGCTCGCCGCATCGACCGGCCAAACGCGGCAACTGCCCTACGCCCACATCTCCAAGGCGCTGCAGATTCCGTCCGAGGATGTCGAGATGTGGGTCATCGACGTGATCCGCGCGGGACTCGTGGAGGGCAAGCTAAGCCAGCAGACGCAGACGTTTCTTATCCACCGCAGTACTTATCGTGTTTTTGGAGAGAATCAGTGGCGCGAGGTGGCGAGCAGGCTGGATATGTGGCGCACGAGCTTGGCGGGCGTGTTGGGAGTTATTAGGAGTGAGAAGGAGAACTTCATTCAAACGAAGGAGCAGGAGGCTAGGGAGTTGGATGCGAAAGTCAATGGAGGTGGGATGGGGGCGGCGTATAGGCGGCCGGGCGGGAGGGCGGTGGATGTGGATTTAGAGTAGGAGAGATTGGGAGTGGCGGTTGTTCGGTTTGATGCATCTTGTTGCTGCGTTTGTCGAAAGGTGCGGAGTTACATGCGATAGATCTCCGCCTAGCATGCGGCGTATGAAATGAAGGGTTAAAGAACAACTGCGCTGCGCACACTTGGCTCCACTTCTCTTTTCAGCATTTGCGGTCGTGAATGCAGCTAGACGATCTCATGAGACATGAAGCGTTTGCCATCGATGTGCTCCGTTCCGCCCTGCCTCACAAGATTGGGTTGTAGACGCTTTGACGAATCAAGAGATCGGGTAGTTGTCGAAGACCACATTGTCGAGAATGACTATTATAATGGACCACAAACTGTACATAATATCCGAACTCAGCTTCGCAAAAAAATTGAGACGTGTAGACCGAAGCAGTTCACAAGCATAGAACGTCATACTGCCCGGTACATGCGATTGCTGTTCGTCGAGACCAGCCACACCGACCTCTTCTGGTGTCTGTGACTACAGAACCACTGTTCTATGAATGGATGAACCAGCAGTGCAACAAGGATGCTGGTCGACAAAGGCGAGCGAAAACATTCTACTGCCATCAATAAACAAAATGCAAGCGCACAAGCGAACGAACCCTCCGCAACTCGAACCCTTGCCTTCCAGAGACAAAACACCCTCCCATCCCAAAAAAAAAACACCAAAAGAATGCTCCGTGTCGTTTGGAGTGCCCTCCTGTTCCCTCCCGGGGGAGTATCCAGGCGCTCGGAGTTTCCAAAGGACAGGGGCGGGCACTGAAACTCGCCTCAGGTGCGTTCCCGAATAGCTGGTTTCCTCAGGTTGACAGGGCGTCCCCTTGCCTGGAATCGCCGGGTTTCTACCAACGCGGCCACGTTGACATGGAGAGCTCGCTTTCCGGCAGAAAGATTGAGCTTTGGGACTTATATAGTCATTTAATCCGGGCGGTGAGCCGGAGATGTGGGGGTGGACGTGAAGGGAGTTGTGTCGGCCCGAAACCCTTCACTCAGAGGAAAGGAAGGAGAAAGTGGAAAATCGCACGCCTGAATGGCTTAGTGCGCTCGTCTTCTACCTCGACATACCGCAACGCTTCGGACCGGTATCGCTGTTTTCATGCTTTTCTTCCGCCTGTGGATAAACCTTGGCCTCCCTTACAGCAACGGGGGCTTCTCACAAGTTTTACACTGCTCTTCTCCCTTGGTAGCACGTCTGCGGCTTGAGGGGTCAAGCCGTCAAGCCCTTAGGATCACACATCCTACTCATCTCGCAGGTCTGGGTCCAATATGGATGCATTACTTCAGCCTTCTACTACTACTCGGCCCAGTCTCTTCTGCATAGGTCCCTGAATCGTTTAGGTTGGATCGCGGTATGTCTTTTCGAGAGCGGTTCATCAATAGTTCTGCAAGTATATAAAATCAGCCTTTTATATAGTTTCTAAAATGCTATACAGCTACAAAGCTCAAGAAGTTTCCTGTTACCCGTATACATGTCCACTCGATTGTAAAGTATCTTCGCAGTCAATACGCTGCTTTTGGATTGAGTATACAAGACAATCTTCTGCAAGCCCTACGCGTTTTAGATAGGTCAAGCCACAAGAGACCATCTGGACACAACACGCAGAAGCGATTGTTTTTAATATACGTTCTGAGATTGTCGTTCTCAGCACGAAGAAGACGTGAGGTCAAAGAACCCCCCTACCGGAACCTCTATATCTCCGCCAATCAAGGGTTCACGCCCGCCTTCCCCTTCCAGAGCACCGTCATGCAGCAAAGCAAATCCTCCCCACCATCATGGCACTATCTCGTCTCCCGCGTCCCCTCCCACGCAGCACCACCTCTTCCTTCCCCCTACTTCGTTTCCGTAATCCCCCAGCCAGCAGGTCCTACACAACAACCCAGTTTCTTCGCACCCAAGGTCCCGCAAAAGGCGAACTGCAACCACCAATACCTAAACCTCGCGGCTCGACCTCACCGCTCCGCATCTGGCCCTTCGTCGCCATCTTCGCGACCGGCACCTTCCTCTTCACGCGCATCGTCAAGCAGCGCCAGGGCCAGGGGTCCCCGCAGCAGACACAGACAGCCGTCGGGCCCGTCTCGCGCAAGAAATAAAACAGCTAGCCCGCCCTAGCTCCCGATCTCCTCTCATCCTACAATAAGACACATACGCAGTACCATAGTACCGCCACGATGCCGGCAATAGACGCACCTAAGGAGCTTTCGAAGCTTCCCGCCCCGGACCGCTCAAGCCCCATCTTCTCGCCCGAGGAGGCGACGGTGATCTACGTGCTCGGCGGCCCGGGCTCGGGAAAGGGCACGCAGTGTGAGAAGCTGGTGCGGGATTATGGGTTCAAGCACCTGAGCGCGGGAGATCTGTTGAGAGAGGAGCAGGACAGGCCCGGCAGCGAGTTCGGCGAGCTCATCAAGAGCTACATCAAGGAGGGCCAGATCGTGCCGATGGAGGTGACGGTGCAGTTGCTCGAGAACGCCATGAGGGCTGCGATCGACGAGGAGGGGAAGCGTATGTTTTTGATTGATGGTGGGGTTTGCTTTTGCTTCTGCTGCGTTCGCTTGGATAACTTATGGAGGGGGCGACGGAGGGGACGTGGGCTGACTGAAGACAGGCTTCCCACGCAAAATGGACCAGGCGCTCAAGTTCGAGGAGGCGGTGTGCAAGTCCAAGTTCACGCTGTTCTTCGACTGCCCGGAGGAGGTGATGCAGGAGCGGCTGCTGAATAGGGGCAAGACGAGTGGCAGGTCGGATGATAATGCCGAGAGCATCAAGAAGCGGTTCAAGACGTTTGTTGAGACGAGCATGCCGGTTGTGGATTACTTTGCCAAGGAGGACAGGGTCGTGGAGATCAAGGCGGTCAAAAGTCCGGAGGAGATTTATGAGACTGTCAAGGAGAAGCTGAAGGAAAGGGGGATTGAGCCGCTGAAGTCTTAGGCTCGGGCGATAGATGATGTAGACCTTCCTTGTCTTTTTTAGAGCAACTTGCCTTCAAGACTAGAAGTATTACCTGCCACTCCACTCACAATCTCTTACCGATTCTTTTTACGAGGCAGACAGAGATGGTACTGAACTACTTGCTCTCTATGTACTGGACATTCCACACTCCTTCACCGGCACTACGCTTGTACAAACACCAGATGCTCCAGAGAAGCGAGAATACATTGTATACACCAGCCAGCCATGCAACCAAAATAATACACCCCTTACAAGTTTCCTCGACAGCCCTATGCCACACCCTACACACCACCCCCTCACCACCTCTGCCTCTGCCCCTGCCCCCGCCCCGAAATATAATGATTCCTCCCCTCATAGTTCCTGCCGCCACTCTCCCACTCCGCCAAATCACTCGCAACGCTCCAATCGATGCGATCCCACCAGCGATTCAAATACATCTCCTTCCCGCCCATCCCCCAGTCCCGCAACCAAACATGCTCCCACGTATTGACGCACAGCACCGGAATCACATCCGCGCCCCCCGGCGGCGTCAGCTTCTGCGCCTGCCCCTGCGCGCTGTACTGCCCCATGCTGCCGACACTGTTCTGCACCGTCGTCAGCTGGGATGGCAGGTTGGAGGGGGCGGAGAGCCCGCCCAAGCTCTGCGGGGACTGCGTGTTCATGTCGAGGGATTGCTGCCGCCAGTGTGCGCCCGGCAAAGGGGAGCCGGCCAGGTAGGTCACGAGGATCTGGAACTGCTCGGCGGATACGCGGTGTCTGCGCCGCACGAGCCAGACGAAGCCAGGACCGAACATGGAGGCTGCGGTGGCGATGAATTCTTTGCGGAGGGTTTCGAGGGAGGAGAAGGATTGGATTAGGTGGGATTGGAGGGTGGTGGGGATGGGAGTTTTGTCGATGGCCTGGGGGTGAAGGGTTAGCTGGGGCTAGCTGGAGCAGAAGAGGAAGCGGGAGGATGGATTAGAGACGTACGAGCCCCTTGAAGAAGAAGTGGTTGTTGAATGCTGCGGAGGCATGGTTGAAGAGGGAAGCTTGGTTCGGGTCTCGCGCGGAGGAGACGACGAGGGCCTTGGTTTGAGCGTTGTACTCGGGCGTGCCTGTCCGCGCCACATGGTCTTAGTATATGCTCGCTAGGTCCACAGATGCTCGGTCGAAGCATAGCTGAATCCACAGAGTTCCAGGGATGGATAATCCGCACCCTGTGTCAACGAGTTCAGCTTGTCCACCATCATCTGCTGATATTGTGTCCATGCGTAGCCGTAGGCATCAGGCGAGAGGAGCCCTGGCACGCCATTTCTCACAAAGTCGTGTTGCTCCGCGTTTGTTAGAGTGGGTACGTGATGTTTCCATCGGCGCTGGGGTGGTGACGCGGAGGACGGTGCAATGCATCGCTGCAGGGGAGTGCCGGTTAGCCATGAGCCCAGGATTGAGATCAAACAGCGCCTTACTGAGGATGAGACAGCCGTCCGTAGGGCATTCTGCTGCCTCGAGAGCCGTTGTAATATCATCTCTGGGTTGTATGGGAGCTCCAGTCCACGGCGGCCCAGATATTTTCGGCGTTGTCGTCGGCGTCGGCGCGAAACGGCGGCGCCAAGGAGAAGACCCGCGAACGAAGCACGACCAACCATCTCCGACCTTGGTCGACGTCTGAGGCAGCTCTTCTGTTTCATCCACTCGACATGTCTACTTTGCATAGCCACAGGGTACCAACAGTCATAGTATGCTGCTACCTCGTCAGGTAGGAAGTGGTGGGCGGCAGCGTCCAGTGGCCACGTCGAGAGGCCTACCATCAGCGCGTAGATGAGACCGCTGAGCCTCGGAGACGACAGAGCGATGTGAGTGCCGAAACATCGAAAGCGCACGTCATGCGGCGGCAGAAGGCTCTATATTCGTCTCGAGCCGCTGCCACAGTTGTTTCCTTCATTTCCAGGTCAAATCTCGCTCCATCAATAAGCCGATTCCCATTATCTGCCTCTATCTCGTCTGTCAAACAGTCTTCCACTATTGCAGTTGACGCTGCTGGTCCGTCTTTTACTCAATTTGGCTGAATCCACCTGAATATGGGTCCTTCGACACTGCACAAGCTCTCTCTGGTCTGCCTCATCTCAAGCAGAGTCTCCGCTTCCGCAGCGCTGGCCACCGCTCTTGAAGCCGCTCAAGCTGTTGGCCTGCTGCGCCGACAGGAAGGCACTTGCGGCGGGGATGCGTCTCTCTCACAATGTAGTGGAGACCTTCCATCCGACTTCTGCTGTCCGAGCTCTTCGACATGTACCAAGCTCAACAGCACGGAGACATCCGTAATATGCTGTCCACGCGGCGCCAACTGTGGCTTTATCCGGCCCATAAACTGCGATCTCCAACAGCAGAACGCAACGCTCCATCCAACGAATCCAATTCATACCACTGAGCTCGACGGATCACTCCCGAAATGCGGCGACGCGTGCTGCCCGTTTGGCTTCGCGTGCGAAGATGGCATGTGCAAGATGCTCACCACCGCTCCCACACCCGGCAGCCCCAGCACGACCGTCTCGCTCGCCGTCCCCACCTCCGCGCAAACCGGTGCCGCCATCTCAACCATTCCAGCGACATCCTCGCCGCCCGCCTCCTCTTTCCCCGCGAAAGCCGTCCTAGCCGGCCTCTTCCCCGGCCTCGCCCTCGGCATCATCCTAACCCTCGCCATCTTTTTCCTCCTCCAACGCCGTAGAGCCAAAAAGGCGCGCTACTCCGGCGACTTCGGCCCCGTCTCCCGCACCGTGAGCGACCCGATCTACAACCCCGCCATGAGCGCGCGCACCGATTTTCTGCGCCGTCAGAACAGCACCAGTGCCAGCCAGAGGCACAGCCGGAACGGCAGCGGCGGCAGCAGCGACAGCAACCGCCCGCTCGCGACGCCAGAAAACGCCCACGGAGGCGGAAGATACTACACCTCCGCGCGCAGCACGCCGACCGTGGTCCCCTCGCCAGGTGTCCCGGTGATCGGCCTCGTAAAGGGAGGACGGCTCTCTCGCCTCCCCTCCCGCCCCAGGACGCCGAAAATCCGCTCGCTCTTCGCGCCAAAGTCGCCGCACCCTGCGCAGGCGCAGCAAATGACGTCCTTCCCGTCCTCAGCGCCCGACGCCCGCCGCGCTGCGAATCCCGCGCGGGATCCATATCGCACGCCGACGCGGCAGATGCGCAGCCGCAGCGTGCTGTCGGATGAGCGGCCGAAGACGGGGAGTACGGAGACGATCGACGTGTTGATGCCTGGGCTGAGCTTTTTGCAGGCGCCGCCGCCGATTGGAGAGGGAGGAAGAGGGGAGAGGCCGATGACGGGGAACACGACGTTCAGTCGGCTTATGGAGGATGCGGGGTTTGGGCGGGAGAGTAGGGACAGGATTGGTGGTGGGCCGGGATTTGCGAGGTGATGCTGGGGTTTTTATAGATGTTAACGAACTCGGAAAGGATAATCTATTGCTGGTCACTTTCCTCTGGTGGGCGCTTTTTGTGATGAGTGAAAATCATGAATCCGCCAGAAGCCGTTGGTGTTTGAAGTATTTCAACGCCAGTTAGCCCTTTCGCGTAGTAAAAAAAGACAAGACGGCAGTCGGAAAACCCTGGAGAATCGGGCGAGATTGATGAAAGATGTTTGGATTTCGGGCGCGGGAGGGTTGACATAGCCCTGCCACAGAGTTGGTGTTCAAACTGAATGGGATGTGTTGAGGTTAAAACGGTGAGGTTTGGAGTAAAGGCTTATGCGTGTTGGTAATACACCATTGCCGCTGGATTTGCAACACTACAAAGACAAACACTGCACCCGAAGAATGACGCGCCTCGTGGCAAGGTTGGTAACGCTCCGATAAGCTTAATAGCGGTGTACCCCCATTATACCTTCCCCTTACCCTTCCCCTTGCTTTTCGCAGGCCCCCTCCGCCTCTCCCAAACCTGCACATAACTCTCCTTCGTATAGAGCGTCTCCGCAAGAATCTTTTCCACGAAAAGATCCTGCACCTCGACCCACTCATCCCTCGCTTTATCCCTAAGCTGGACCCTCCAAACCTTCCTCTCCGCCTCGCCCTCGACGCTATCGTCCCTGCTCCGCACGGCCTCATGCGTGATATTCGCCACCAGGTCATAGATGATGGGCTCCCCCGTCGCATGCAAGCTGGGATTCGGCTCCACGAAGGGCGCCATGTCCAGCCCCTGGGTGTTGAAGGTCACGATCGTGGGGTTGCGCTCGGAGACGAACTTGTTCTTGCTGAAGCGCTTGATGTGGAAGAGGAGGTAGGGCGGGAGCGGGTGCAGGAGGCGGTAGCGCTGGCGCTTGTTCAGCCGCTCCTGCGCTTTCACGCCGTCGTATTTCTCGAGTATTTCGCGCAAAGGCACCTGCGGGATGATGTTCTGGTCTGCCTCGTCCTTGAAGACGGGCCGGGGGGGTAGGTCGAGGGTGAGGATCAGGTACCGGCTGATTTCGGTTTGGACGGCGGCGTCTTCGAAGCGCAGCCGGTCGCCCGCGTCGGCGCGCGCGGTGATGAGCTGGGATTCGATTTTTAGGGCGCCTTGGAAGACGCGCTGGATTATGCTGCTCCCGGGTTTGGTTCGCGAGCCGCCGAGGGATAGGTGCAGGTGGTTGAGGAACCAGGAGAGGAAGTCTACGGGGTCAGATTGCGTGGTCAGGGTGAAGCGTTTTGAGGAGAGGAGTGCGATCTCTTGGAGGAGCTCGTGAGGCGAGACGTGGGATTTGAATGCGCGCGGGTTCCAGATCTTGCGCACGAGGATGGAGAAGCGTTGGGCGAGTTGCGGGCGGGTGGAGAGGTCTTCCAGCATGAAGAAGTTGCGCAGAGGCGGGACGTGCGCGAGGGCATGGCAGACGACGTTGAAGTAGTCGTTGGCTTTGATGTTGTTCATGCCGACGAAGCCGGGGATGTATTTTCGTCCGAGGAGGTCCCAGCATGTTCTTTGTTCTCGGTCAAGCTTCATGACTTCGTCTTTGGAGAGACGCGGGTCTACGACGAATTTGATGTCGTCCAGGGAGGCGGATTTGACTTCATAGCCCTCGGGGAGGACGTAGACTTTCTTAGTTTCCATATTTACGTAGACGTGGTGGTTTTCTTCGAGCGCGTGGAAGTAGGCCTGCGATTTGGGCCCGCGGCCTTGGTAATATTTCCCGCACACCAGACAGGCGTAGACGTTGATGTTTGAGAGGGTCACGGAGCAGAGCTTCTCGAAGTCAAAGTCCAACACCTTGCGGTCTATGGTATCGAGATAGAGGTCGGAGTATCCTTCCGTAGGCGCCGCCTGCCTGCTCGGCGCGGCGATCGCAGGTTCGTCGTCGTCTCCATCGACATCTGCGTATGGTGTCGCAGCCGCCTCTTCGAGTTCCTCGTGCCTTTGCTCTGCCGCGCCGAGGGTGTCGATTTGGTCTTCCTCCTGTGATCGAGGGGTCATGAGGTGCCCGTTTGCTGTAGGGACGCCATTCTTCTGCGGCTCATCTGGTACATCTTCAACGCGCGCGCGCTTCGAGGCCGGTGAGTCAGCTGCGACGAAGTCCTCTAGCGGCTCCTCGGCTGGTCTCTTAGGCATCGCGGAGGAGCTCAGCGAGCGAGCGTGGTGGGATTAAGGGTGGGCTTTCGAGGCTTAGTTCGTGTTCGCGGCGTGGTGACAGAAAGTTTGATGCAGTTGCTCTATGGAGGCCCCGAGTAGTGTGATAGACAGCTGTATCAATCTCCAGGATGTGGTTGCAAGGCCAGCTCTGCCGTTCGGCATTGAAGCTCTCGAAAGGTATGTCTTGGCATCACGGCAAAGTCCGCCAAAAAAGTCGCGTCTCCAGAACACGACGAACGTGCTCGCTGTGGTTTCTGCCTTCTCCAAGAACGATCACAAAATCAAGAGATACTGAAGATGGTAACGTTGCTTCGTCATCGCCTGGAGTCACTACTAATCTTTGATAGTCCTACAACAACCCAACCCAGATCTTCGCCGACGACGTGACGGAGGAGAAGGGTGAGAATGCGCGTCTATCAGCTTTCGTAGGCGCTATAGCTGTGGGAGACTTGGTGAAGAGCACGCTGGGACCGAAGGGCATGGACAAGATATTACAATCTGCGTACGTTTGCACCTATTGAAACCGCAGTCTTGGCTGACGGCCTACAACCAGGTCAACCGGCGAGATCATGGTCACAAACGACGGTGCAACTATCCTAAAATCTATCGCTCTCGACAACGCTGCCGCAAAAGTCCTGGTCAACATCTCGAAAGTGCAGGACGACGAGGTTGGAGACGGAACTACATCAGTCGCAGTCCTGGCAGCAGAGTTACTGCGGGAAGCCGAAAAGCTGGTAGACCAGAAGATACACCCTCAGACGATCATCGAGGGCTACCGAATAGCAAGCCGGGCGGCACTACAAACTCTAGAAAAGTCGGCCGTGGACCACAGCAGCGATAAGAAGGCGTTCCGGGAAGATCTCACAGCGATTGCGCGGACGACACTGAGCTCGAAGGTGCTGAGTCAAGATCGCGACTACTTTGCGAATCTGGCAGTTGATGCTGTGCTAAGGATGCAGGGCTCGACAGACTTGACGCACATCCAGATCATCAAGAAAGCAGGCGGAAAGCTGAGGGACTCGTATCTAGACGAGGGCTTTATCCTCGACAAGAAGTTCGGCGTCAACCAGCCGAAGCGGATAGAGAACGCGAAGATTCTTATTGCTAACACGGCGATGGACACAGACAAGATCAAGATCTTTGGTGCGCGGGTTAAGGTCGATTCGACGGGCAAGCTAGCAGAGCTGGAAAAGGCAGAGCGGGAGAAGATGAAGGCCAAGGTGGAGCGAATCAAGGCGCACGGCATCAATTGCTTCGTCAACCGACAGCTCATCTACAACTGGCCCGAGCAGCTGTTCGCCGACGCGGGAATCTGCTCCATCGAGCACGCGGATTTCGACGGCGTTGAGCGATTAGCGCTCGTTACGGGCGGCGAGATCACATCAACCTTCGATCACCCCGAAAGCGTCAAGCTCGGCCACTGCGACCTGATTGAAGAGGTCATCATCGGCGAAGACACGCTCATCAGATTCTCCGGCGTTGCAGCTGGCAAGGCGTGTACAGTTGTGTTGCGTGGCGCGACAGAGCAGCTCCTGGACGAGGCGGAGAGGTCTCTGCATGATGCCCTCGCCGTGCTTTCCCAGACCGTCAAGGAGCCGAAGACGACGCTCGGTGGCGGCTGCGCAGAGATGCTGATGGCCAAGGCTGTCGACCAGGCATCACAGAACGTAGCAGGCAAGAAAGCGCTGGCGGTTGACGCTTTCGCGAAAGCACTGCGGCAATTACCTACCATTCTAGCAGATAACGCTGGGTTTGATTCAAGTGATCTGGTGGCGAGGTTGCGAAAGGCAGTCTATTCTGGCATGACGAGCTCTGGGTTGGATCTGATGACGCCAGGCGGTGGTATCGCCGACATGAGGGAACTCGGTGTAATAGAGAGCTACAAGCTGAAGCGCGCCGTGGTGTCTTCGGCTTCGGAAGCGGCAGAAGTAAGCCCCCTCTCACTGTGTTACCTTTGGTCAACGTACTGACCCTTGGAACAGCTGCTCTTACGGGTCGACAACATCATCCGTAGCGCGCCTCGGAGACGCGAACGAATGTGAGGACATCCTCCGAGGCCGAGGGGAATATCTTGGCATGTACGAAAACGACTGCATGGACCTACCCTCGCAGTGGTGGTCGAAAGCGGTTGCCTAGGGTAGGCCGCGCCAGCTGTCGGAACAGAGTTTCACATCCCGCAGTGGCTGTCCCGGCATCATGGTCTTAATGAAGACCAAAAGCAGAGTGCGCGAACGTATGATAGAGTTCAATGGCCCTTTATATTCCGTACAACAGATATGACGAGATTGCCGTAACATGCAGAGGTTGACGAATCTTCTTGCCTTACTGACTCTATGACGTCTGACATGTTGTGCCTGAAGGCTGCGTGCGAATACTCATATGGGTGTTCACACAAACTGACGCCACTGAACTGCTCATAGCCGTCTTCCAGGGATAACGTATCTACACGTTCCTTGACAATCGTAGAAGAAAGCTACCTAACCTTCGTCCATCATTAGCGCGAAAAGCCAGGGTTCTCATGATTCCTCCGTCGTGAATTCTAAGCTGAACAGCAGGCTTGCTCTTTTAACTAACTTCGTCCTCCTTTCCAACACCACCGTCGTTGTGTTCTTACGCGCCCACGACCGACTTCGGGCTGCAACAATATCAATGCATGGATGTCAAGTTACGAATCTCTCTTTAGGCACGCTTCATCTAAATTGGCTAGCCTTGCGATCTTCCCCACGGCTTTCCCGTTGTGACCGGGCTCACCCGAGCACCCGGAACAGGGGGGCGCCAGGCCGGCTGTGGCTGATATAAGGCACACCGACCCACCGACCATGGGGCAGCGGCGAGTAGGAAATCCATCGGCCACACAACTGCAGATCCAGCTGTGTGTTGATGCCAGCCACTACCAAAGCCCCAAGGCACACTCTTGCTCAATGCTCAATGCTCAAACCTCTAACAATCTACCCTCCCTATCAGCGACCGGTACGAACGCGGTTGCATCGAGTACCTACTTTCTGATCAGGCAAGCGCTGGTGTTGCATTTCGTCGTCTGAGAGTCCGGTAAATTTCCCGCCCGACCTCTCTCCCTCGCTCACCTCAGCTCGCGCACAAGGCAGCCTTCGAGTCCTTCCTTGCACTCACCTCACCACCACCATCGCTCACTACTAGCTACATCAATTGATGGTCGACCACGCGCACCTTCCTAGCCTGCCGAGGCCGTTGCTACCCACAGTTTGAAGCTCCTCAGCATGTCGCGACGCCGGCCGGCCAGAGGAGCCGCAACCCTCAGCTCGACTCTGGTCGCTCTCTTGTTCGCCTTTCCCTTCGTCGCAGCCGCTCAGCAGCAGCAGCCGCCGCAACAGAATGGATACCAGAGATCTCCAGCAGAAGTATCTCTGCTACTAAACACCATTGCTCAGCCGCGAGCCTCGGCGCTCCGCGACCCCCTCGATGTGACGCAGAAGCGCCGACGAGACACCACCTTCACATCCAAGAATGAGCGCGCCATTGCGACATTGGCTCCAGCGGACCTCGATCCCGCCGTGAGACTCCCTCTTCCCAGTCCCGCCGCCGGCCCATCCGGTGCTCTTTCCCCGCAGTTATATGCGCGGTCACTGCGAGACTGGAAAGTTGAGGATATTGTCCTTTTGGCGACCGTCGATGGAAAACTTTATGCCAGAGACAGGAACACTGGCAAGCACAGATGGACGATAGAGGCAGAGCGGCCTATGGTAGAGACCATCTACCACAACGTGACCGCATCCCATGGCGATGGAGAAATTCACGAGGACGACTTCATCTGGATCGTGGAGCCGAGCCAGGATGGCGCGCTCTATGTGTATGAGCGTGAACCCAAGATCGGAGTGCAGAAACTCGGCTTGACAGTCAAACAGCTGGCAGAGGACCTATCGCCGTACGCGAGTGATGTACCACCGGTTGTCTACACCGCAGAGAAGAGGAACACCCTGTACACGATCGATGCTCAGACTGGCATCATCCTCAAGAGCTTCAGTTCAACCGGATCATCTGTCGTTGATCCCGAGAGCTGCAGGCGCATCAGCAGTATGGAAGGCCTAGCCGGCGAAGAACAGGAATTTGCTGGCATCTTGACACTGGGCCGCACAGAGTACACCGTCGGCATCTCGGACAAGGTTACGGGTAACCAGATTTGCACCATCAAGTACTTCGAGTGGAGCCCAAACAACCGAGATCGTGATCTTCATAGCCAGTATGCCAAGAAGACTATGGACAACAAATATGTCTATAGCAAGTTCAACGGAGAAGTCACCGCGTGGGACTACACCCAGCACGAACGCAAGGTCTTCGAGCACGAGTTTTCTGCGCCAGTGGCCAGGGTATACGACATTGTCCGTCCCTTCCACGCGGACCCGAGGGACACTTCCCTGGTGATTCTGCCTCAGCCAATTGGACCGAAAAGTAACGACGACGGCATTCAGAATGTCTTCATCAATACTACGCAGACTGGCAGCTGGTATGCGCTGTCTGAATCGAGCTATCCTCACGTTACGGTTGGGGCTAGAAAGGCGCGGTGCTACGACGCGGAATGGCAGGAACATGTTCTTGGCTGGCCTGGGACATCGCGGACTCTTTCGAAGAACGATATCATTGGCGTTCACTATCTGGACAGTCAAGACGCACCATATCAGAATATCCTTAGCATTTCTGCGCCTGCTAAGGTTCAACCGAGCGAAGAGAGCCCTGCAGTTGTGGACGAGCTGGACAGTGCGATTCCGCCACTGGAGCCGGACTTCAGACCACGGTGGACCACAACATCCGTCACTCTATTTCTCACACTGTTCTTCCTCGCTTCGCTTGGCGGCATATCTCAGAGCAGCATCTTCAAGCCCACATTCTCGCAGCTTCTCGAGAGGATATCTACGATCAGTCCTGCGCCAAAAGCAGAGATGCCGAGTCAGGAAGTGGCGATTGTAGAGCCCATTGTCGAGGAGAAGAGAGTCAGGTTTGCCGTTTCGATACCGGAAGAGGAGGCCGTTGTCACTGCTGCCGTAGGTACAGACCCTGCAGAGTCAGAGCTAGGAGTCGACGATTCTGTCACTGAAGCTACATTGCCGGAAGCGGTTAGTGTTCAGGAGCCCACCGAGGCAGATCTTAGCCCAGATGGTGTCGATGAGGCGTTTAAGCCAAAGAAGAAAGCACATAGAGGCCTCCGCGGGGGCAAGAAAAAGAAGAAGAAAAACAAGTCGGGAACCGAAGGCGTCGAAGACGATACCGTCGATCGCATTATGGAAGAGGTGAAGCACATGGGGCCGAACCAGTCGTTGCAGCCAGATGAAATACTTATTGGTGGTATCCAAGAGAACACGGCAATCAAGCAGATTCATAACTTGACCATCGATGAGGACGCCATACTTGGCACCGGCAGCGGCGGCACGTTCGTATTCAGAGGCAAATTTCAGACGATAGATGTCGCTGTGAAGCGGATGCTTCCCCAGTATTTCGAGCTCGCCTCCCATGAGGTTTCTTTGCTCCAGCACAGCGATGACCATCCGAACGTCATTCGATACTACACTCAAGAGCGGGATCAGAATTTCCTTTACATTGCTGTCGAACTTTGCCAAACAAGTCTGTGGGACCTCTACCGAGATGGAAGGGATCAGACTTGTGACGAAGACAACCAGAGGCTGATTACCGAAATCAACACCGATGTTTCCAAGTGCTTGTATCAGCTCGCCGCTGGCCTCAACCATTTGCACAGCCTCAGGATCATCCATAGGGATATCAAACCTCAAAACATCTTGATCGCCTATCCGAAGAAGAATCAGGCGCGCGGGCCGCGCTTCGTCATCTCCGACTTCGGGCTCTGCAAGACGTTACCGGACAATGCCAGCACTCTGATCGGCACCACTGGCAACGCAGGCACCGTTGGATGGAAAGCACCGGAACTCATTCTTCAGCCAAAGGATACCGCACTTCGTCAAGATTTGACATCTCACAGTCGGGACTCATCGTCCTCGGGCGGCGAGGTGTCTCAGGGCGTAAAACGCTCTGTCGATATCTTCTCCCTAGGTTGCGTATTCTTTTACGTATTGACGGGCGGCTGCCACCCGTATGACGACGAGGAAGGCTGGGCTCAGGTCCGCGAGCTCAACATCAAGAAGGACAAAGCGGACATTAGCAAGGTGCAGTTCTTGGGTGAAGAGCCAGTGCACCTGATTCGCTGCATGCTGTCGAACAAACCCGAAGATCGGTAAGTAGAACAGACCGCATTCGTGCTTGATGATACGCTGACCACTTTCTGTGCAGCCCAACAGCCCTCCAGGTCATGCAACACCCCTTCTTTTGGCCCCCCGAGAAACGCCTCAACTTCCTCTGCGACTGCTCCGACCACTGGGAGCGCGAATCGCGAGACCCGCCATCGTACCTTCTCCAGCGCCTCGAATCTTTCGCGCTGGATGTCATTGTCGACCCGGACCACCCGCATCGCGCTCCAGATTTCTTGGCCAAGCTCGATAGGAAGTTCATCGACACGCTTGGCAAGCAGCGCAAATACACCGGCGACCGGATGCTAGATTTGTTGCGCGCTTTGAGGAACAAGAAGAACCATTACGAGGATATGCCGCTGGATGTGCAGGCCAGGGTCGGGCCGCTGCCGGATGGATATCTGGGGTATTGGACTACGAGGTTTCCACGGCTTTTGATGGCGTGTTATCTGGCGGTTGTGGAGACGGGACTGCAGGGGGAACCCAGATTTAGGCCGTACTTCGGGGAGGTGGCGGCGTCGTGAGGGCGCTCTTTCTGCGGATGAGGGGGTGTCGGGAGGCTTTGATATCCTTGGCTCGGTTTGGTCATTCACAGCCTGGGGGGGAGGGAGGAGCAGAGGTAGTTTCATTTGTTACCACAACACGGCTCGTTCGACTGATCCTAAACCCACTTCGAGAGGAAGTGGACGTTGGCAATGTTCCTTACTTTAGTATTCACTTTGGTATATCTGTACAGAGGTACTCTTTGTCGCTGCTAAATATTGGAGTCTGCAATCACGTGACCGCGCTTCCCTCTCGACTTTAAGCTTCCCGCTTTCGGCTTTCGGTGCCGACGAGCTCCAACTGCGCAGCTACAATAGCGCCTGAGAGTGAATCGTCCGTCTTTAACTATTGATACGCACGCCTGCACTCCTCCACGTTCGTTTCTATTCATAAAGCTCCAGCCTGCCCGCTCGGCTTCACGCCGCCTACCGCTGTCCAAAGACCCTTGCACGAGCCACTCTCCCCAGACATCCCCGCCATCAATTGCCCATCCATAGTCCTTATACTCCACGCCATCTTCGCACTGAAGAGTGCCCTCCCTCTCTGTACCGCCTGTCCGCTGGTCGTACACCTTCGCGATTTCCGACAAACGCGCAATTACAAATAATCTCTACTTTAACTGGTCGTCATCACCATGGCCTGTATGAGCAACCCGCAATCCTCACTGCGAGCAGCCCTCCAAGATACTAACTGCTGTGCTTGCACCAGTACCTACGGAGACCGAGGCCTCGTACGCGGCCATCATCGACTCCATACTAGCAACTAGCGACCTAAACACCATCTCCGCAAAGCGCGTGCGCAAGGGCCTTCAGGCGCAAGTGGACTACGACATCACTCCTCAGAAGGTATACGGATCCGCCTACGTTTGCGCACGACTACAATGCCCAGCTCACATGACGCCAGGACACAATCACCACACTCATCCTAGCACGCTTCGACAAATTCAACGAAACCCACGCGCCCAGCTCCGCAGCGACGACCGAGCCCGCCGAACCCGCTCCCACAACCACGGCCGCCGACAAAGCCCCAACCACCAACGGCGTCAAGGCCTCCATGTCCAAGGACTCCGCCGAGCCGCCCAGCGCGTCCTCCCCCTCTCCCTCGACGCCCAAGAAGCGCTCCGCAGCCGACGCCGACGCCGACGACGACCAAGATACCGAGTCCTCGCTCTCCTCGGTAGCAGACCCCTCGCCGCCGAAGAAAAAGGCCAAGAAGAGCAAGTCGGCCTCGACCTCGGCTGAGGACGCGGACGCGGCGTTCGCGGCGCGGTTGCAGGCGGAGGAGAATAGTCGGCGGCGGACGACGAGGGGTGGGGGGAGTAGCAGGAAGGCGGCGCCGGTGGTGAAGAAGGGCGCGGGGAGGAAGAAGCAGAAGACGAAGAGTGCGAAGAAGGTTGGGGGGGATGATGATAGTGATGTTGAGTCCGGGAGTGGAGGCGGGGAAGGGGGGGAGAAGAAGGAAGTTAAGCGGACGGGGGGGTTTCATGTGAGTTGTATGAACCCGTTCTATAAACGCTCTGCTGACGGCGAGGCAGAAACCTATGACGCTCTCGCCGCCGTTGTCGGAGCTTTTGGGGGAGACGAGTGTAAGTTCTGTTCTGCATATCCTTTGCGGTATGTTTTCTGACATCCCCAGCTATCACGACCCCAAACCGTGAAGAAGATATGGGAGTACGTCAAGGCGCACGACCTACAAGACCCCAGCGACAAGCGCCAGATACGCTGTGATGACGGGATGAGGGCCGTCTTCAAGCAGGATCGGGTGCACATGTTCACGATGAACAAGATTCTCAACCAGAATCTTTACGCGCAGGACGAATGACCGGACTAATTTCGGGGTGCTTGATTTGCCAAGTACGCCTCAGACTGGCCCCTCGTACGCTATCTTATGACCTCATTTCCGCATTCTGGCCGGGTCTCTACATATTGGTACAGGCTCCCGACTGCTCAGTTGCTATATGCCAGCGACACTCGGCGTTTTGTGTTTGTTTTCGGGAATGGACTGGTAGCGAGGTGTTCTCGGTTCATACGTTTTTGGCGGGTCTCGGAGTTACCCTGCTCATAGCTTAGATGTGCTCATGCACGTGAGTTCATGGTCCTTGATGGTTGATAGTTACAGGATCCAAAGCCCGGAATCGATTGTGTCACTCCGGAGTATCTTCGCATTGCTGTTTGTACCTCCGTCCGATCGATAGGGCTGACGCGATGTTTCGTTTACCCCGATATTCGTCTATAAACCACGGATTTGCGGCTCAAACTGGTCCGTTTTATAATGCATTCCAGTAGTACACGCTTTGTGAGGATATCTCCAAATCAGACCAGTACACCATTGACAGTAAAGAGAGGCTCAAAGCGGTTGTAGGCTCACCAACTACGGCGCCATGCTTTCTTGAAGCCATCAAAGGGAACGTATGTGTCCCTACACGCCACGCTATCAGTCCCACCCCTCGATCTCACAAGCCGCTCCTCCCAACCAAGCCCCTCAAAACTCCGGCATCGCCAACTGGAAGCCCTCAAACTCATCCTCGACATCTAGAAGCAGGCCCGGCCCAGAAGAACCCCTCAGCAAGTCATCCTCATCATCCCCCTCCACCTCTGCTTCTCCATGACCAAGACCCCGCGCCCTCAACATCTCGACCAACACCTCCTCCTCGCTCTTCTGCGTCCTCGCCTTCACCGGCCCAACTGCCGCATCAGACCCCCCGCGCGCCAGCCCAGCGGACACCGGCGCGGTGACGTTGCGCTTCCCGTCCCGCTTCAGAGCACGCATCTCGCTGCCGCCCAGCGGCAGAGGCTTCCTCAAGCTACTCGACGCAGCCCGCCCGTTCGCGTAGCCCAGCGTGGTGCGCGACGCGGCTGTCGCGGCTGTGTGGCGCATGGCCGAGGGGTTTGTCGGCGCCGCCGCTGCCACGGGTTGCTTTTTGCGGGAGAGGGGGAGGGCGGAGGTCGGGACGCGGGCTTTTGCTGCGGTGGTCGGGGCTGAGAAGTGTGGTCTCGACGAGGGTTGGCGGAGGGCTGTGGCCGCGGTGCGCGAGGTCAGGGTTGTGGGCTGGCCGGTGGTGGCGTTGGGGACAAGGGGTTTCTTGGTGGCGACGCTGGAGCTGGAGCGAGAGGTCGTGGGTCGTGAGGCCACAGGCGGCGCAGCTGGAGGTGCGGTGCCAGTGATGTTCGCTGCAGCCTCAGCGAACATCTCGTCGCACTTCCTCTGCAGCGTCTCGTCCGTCTCCCGCCTGACCCTCTTGTCTCGCACGGCGTCCTCGCGTTCGAGCTGACTAACGCCGTCATCGTCGACGGGGTTGAAGTATGTACTCCATATCCCACGCATGTAGTTTTTCGCCTCAAACATCGGAAACGTCTTCTCCGGGCCCCAGTAGTCGTCCGGTAAATCCGGCAGGGGCTCGCCGCGCGGGGGCATGTACTCGATCTCGCGCTCCTCGGGCTCGGGGACTGGTTTTGTCGCATCGTCGGTCGCCAGGACCTTGACTTTGGCGCGGTGGAGACGGGGGCTGCGGCTCTGGGGCTGGGTCTTTGCGGAGGCGGAGGCGGTGTCGATGGAGGGGGGAGCGGGGGTCTGGAAGGCTTTGGTTTTGGCGTTTGTGGTTTTGGCGCCTAGGGGGGCGCGCGTGCGTGGGCCTGCGTGTTCTGTTAGCTTGGGAGTTTGTGTATCGGGGTAGTTGTCTTGATGCTTACCGGCGGGTGTGACAAAGGTGTTCTTGTCCAGCTCGTTCCCTTTCTTGGCCCCGGTGAAGAGGTTCTCATTGCCTTTGCCATTGGTCTTGAGGACGGACTTGCCGCCGCGGAAGACGACATTTTCATCGTTGAGGGCGACTTTGAAGGGCGTCTTGGGTGCTTTGTTGCCGGGTGTCTTCGCTACGAGGCCCTGGTTGAGTGGTTTGGCGGCTGCAGCGGCCTGCTGGCCGTGCACGAAGTTCTCCTGATCTCGCACCGCTAACATCTTGATAGAGTGACGTGCGCTATCCCATCGACGTGTCTGTAGCTGTTCTTAGGACCGACGGTGTACCGACTCGAATGCAGAGGCGCGTAGGAAGGAGGAAAGACGTTGCTATTTACTTTCCTGTTGTAGCAACCGGAGCCGGAGGATTTGGCACGGAGGAGGGTCCAAGGATCCCTGCGCGCTTCCCTCGGCCGCTTTGGCCAGTCTGACAAAGACAGCGGCGCTGGGAGGATGGTTCACGCAGCGGATTGACACTTGACAACCGCAATAACAACACCACACACCACCTCAACAAGTCGCATACCGCCCTACCAGCAGCCTCGAACCTCCACCTTATTTGCACTACCTGCACGACTCGACCAGACACAGACCAGCAATCATGGAAGCACTAAAGAAGGTGGGTCTTCAGAAAATGCCCCTCAATGCCACCAAGCCAGCTTTCCGCTCGAAACACCAACTGGTCTCCCGAACCAAGGCATACAAAAGTCAGCACGCCTGAAGCATAGCTAACCCGAGTCACAACACAGCGCATCAACGCCCTCCGCCTCGAAGCCGACGAGTCCTCCGCGCGGGCCGAAGAACTAGCAGCCAAAGTCAAGCACCTAGAGCAGGAAAACCTCGCCAAAGAGCAAGAGATCGTGTCGCTGCAGCACAAGAACCAGCTGCTGGAGGCGGAGGTGGACAAGCTCGAGACCGGCATCAAGGACGCCAAGGCCATCGCGGACGACAGCTCGTCGGCGGGCGCCCAGAACGAGAGCCTGCAGCGGAGGTTGCAGCTGCTCGAGGAGGAGGCCGAGGAGGCGGATAAGCAGCTGAGGGAGACGAATGAGAAGTACGTTGTGTGCTGTTCTTCGGGACGATTACGTCGTAGCTGTGCGTAAGATGAACAAGGGGCAACTGCTAACAGGTGCTTCAACTCCAGACTCCGCCAAACAGACGTCAAGGCCGGCCACTACGAACGCAAAGTCCAGGCCCTCGAGGCCTCTCACGACCAACTGGAGAAGAAGTACGAGGAGATGTCCAAGAAGTACGCAGACACCAAGAAGGAGCTGGACGACTTCGTGGCCGAGCTTGGCAACATCTGAGTCTTGCACCCTCATACCTTCGAGCGGTTCCTGTTGAGGTTTGATGCATAGCGGTCACGAGCCTACAGCAGATTCGATTTTCTTTTGGGCGGGCGGTAGACATGGATTGTAATCAGCAGCTGGATATTGGCGGCATGGTTAGGTGCCCTGGTGCTGGTTGATGTTGGTAGTCACTAGCAAACATTTCCTCTACACAGCGGTTTTGGATGGTGTCATGCTGGATGTGCTGAGAGCAGCTTTTGACAAGCCAGCAGTGATTGCAAAAGTGCACTGTCCCACCACGTTACACGTCCAATACAAAGGACGAGTCTAGCGGATAGCGAGCTCAACCACGCCGCGCCTTCGCTTGCTCCCTGTTCTTCAGCTGCTGCTTCGACCTCGTGAACTTCCGCTCCGCCTTACTCTCGTACCTGAACTTCTGCTTTTTCTTCTTCGGCTTACCGGTTTTCGGCTTCTCCTTTGTCCATATCCGCTTCTTGGCTTCGCTCGGGGCGTCCGTCGCGGCTTTGTCTTTCTCACCATCGCCTGCATCCTCAGCCTTCTCCTCCGCGGTCTCGCCAGTATGTATACCCTCCCTGTCGATATCCACAGCCTCCACCGTGACGGTCGTGTACTTGTCCTCGTCGACGTACTCGTCCTCGCGATTCACTTCCGCCTCCGCGGGCTGCTCTATGCCACCCCACTCTTCCTCCGTGCCCTCCCCCTCAGACGCATCACCCGCTTCCCCATCTTCCCCAGCCGCCTGCCTCAGCATCGCATTGACGCTCTCGACATGTTTCTCGAGCTCCTCTTTCCGCTGCTGTCGTAACTACTCCCCCGAATCCAACTCGTTAGCCCAAACATCCTCAGATTACCTCCCTCACCCCTCAGCACCCGCCATCGTCTACAGCCCGCAAGGCCCACGACGCCGGCAGAGAGGAACACGCACCTCAGCCCTCTCCCGTATCCGCTCCTCGCGCGCCTTCTTGGCGGCAAACTCCTGCGCGTGCTTGATGCGCGCCTGCTTGCGCTTGTGGAAGCCGGTCAGGTAGTCGGCGCGCGCGTCGGGGTCGAAGGTTACTTCTTCGGTGGTGGAGGTGGTCGTTTTGCGCTTTTTGGCGGGGGGTGGCATCGTTTGCGCGCGGTTTGAGGGGAGACGGTGGGCAGGCAGTTGTAGGGTAGTTTGGCTGCAGATGGAGTGAGGTCTGTTGACTGCAGGTGAGGTGCAGTGCCCAGGTGCCCTTTGCTGCGACGGGAGAGGGAGCGGAAAACTCGAGCAGGGGTCTGGCGGGCGCGGTGGGGGGATGTTCCGGGCGGGCTAGGCTGAGGCTGAGACGGCTACCATACTAAGCACACAGCAGCCTTGTATCAGGCAGCACCCTCGCTCATGTCATGGAGGCAGCAGTCGCGAACGCATTGCTTGGCAACAGGCTGGCCAGGCATGCACAACCATGCCGCTGAATTCGCGGAGCCAGTGTCTCTGGAAGATCGCGTCTCTGGCACGGTGCTCAAGACACGTGCCATCATGGACCCCTCGGGCTCTGCGGCGATGGATCCATTACCGGCCTCTGGACGCGTCGAAACGGGAGATACGCTTGTTAAGAGTCCATTCAGGGGAGGCCTCCGCCCTAGCAGGCGGATCAGAGACCTCCGATGATGTCGTCCGGTGCACGCTCAGTCACGTCTCCTTGCTCGATACAAGAGACCACTACGCCGTTTTCCGATCTGTTATCGATCCGACAACCCCAAGACAGGCTGTCTTAGACCAATGGGTAGGCTACGTCACCCGGGCCATGGGCGAAGAAGCTTCCGATTCCAACGATCATTTCTTCCGGTACAGATGGGGTGACTACATGGCCCTTTCGTATACGTGGGGGACGTCGCCCGTGACTCATGAGATCGTCGTGAACGGGCAGCGGATGATGGTTACCGCAAGCCTTGAAGGAGCACTTCGTGCGTTTCGCCTGAGCCAGGAACCCGGAGAGGATTACATGCTCTGGTGCGACAAGCTGTGTATCAACCAGCAAGATCTCGAAGAGCGTGGGCAAGAGGTCAAGCATATGCGCGATATCTACGGAGAAGCCCGATCGGTCTTCGTCTGGTTGGGAGACGAGGCTGATGAGAGTGATGTAGCCATAATGTGGGCCCAGATGATCTACGAAGACCTCGAGTTGCGGAAAGATGTTGTCGGAAAGTGGTTCTACATGATGGACAGCCTCAAAGATCAGAACATGGGGCTACGGGTACATCTAGCGCTCTACAGACTCTTCCTGAGACCTTACTTCCGGCGCGCCTGGATCGTTCAAGAGCTCGCTATGGCCCAGAGTTCGCTCGTGGTGGGGTGCGGTACTAAAGGCATCGAATTGTTCAAGCTGTGCCGTGTAGCGCGCTTCATAACGGATAACTTCGACAGCTTCATACATCTGGTTGACGAGGGTTTTAGGCGGACGACTATCGGCTCATGGGAATACCAAGATGGTCTTGGTGTGACTTTGACCTTGCTTAACCGGCTTAACAGGCTACGTGGACTGGCCATGGTACCGGAAGGCCAAATCGAAGCCAGCCACTCGGCAGCGTACGAACAAATTCAAGTGATGGAGAACGCGGATGCGAGTGATCCCCGTGACAAAGTGTACGGTCTATTGGGTCTGTTACCAACACAGCTCTCCTCAAACATCAAGCCGGACTACACACTACCAGTGGAGAAGGTTTACGCCGACTTTGCCATTTCTGTTATTCAGACGACCAAAACCCTCGACATCATCCATCAAGGCAACAAAAGTCTAAGACATTCAAATCTACCATTATGGATCCCTGACTGGCGATTACCGCAGGTGGACTACGGAATAGACTTTACGGCCGCTCCATACAACACCAGCGGCTCGACTACTGCACATATCGAACTTTCCAACAACTCTCGTCTACTCACCTGCAACGGGTTCCAGGTGGACACGATCAACGGAATTTCAGGTACGATGTCCCCGCACGACACAGGAGAAACAGAATTGCCTTATACTGAAGATGCCATCCAACCCACCATCACCAACCATGCGTACGGCAATGACGAAAACCTCGTCGAAGCTCTAGCTAGGACTTTTCTTACGGATCATACATACAGGCATGAGAAAGGAGCCAGCGTGTTCGACATCCCATGGCTCGAGGAAGACAATCCCGATATGAAAGAGCTCCTCCAAGCCCTGACAGACCGTGGATATTGGCCAGCACTGTCCGACTCTTCGATGTTTCAGGCGTTCAACTGCTTTCGGTGGGCGATTGCGGATTTCAGCATCGGCGGCCGCCCTTTAAAAGATTTCTTTCCCACTATAGCGACGATGCCTGCATGCACCAATCCGGCGAAGACTGTACGGATCATGCGGAAAGTAGTGTCCCGATCTTTTACCTTAAGGCCTGTTGTCACGGACAAGGGCTACGTAGGTCAGGCGAGCCCACTTGTGGTTCAGGGTGATGGTATCTATGTCTTGGAAGGCTGCAAGCTGCCGGTGATTCTGCGCCCGAAGGGTCCGTATTTCGAGGTGCTGGCGAGTTGTTACATCGAAGGCATCATGGGCGGCGAAGCGATGGAGTGGCTCAAGGGCGGTCGTTGCCAGCTCCGTGAGATCACGCTCTGCTGACCATGCTCGGGGTCGTACTTCTTCAGAGAACCACAGAGCCTGAAGAGGTAACATCCAAAAACATTACTCATTCCCACGAACAAGCTACACTGTCAAGAAACCCTAGAACCTCCGCGTTTTCTCCCCCCTCCATACCCCCAACACCTCCCCCGTCTCCCCGACCCACTCCCTGACCCCATTAACAACCGCCTTCGCCATCCCCGCATTCGTGCCCGCGCGTTTCCTCCCCCCACCACTTCCAACACCACTCACGCTCCCCGCAGCCCCCATCGTCGACTCCCGCCCAGCGCTAACATAGCTGCTCCCCTCGCCCGTCGCGTACTCGCTCCCCATGCTCGGCAGCACGTTCTCGCCCGCGGACAGCGACACGAAGAGCGCAAAGGGCACGAGCCAGACGCAGAGGCCGAAGTAGCTCGAGATCTCGGTGAAGGTGGGGATCGAGGCGTCGCGCGCGGAGTAAGGGTTGTGGTAGCTGCTGCCAGGCCGGGAGGGAGGCGCGGAGAAGTGCGTGAACCAGAGGTAGTGGTTTAAGAGGACGAGGGCTGCGTTGGGGGGTTGGGGGTGTCAGTTGGGGGCGTTCCTTGGTTTGAAGGGGGGCTGATGGAGGTACTGCAGGACGAGGGAAGATGCCATACCGCATGAGAGTATGAATAGCGGGTCTGTCAACTTGACGATGGGGAAGCGCCGGAGGTTCTGCGCGTAGATGACATGGCTGAAGACGCTAAGAGTGCTGAGGCCGATGGGGAACTTGTCGACAAGGCAAAGGAGGATTTGGAGGGCTATCACGCCGTAGATGAGGCGCGTGAGGAGCTTCTTGGCGAGCACGGTGTGTTCTTCAACTAGTTCGGAGAGGTAGTACAGTCCGGAGGCTGTTGTGGTTAGCGATATATGCTGAACAATGGCAGGATTTGGAGGAGATGTGAAGCTAGGCGTACCAATGGCCAGAGTCAGAAAGGCGAAGCCGAGTAGAACGCCCAGATAGCCTACCAGGGGCAGAATCCACATATCGAGTGCTCGGGAAGCTGTTGTTGTTTAACGCTGTTTCTGGACAGCTGGAGGTTTCGCAAACGGATGACATGCCTTATCGATAACGAATTTCTGCAACACCACGCCAAGACCATCCCACATTTTCTGGTACCTCCTCAGTTCTAGTCCGAAAACGCACCGCGCACCACCTACGAATCTCAACCGCTCAGCTTTCACGCACCACATCAGCTTCTGCATACATCACTCAAAGCAACCGCCAAGATGTCCCGCCCCGAAGACCACCTCCCCCCCGACCTCTTCTACAACGACGCCGAATCCCGCAAATACACCACCTCCTCGCGGATCCAGCACATCCAATCCAGCATGACGCACCGCGCGCTCTCCCTCCTCTCGCTCTCCTCGCCCTCCCTCATCCTCGACATCGGCTGCGGCTCCGGCCTCAGCGGCTCGATCCTCTCATCCGTCGCCCCGGAAGACGGCGGGCCCCACGTCTGGATCGGCCTCGACATCTCCGAAAGCATGCTCGGCGTTGCGCTAGAGCGGGAGGTCGAAGGTGACTTGTTCCTCGCGGACGCGGGACAGGGCGTGCCCTTCCGCCCCGGCACGTTCGACGCCGCGATCAGCATCTCAGCGGTGCAGTGGCTCTGCAACGCCGAGTCCTCCGAGGAGAGCGCACAGGGCCGGCTGACCAGGTTCTTCAACGGGCTGTATGCGAGTCTGCGGAGGGGTGGACGGGCGGTGTGTCAGTTCTACCCGCGGAACGAGGAGCAGAAGCGCATGGTGTCGAGTGCGGCGATCCGGGCAGGTTTCGGCGCGGGGCTGCTGGAAGACGATCCGGGGACGAAGAGCGCGAAGACGTATTTGGTGCTTACGGTTGGGGGTGGGGAGCTTGCGGGGGATATCACGGGGGTGGTGGAGGGGCTGGATGATGTGGACGTTGTGGATGGACGGAGGGGTGGGGGGAAGGTCAAGAGGGGGGAAAGGAAGGGTGGGAAGGCGTGGATTATCAGGAAAAAGGAGCAGATGGAACGGAAAGGGAAGGTGGTGAAGCCGAATTCGAAGTATACGGGGAGGAAGAGAAAGATTGCGTTCTGATGTATGGCTACGGTTCGTGGCTTTTTGCATTGCGAGCGTGGCGTTGGTAGGACTGCATCGGAAATCCGAGTGCATACGGGATCGGACTTGTTCATACAAGTTATGGACGACGCGCATACCCAGGGATGAAACTACGCTCTGGTAGGGCAGGTGGCCAGTGGTACACGTATACCTCTATGGATCAGGTGAGCGAGGTCTTTTCTTGGCCCTCTCATATAACGACACCCGTACGTCGTCTCACATAACTGGAGATCCTTCGTGGTTTCGGCACAGAAAGGCTAGGTAGCTGGATCGGCCTAGGTAACAAAGCGGATCTTAGGAAAAAGGGCAGGCAATACAGATAGATTGAAGCCTACAAGCTTGGGAGGTCTTATGGAAAGCTAAGAATTCAATCATGCATTCCAACTATTGACATGCTAGAAATACACTATGTGGCACAATCTATCTTGCTGCGACGCTACAATAGGATCATCATCCTGATGCCTCCATCTTGTCCAGAATGGCCCGGGTGAACTGGTGTGTCGTGGCGCTGCCACCCATGTCACGTGTCCTCGTTTTGCTATAATTCGTCAGCTTCGAGCTCTCATCACAAGATAGACGCTGGAACTCACCCTTCAGAGATAACATCATACACAGCCTTTGAGATGCGGTTGGCGTGGTCGTCCAGCCCAAGGTGACGCAACATCATGGAACCAGACAGGAGCAGCGCAGTCGGGTTGGCCTGATCCTTGCCCTTGATATCCAGACCAACGTGACGGCAGCCAGGCTCAAAGACGGCAACCGACCGGCCCATGTTGCAGCCCGGTACAATACCGGGTCCACCAACGAGGCCTGCGCCGATATTCGATAGGATACCGCCGTACAAGTTCGGCATAACCATGACATCGAACTGTTGCGGTCTCGACACACACTGCATAGAAGCGTTGTCGACAATCATGTCATTCGTCTCCAGTGTTGGGTAGTCTTCTGCGACCTTCTTGAAGGTGTTCCGGAAGAGACCATCGGCAAGCTTCATGATGTTGGCCTTGTGGATGCAGGTGACCTTCTTCCTGTTGTTCGCAAGGGCGAATGCGAAGGCAAACTTGGCGATACGCTCAGACTTCACCCGGGTGATGATCTTCAGAGACTCGACGACGCCGCTGACAGACTGGTGCTCGAGACCGGAGTACTCGCCCTCGGTGTTCTCTCGGATAATGCATAGGTCGACGTTCTTGTGGCGGGTCTCGTAGCCGGGGATGTTCTTGATCAGAACGATGGAGGCATAGATGTCAAGCTCTTGCCGTAGCGCGACGTTGAAAGACTGGTGCCCGGAGCGTTCGACAGGCGTGTGCAGGATACCCTTCAGGCCGAGCTTGTTGCGCTTCAGCGAAGCAATCGACTCCCGAAATAGCTCTTCCGAGTGCTTGTCCCCTGTTTCCACGCCTGACACGTCCACCTGCTCCCACTCCACTGGCACGTTGTCGGCCTTGAAGATTTCTTTGACCGATTCTGACACTTCGGCACCAACACCGTCGCCGGGTATGAGGGTGACTGTGTACTTGCCGCCGAACTTGGTGGGCTTGAAGATGTCGGACTGGAGGGTTGCCATCGACCGTGTAGCTGGTCTGGCGCCCCGCAGAAGGGTCTGATGCAGGTGGTAAGGTTAGCTCTGCCTCGGCGCATGGGGGATTGTGTAATGTGCTTCTGGGTGTGCAGTACCTGCACAGTCTTGTGGGAGCTCCGCGACAGCATCTTGAGGGCTAGCGACGAGGAGTACTCGGGGTTGGTTTCAAGGCAATGGCTGTGCTTGGAGGCTGCGGAGCAGGTGGGCGAGCTGCAGAAAAGCAAAGCTCTCGGGATGGGATTCGCTTGCGGCTCGCCTTGGCGGCAACGTCAATTCCAACCGGCCCTCTTCAGCTCGCTCCTTTGACCGTGTCGCGCAACTCATAAAGTACGCATTAGGATGGATATATCCTTCCATCACGCGTTGGAGCGGTGCTTCGGTCTGAAAATCTCCTGGTGCATGAGTGCAAGATTGTGGTAATGCGAAGGCTGCGTCAATCCGTTTCCGAGACCGCATAATTCGAAGGGGAGTACGTAGACGGTATCATGCTTGGGCCTGATCCGCGGTCTTTCTTTGGTCTCATCTTTCCCAGTCTATCAGCCGTTGTAAATTCCATCTTGTCTTCGAGCAATACTAGAGTTTTCTTGCCAGAACACCGTCATCGAATATCCTGTCCTGCTCGATTATAGGGGACTGCACGCTTCCATACCAAAGGGCCATTCTTGAGGTCCATGCCATTGACTAAAGTCAAAATTCCCTCTCGAGTCGTGAACACATCATCAAGCCACCTGCGTAGACAAAGAAGGCTATGCTCGGTTTCATTCATCTGCTCAACTCTTGGCAACTACACGCAAGCCATGAAAGGATCCAGGGTTGATTTAATCTCAGCCCTGCATATGATACAAAACTTAGTGGCTTGGATTTTAGTAGCTACTCGAACAAAGCAAATGAGAAAGCCGACCATTGTAACACCTAGCCGTAAGCTCCCTTCGTTGTGAGTTTCTCAGACGTGGTCTTTCGCTTGCCTTTCTCCACGTGTTTCTTGCCAAATCTCTGTCTTTGTTTGACTTCATTGTCTCCAGGCCAAATTACCTTTGGCGCTCATACCCCGAGGTATACGATAAGTATGTCCGGTTCATCGCCGCCAATTGTGTTTCCCGAGTTTTGCTACTCACTTCTTCAAACCACAATGTTGTTGTCCACACTCCTTATTGCTCTTCCTGCTATCGGGGCTGCTGCGCTCCCTCAGCCAAATGCTCTGCAAGGTCTTACATCATCATCAATCACAAGCACAAGTTCTGTTGCGCCGATCACAATGACCAGTGGAACTAGCACAAGCACTATGATCCTGCCAATGCTCAACACCACTACCGCGAAGCCCACAACGAGTGAGTAGCACTGGAGTCGAATGCTTGAACTGTAGTGCTGACTGGGTCTCTTAGCGCACACAGTCTATCTGGGCACTACGACGACAACCACGACGACTTTCGTTGCTGCCCCTACGAATGCCACAACAACCTTCGCATCAAATGCAACGATCAAGGCAACGGCCGCGCCCACGGCGACTGACAAGAAGATCTCAGGAGCGACTTCGAATCTCTCGAGTGGCAACTTCATCGGCCTTGTTGCTGTGGCCGTCGGTGTCTGCGTGGGCACGCTCTACTGAGTAGTCTTTCATACGGAGTGGGATGAACATGTTTGGGGTGAAATCAGGCTAGCGCCGCACAGGTTGCCGCGATGAATGCCGCTACAGCTACAGAGTCACGATACGCCGGGTCGTGAAGTGACTCGTAACTGCTTGTATCAGTACGGGAATGTGAGATGTGCGTGGTGAGGGCTTATTAGAGGAGAAGGCAGACGATACCGAAGCTCGGTGTAGTGAATGACCGGCGCCAAAAGTTATCCTTTACTGTATTGCCAATAAATTTTTGATACACACTGCTTCTTAAATGACTGAGTAACATCGTCGTGATGTGATATAGAATGTGTACATGCTATACAACTACCTGTGACTCGAGATGACAGGACGGTCCACGGCAGGGGAGTCCGCGCGGCGGGTAGCGGACAACCTCCGAAGTGCTTCATCTGCACATCTTCCATGCTACTCCATAGAGTGCTCTGTTGCATCACGTGCCAAACCCTGGGTATGGGGTTGTAGCTGAGAATGTGAAAGCATGGCAAGTCAGCTCCGGCGGATGGCAATTATCGCTTCCTGAAGGACTTTCTGCACGACACCAGAATAGCCATCATTCAAGGCCAACTAAACCACATCCCACAATGGCCGAGATACGCGCCGACGTTCTCACAAAAGTCTCAGCAGAAGGTAAGAAATTCTTGAGTCAGCTGAACACGGACCCGTTCCTGACTTGCATACACCAGTCGCCGAAACCTTCGTGGACGCCTACTACACCGCGCTCCAAGGCTCCCGAAATACCATATCCAGCTACTATACGCCCCGCAAGACCCTCTCCGACGGCAGAATCGTCCCCGTCATTGTCTGGAACGGCAATCACATCCCCGATGCCGCCGCCATGCAAAAGATGTTCGAAGAAACCATGCCATACACCTACTACGACGTCCAATCACTCGACTGCGACTTTGTCAACACTGGACTGGCTAAAGAGGCGGCCACGGCGGCTAATGCGGACGTTGTCTCAAAGAAGGAGCTGGAGCAGCACTCGCCGGTGGTGGTTATTGTGGGCGGGTATGTAAGGCTGGAGGAGGCGAGGGAGGGCCCGATGAGGGGGTTTAGTGAGACGTTTGTGCTGGTGCCGAATGAGGAGAAGGTCGCGGGGAAGGGGAAGGGGAAGGAGGGGAGGGCGTGGTTGATTCAGAACCAGAATTTTAGATACGTGGTTTGATTCAAATTCACAAAGCTAGGCTTCTGACGGGCGACTGAACAAGATCGAGCTTTACGGCAAAGCTCCGGAGAGGGTGAGTAATGCCAAGGGCTATGGGAGTTTACAGGGCGGAGAGTGAATTCTCCCTAGGGAACCTGTTGACATTGAGCTGGCGTTCGTCGATCTGTTCAGGCAGTTTTCGTGGTTCACACTCCACAAAAGGAATCGTCTTTTCGCGGTCCCTGAGGACATCTGCTCTGTTCTTCCTAGTCAAGCTAATTTCCGGGCTTCGTACACTTGTTTTGAAAACATGCTGCAATGCTTCGACAGCCTTCATTCCGGGATTCCAGAAGCCAGAGACACATCTCTATTCCCTGGTGGACCCCATGCCCTTCCCGACCAACAGCCGTATAGGAGGTACCGGCCGTAGAGCGGTTATCATCATTCGAGCGGACGGCGAGGTCACCACATACGGGACGTCAAAGAGCAACGGGGTAGAAGCGGTGCCTACAGCCTTTCAATGGCTTCGAAAGCGGGCTAGACCACTGCAGTACGCTATATTTTAAGTGCGTTTGCAGCACAATTTCAGTCCCACATGAGCATTGGGGATGCAATGAAGAAGATCGGCTTCTCGCACGGTCAAAGGGCTCGGACAAGTTCGCAGAGAACGTATTGCCCAACAGGCGGGCTGTCATCCTTCGGTCGCTGCCTTGTCTTTCGCAAAGTCACTCTACAGGATGTCCGCCGCACGAACGCAAGTCCAGCAATCATCCGAATTCGATAGTGTACAGTTGTGACACGCCTTGTACCACGACCTAGGGTCGCCAGGCCAAGGCCATTGTCAGCGCTCTATCGCGAAGATTCTTTCAATCATTTTCTTTCAGTGCTTTGTACAGCGCGCATTGTACATTGCAATTGGTGCAAAGCCAAGCACAAAGCCTATTGTTCGCGCTGTTCATCTTCCCAGATTCGTAAAATGAATACGCGAAAAGCTAAGACGACCGCGGTCCCGAGACCTGCATTGCACTCCGCACTACCAGATACAATTCTCGCAGATACACCTTCTCAACAACCAAGCCCAGGAGCGCAGTCGCGGTGCGATAACCCTCCTGTTCACCCACCATGCTGCTGCGATTACCCAAGGTAGATAAATACTCCTTCCCCACGCTCAGTATAAGATTCAATTGGGCCGCCACCGATAAGCCCACACCGCCTGTAAATGCACCACCTTCTCCGCTCTTCCCGGACTCCTCCGTTGCGGCCGTCATCCTGAAAGAGTTTGACGCACGAGACTTTGGCGACTCGGCGGATGAGCTAGCTTTCTGGTTCAATGCCCGCTGGAAGAAGTCGGGCTATAGCCTTGACGGTGACACGCTGGTGCAGCTGCTGAGGAGCCGGGGGAGAGACCCGTGTCGTGGACGAGTATAGAGGCTGGAGGGCAGATTTATGAGGTGAGCGGGCGTTTCTTAAATAGGTTTTGCTAGGCGTCGGTGTTGCGAGGAAATGAAATACTCGATAAAGTGATAGACGATTGCATAAGGGCGAGTCTTTTGGATTGCCTACGCGCATAGATGGCGCTCTGACGCCGATTGTGCTTTCTAAGCTTAGATGGTTCGACAACAGGCGAACACACTGATAGCATATTTTGTATGAAATTGCGCATTTCATACTAATAATTCTGATTGAGCGCCAGCTTTCTATTTTGAAGAAAACTCAGTACCGAAAGCTAAAGCCAACTATGGCCTCCATGAAGAGCCTGAAAGGTGATATGCCGCTCGTGACGTTACGCATGGTGTTTGAAGCGGAGTCGTTTTCGTGACAGGCAAAGGCCAAGTAGTTGCGGGAAGTTGCTTCGTTTTGATGAAAGTGATACAAGGTAAGTGAGAAACATTGAAAGGGTATGACTTTGGATTGAGGAGTCTCGATGAGTAGACATTCAACTTTCTGCTCTTCTGCTGTATAAATTGGGAAATCTAACGAATTGAAGAATCGAGCAAAGCGCGCTCGTGTCAACGGAGTACTAGCTGGGTGTTAAACGACCTACTGCAGATCCCTCTGGAGCAACGAGAATGCCCGGTCAGACATTTTCGAACGGAGTGCGGTGCATAGATAAGACTACGTGTCGAAGGCTCTGGACTAACACTCAGTGGCGCGTTTTCTACCTTAAACAAAGCAGTCGTTAAGAATATGGCGGAAAGATGATCAAGCGGTGGGCCGTGTGGCAGAAAGATGTTTCAAGGATGGACGTCATCATACTCTCCCATGATGTTTTTTGTGTGCTTCTTTCCAGTTCAGAGACTCTACTCGCACCACTTTGTGTTGCATACTTCTGTGACGCTAGTAACGGCTTACAATACCGTCAACACAGCAGCAGTGAGTCCTACTATAGGGCTTGTTGTTCTGGGTTGGCGCAATGCCTCCAGGGATCGTAGTTCAAGCGCGGCAGACTTCCGTCGTAATAGGTTGGTGTAAACGATATGCTGGTTGAGGGTGATGACTTCATTGAAACAGTTGAAGAACAAGGAGTGCTAATTTCGGTCCTGATTGAACTGCTGAAGGGATGTAACCCAGCAGTGCAACACACCGAACAGAAGGATTTGAGTATGGGAACTGTGCAATGCTGCAGAGTGGTGTGGAGCGCTATCAACAAGCCGAAAGATTATCCCGACGGAGGCATCTCCTGCGGCGAAATATTCCGTCCTGGAAACCGGATATAACCAGACCGCGACATTTTCCAAGGCGAGAGAAGACAAGCCTCGCGGAGGAGTTCACGGAGGCTGCCGTGTGTTTCAGTTGCCGAATTTCGCCTCTTCAATAATACGATAGCGAAGCTCTTGTTCCCGTCTCAATTTAGAACCCAACCAGGTCGAGAAAGGGAGCAGCTCGGATGCGAAGCGTTTCTCGGGCACGAGAGGCGTCCTGATAAAGAATTGCCTCCACGGCCCCACGATGGAGTTAAGCTTACCAAAGTCCGCCACGTCGGACGGGGGCTTGCACCGGATTCTGAGCCTGCGAATGGCTGGAGATGCCCAAGATCGACAATTAAAAGCCGAAGTGATCGCTCTTTCGCTGCGAGCCGAAGGCGATCACTTCTGACAGGTGCTATTTTTGTTGCGGTTGGCTGCGGTGTTCGCTGATGGCGACACTTGATCGGCAAGAAGCCCTGATTACCCCAGCAATGGGACGGGCGCTTTGTACCCGACTGGTTAGCTGGCCGAGAAGAGCGTCCTGTCGGGCAATGAGGCGAATCTTTATTTCCAGTGCTGCGGCGAGTAGTGCGGAGGTGTAGCACTGTATAGTTGACAAAGGGGTTGCTATCGACCTCCAAGCCAGGACAGAGGTTCTTGATGCATGATGCGATACAACGCCATGCAGCACAGGCAGGGGAACGGCCGAGCCGTGGTTCACGGCGCATGGAAGCCAAGCAAAACCCGTGGTGGAGCTCGAACTCGTGGTGGTGGATGCCGCCGCCATGCAGGACGGGTTTCCACGATTCCCTTGGGGCTGAGGCGTTCTGCAAGATGTTCTAGTTTGTGGCGTCCGCCCAGTGGCTGGCCAGTCCGTCGCTTGCGTCCCAAGAGACGACATCCGTGCCAGGAGCTACCAATCACCAGTGCAATCGACGCATGTCAAGTCCCTTCGAGTGATCCGAGTCGCATCTGGCCTGCGCACGGCTCGTCGAGCATGCCAGATCCACCGCAAAAAGAGTTCGATACTACTGCACGACCGCGTGCGTGGCCACTCCGGACCCCTCGCGCAGAATCGGCCCATTTGCGTCGCCATTGGCCCGTTGGCCCCAATCTGAATTCCTAGCCCTCGGGCTGGGATTGCGGTATCGTGTCATGATGGCAAGATTGCTCCACTGACCCCCGGCGTTTGGGCTCGTCCATTGGTGACTGGCCAGTATGGAACTGTGGTTGACGTCCGCCAGGGCCGTCGTGGCCGCTGCTCACTATGGCGACTGTCCCAGCAGGAGCGAGTCGCCCAAATCCCAGGGCAGCAAGAACGTCTCGGGAATTTCATCATCACTTGAGCCACTTTGGCCAGTAGCGCCTGGGGATGTAGAATGACCTACCTCTTGGTCCTGAGTTACATAGCGAACCTGTTGAACGCCCGAATCCAAGGGGCAAAGCCCCAAGTTTTTCTTGCGGTTGACGAGCCAATGTCTAAACCTTTACTGGGAACACCGTGTCCAATCCCAGTCATTCGATCAATCAACGTTTGATTGACACCTTACGGGCAACTGCCACTAAAAAGTCTCCCCAGCCAACTGCGCTCTCCACAGAGCGCCGTTCCCACTCTTTGCTTTGCCTGTTCCTCACGGACTCCGCACTCGTGGTATCCGACAGTTTCGAATCAAGCACTTGCCACCGCTAGGATCATCCAGCCTTACAGGGTCCCTTAGTATCCCTTGTCTCTCAATCCGAGGATTCGTCCTGTTGTGCGAGATACCTCCTCATAGCCCCTAATTAAGGCTTCAGCCTGCATACATTGCACGGCCAATCATAGTCAGCAGAGCTTTGGGTCTGGGAGGCAATCGAAGCGCACGCTCGTGGTACGTGGTGGATACAAACTTTCTCCTTAACCATCTCCATCCCGCTACCCTGGCACCTTCCGCCTTTGCGCCGTTTTAGGGCTCGTCTCCACAAACGTCTAACCCGTCTCATCCATATGGCTCTGAGTCTGCCAATCTTAAAGGGACGTTGACAGCCTTCTTCTTCGCCGTTACTGGCCACTTTGAGTTTGATCGACCCAGATCCGCCTCAAGCGAGTTGCCATTAGGATCACTGCCTCGTGCGGAACGGCTGATCACGTCCCGTTCAGGCGGCTATCACTGCGCGCTTCTTTTTTTACTTCTCTACATCTACTTACTCTCTTCAGTTGATTGGTATCTTTCCACAACCTCCTAAGCATTGCCGTTCCCCTTTGGGACTTCCTCCGTCCGTCTTTGCCACAGGAGCACAGCACATTGATATAGCTTCCGGTAAGCTACATGGACAAGCAATGATTCACGATCTTTCTTCAAGTGTTGCTACCCTCTCTTCGTGCGGATCATGGACTGACATGGCTTTTGTTTGGGTACAGCAGTGGATCGCATTACCGGTCATCGCCGAAGAACTCATGGGTGATGCGCCAGCAGAGAACAGCCTCTTGGGTTTTGGAAGAACAGACATGAACCAAGACGAAAGTGGTGCTGCTGGGAAGCCAGCCATCGGCGCCGGCAACATTCCTACGATGGCTGACTTGCGGTCCCCCGGAATCAATGCGCCGTTCCATTCGCAGTACAGCTCGATTCCGTATGCTCAGCAGAGACCTGATCAATCACGCCTACCTTACCAGCAGAGCCAGGACCAAGGCGCATCTTCGTTCAACATGGGCGCATTAGGTGGAGCATTGCCGGATTACTCTTCAATGACCTCTCAGCAGCATCAGTCGCAACGACCGCTATCCGGCGCATCGACCTCAGCACTTGTATACCAACTGCAACAGAACCTCCAGTACCCGACTCACCCAGCTCCCAACTACTCACAGCAGCCTTCTTTCAATACGAGCCTAGCGCACCAGAGTTATTCGTCCGCTTATCAGTCAGGTCAAGGCGTGCAGACAGGCGCCTATGGTGTATATCCATCCCAGCATCAGAGATCGGCCGGCCCGAGCCCACAACAGCACTCGTTCCCCACTTTCCAACAACAAACACCACAGTACCTCTATTACACTCCGACCTATGCTCCACAAGGACCGCCTCAAGGGCATCAAGCTCAGTTCGCGCAGCAATCGGGAGGCTATGGGAGACGATCAAGCCTGCCTGGCCAGAATTACGTGACAGGTCCCGAAAGCGGCATACTGGGTGGTAACCCCGGTATGGCCGTTCGCATGATGCCTGGCGTTGGAGGTGGAGCGGAGTATACAGCAGCCACCGGCTATCTGCAAGGCATGAAAGCCATTACGAACATCATCTATGAAGGTTGACTAATCTCGTATTGTACAGGTCTCAATCGACAGGCATCAGACTCAAATCTGAGCTCTGTTCCTCGAGGGCCCCCACGCAAGCCGAAGCAGTCAGGACACGCACTATGGGTCGGCAACCTCCCTCCAGGAACCACTGTCGTCGACTTGAAGGACCATTTCTCTAAAGATGCGACGAGAGACATCGAAAGCCTGTTCCTGATCTCTAAAAGCAACTGCGCGTTTGTCAATTATCGCACTGAAGCCTCTTGCGTAGCGGCGATGCATCGCTTTCACGACTCACGCTTCCATGGCGTTCGACTTGTGTGCCGCTTGCGAAGGAGTTCAACAGCTGCTTCTGGCGTCCCTACTGGACCATCTGCTATGAGTGGTCCGCGCGCGCCTAGCATATCTCCACGGCGTTCGCCTGATCGGCAAGAAGAGGAGGAAGTTACTGAGGTAGCTGAGAAGCCAACCAGACAGCTTGTGGACGGTGAGGCTACAGCACCTCCGAAAGTTGCTGAGAAATTTTTTATCGTGAAGAGTCTCACTCTTCAGGACCTCGAACTGAGTGTGAGAAATGGCATCTGGGCCACTCAGGCCCACAACGAAGAGGTACTCAATCAGGCTTACGAGGTACGATCGCACTCCCCGCTGTGAGTTACCCTTCAGCTTACTTTTTTTAGACAGCGGAAAATGTCTATCTCATCTTTTCGGCCAATAAGTCAGGCGAATACTTCGGCTATGCACGTATGGCCTCACCGATTGGCAAGACCTCTCCCGAAACGGTGCCTACAGTCTCGAGAACAGAAGTCATAGAAGCTCTGGATGGTCCTAAGTCCATACCGACACCAGCGACTGAATTCGCACCTAGGGGTCGAATCATCGACGATTCAGCACGCGGCACGATATTCTGGGAAGCTGACCTCTCCGACCAAGAAGATGATGCCCCTAAGGCTGGCGACAACTCTGCCGACGTAGAAGAGTCGGTGAGCGCTCAGACTTGGGGCAAGTCCTTCAAGATCGAATGGCAGTCTACCAATAGACTCCCCTTCTACCGCACTCGAGGGCTTCGCAACCCCTGGAACGCGAATAGGGAGGTTAAGATCGCTCGGGACGGCACTGAGCTGGAGACAAGCGTTGGCAAACGGCTGGTCCAGATGTTTCACCGTCTGGGACCGTCGAGTGCTGGACCAGCTAGTCTGCCTGCAATGCCGTTACCTCCCATGGGCGGTCCACAGATGCGACCGTTTTAGTCCTTCAGTTGATCCTTGCGAGTTGTGTGCGTGTTCTATCCAAGCATTTCACTGGTGTTGTCTGCAAGCATGCTCCTGTTTCTCAGTTCCTCCACGTACACAAGCCTGTTAGAAGTTTAATCACCTTCCAGTCGCATCGTCGGTCCGGATACCTTCGGCGATTGTCCGTTCACGACCTACGAAGCAACGATTGGATGCCATGTCGGGCGACGAGTCATGTACTTCATGTCCGCTATTGCGCCTTCTGTTATTTCCTGCATCTGCGTTATTGTTTGTCGGCCTATCGGTCCCGCAGTCAGACCTGGTGTAGTTTAGATTCAGCTATCCAGCGGCGTGGCTTGAACGTGCGCATCTCAAACTAGCTTAAAGTCTGTGTGAGCTTCCGTTGCCGCGCTCGGTTTTGTCGCAAGGTTTCCTCTCGAACGACGCTGATGCGCAGTCCTTCGCTTGAAATCATTGCTGCCCAACACTCTCCCTTTGTTCGTTCCGTTATGAGCTCGTCCGTAGAAACGCCATTGGCTAACACTAATTATCGGACCGTTTCAGGGGCGGTTCGCAACCTCAGCCAGCCACGGCATGCACGTTGCACAGCCACAGCCAGGATGCCCATTCAATCTGCGGAAACGGCTTTCCCGCCTCCATGCAACGTGCGCCATCGAACCCCTTGCTGGTGACGACATAGCTTTGAGCAGGGTCCTCCATGTTTTCGGCACTTTGGACTCTGCAGTCATGTGAACGAGAGGATGATGAGCCGAGAATAATACCGCTTCAGTCCAAGCTATAGCGAGACTGCCGTTGTAGCAAGGAACCATTCCTGTATGTTTGTTCCTTAGCCTCTCTACTTGAATCAATCGCAATTTCCCCAACAGGGCTGAGTCTCTCACGAACGTCAGCGGTTGCTGCGGCGGCACGCATTGTTTCAGTATATTTCACAGCCTTTGCTTGATTATGCGCTTCCTTAATCTCTGCATGGAGCTTTTGGGTATGCGCCGGCTTCGGGAGTGCTTCCCTGGACGTTTACATTTCGGCTCTTCTCTTTGGTTTAGCGTTCATCACCCCATGACGAAGCTCAACATGGGAGAACTCCGGTTACCCAATTCTTGCGCACGTTCTCGCCAGACGCAAGGCCCCTTCCTGTCGATTCAACTACATCGCCGCACAATATACAGACTCACGATTTCGGTGCGCCTGAGCATGCCTTGACCCGTCGCTATGACTTCAAATCCAGAGGGTTCCATAATTTTTCCCTCGGTCTAACGAATCGACTTGCAAGTCCAGCCGGCGAGCAGACGTTCCAAAAAAACCCAATGTCGGAGTAAATAGCGCGAGCCATGGATTGAAAAGAAGCCGGCACCAGGGCTAGAATAGCGGTAGACCCTGACATCAGTGCGTTCACGCTAAAAGCGTCTCTCGATCCAACGGCTCGGCAAAGGTTCAAAACCGGAAGTTGTTCCGTCCACTTGCGAGAGCGGCGTCGGTAGATAGAGATCTCCATGTTTTTCCCTCAGTTTTCCATCTCTCCCGCAGCCTGGTCGAGCCTCAACATACGTCAATGCTGCGTTGGGTAAAGCTGCGAGCTTGGGGCCATCCGGCACTTCCACGCCAGCGTCCTGCTCGCGTGCCCTGCACAAACACATTCAGCACCATGCCGAGACATCCGTCCCGTTCTATCCGGAAGATGTCACCCAGGAATCTGCAAACAGATTGAGCACTTTCCTGCAAATCATTCAAATTCTCGCCTCTAGCGTCCCCCCTCTCCCCCGGGGGGTTGTCGGAAGTGTCACCCGTTGGCATGAAGGTACCACAGGCATTCATCAGCCAGAAATTGTGCTATTTCCACGCCTGCAATTACTATGGCATCGCCAAGCATCTAGAATATTTTCCATGTTCAAGAATGCAAGTTCACCGAAACTCTGCAGGGACGAAGCAGTCCCCGCCGCGCCTGCTGAGGGCCTGTCTCAACATTCTAGGTTCTCATCTCTGACTTGCATTCTGCTCGTCTCGGCGCTACCATCTCCACCGATTCATGCGAGTTTCAAGCGGCCTCACGACGGGGCTCAAGAGGGACGCTTTCCGAAGATTCTTGTTGCATCGATAGACGCGTGTCGCCTCGTACAATACCGCCGGTTACCAGCACAAACGTGCGTTGCGGCCACTCAGCCCTTCCTTTAGCTGGATCGACCTGATCTGAGGACTGCAGACGGAAATCACTAGACCTCTGCGCCAAAGCACTCGGGTGCTTTGTAGTCCCTGGGCTAGACCTTCTGCCAAACAAAGCATCTGTTCTCATTAGAACGGTGTCATGCGAGCAGCAAACGCCAATCTGGATGAAATTCCTCAAAACATTTCCCCACATCCACAAGTTCGCAAAAACGTAGAGCCGTTCGATGGCGGTGCGATGAGTTAGTTACGCCGGATCTATTACGCCGGATCTAGAACACCCTGGCCAGTCGACCTAATTGGAAGAATAAGAACGCTATTTCCGACAGAACTGCATGCTACGAAACTTCCGAAACCGGCCATAATTAGGCCTTCAGCTTCGAGTTGTTCTACTGCGAAGTGTCTCCGGTAAGCATCCGGCGACATGATACTCAGCTCAAAGCCTTGACTCCGAGTAAGACCGGAGCAGTATCAAGCTGGAATTTACGGCTGCGAGTGAGTGCTTCAATGCGGCTTCTTATGTCCATATACCGCTCCCAGCTGTCGCCAGAGCTGCGCGGCGCGGAGAAGCGATTTTGGGGATCAAATCATAATGATAGAACTTCATTCATAACGATGGTGAAGTGCGTCCCTTCCCTTGCCTTATCGCCATAATCGGGAGTTCAGCGCGATGTAGCGTTTACGTTTCCCGATCCCCTTGTTCAGATTTGTTTGGGTACGGAGAGTAACTACTGACTCGAGATACCGTGCGCACGTAGTGGTCTTCAAGAGTGTTGCATTGGCAGACTCATTTCACCGTTCCAAGAACGATACGCACACTGAAAGCAAGTAAAATACTCACATGGCCTTTTCATGGAGAGCGGCCCTCGTATGGAGCCACACAATTCAAGCAGCAAAGCTTCTGATTTTCCGTACAACCTTACTCTAGAGCGGAAGTTGGAAGCCGTGTTAAATCTTAATCTATTCATTAATACGGAATCACTGCGCGGTTCGACGTTCGTTTCTGTAACGTATGCGCCAATAACGTGACAGAGCACAGCTCAACAAGTGGAAGTCCAGTGTTATCTCGCAGCGAGGGCACACATGGGATGCAGGGTAGACTTTACGCAATTATACTCGACCTCAGCGCCATCGAATATTAATACGGCAAGACGAGGCCGCATGATAGTCAAGTTCAAGATTTCAGCCCATGAACAACTCGTAAAACACTCCCCTTTTAAGCTAGACCCTATGAGATGGGACTGCACATTACTGTCGTCGTGTAAGCTCTTGCTCATCGCACCAAGCTGCATTATCAGAGTGAATGTTGTTCGGCGAATTAAGCTCAGGGTCCTCTGATGAGGCTGAACGCACGTGGCATGCCAAGCTTGGTCTGTAGGGCTGAGGATTGTTTGCGGAAGTTCCGAAGTTTTAACCTCAGGTACCCTGATGTCTTCGCAGTAAACCTTAACGTCACTACTTTACGAACGCTCTCGCCCCCCGCCTGTCTAAACTCTGTCGCTCTCTTCATATCACCCATATCACACAAGTCAAATCACACAAAGCACTATCCTTCCATCACACGCACTTTTCTGCACGCAAAGTCGCGCCACATAAGGCAGTTGCAAAGATGAACGCACCTGACAGGTTAGTCGCATACTTTCCTACACTCTTTCTTCATCCTCGTGGAGATACCACTCCCATTGTCATGGCAAGCGTATCTGGGAGCCTTCCGGCGTTTCCGTGGACGAGCTCCTGCATCCACCTCAGAAGAGATGCGACAAGAGCATGCGCAGTGCAGAAGGGCTTTAGGCCATTGCTCTGCCCTTCCTCCATCAAACGGAAGCACTCCCAAGAAACGTCTCAGAAGCACTTCACGCAAGCATTTCACACAACCACTTCATGAACTACCCTCTCGGCGCCGACCCCCGGGACCGGAACATCATCCGCTACGGCCGCAGCGGCGCCGGCACGAACACAAGTGCTAACTACCCCGAAAGATACGAGCTCTTCATCCTCGGCGACGGCGAAAAGAAAGTAACTTGGGTGCTCGATACCCGTAAGCCCCTCTCTTCGTGCTTCCTCTTTTCCCCTCCCTCCCTTTCTCCCCGATTTTCCCTAATGCTCGCCCACCCGCCTGACCCCCACCCGCCTGCAGGCGTCCCCAACACCGCCATCTTCACCTTCAACAAAGAAGACCACACGCTGGGCAACCTGCTAGCCTCACGCCTCCATAAATACCCGCACGTCCAGTTCTCGGCATACAAAGTCCCACACCCCCTGTTCGCGACCTTCGACCTGCGCGTCACGACGGACGGGAGTATGACGCCCAAGGCGGCCGTCGCGAAGGCGTGCGCGGATCTCGTGACGGATCTTGGGAAGCTGAGCCAGGAGTTTACCAAGGAGTGGGAACTGAAGAGACTTGCGAACTCGGGGAGGGAATAGGGGTTGAGGTGGGAGGTGTTACGCGAAAAGGAGAGCAAGTGGACATGATGGCGTTGTGCGTGGTTGGCGCTGGAGTTTTGGGAGGTTGGGGATCACAGATGAGGCGTTTTTGCGGGGTAGTGGTTATGCGCTTGTAGTTTTTTGAGGCTTTGAGCAGTGAACGTTGCGGGCGTGTTCTTAGGCGTAACAATCGATCGTGTTTCTACGCCTTGATGCGGTGGGAGAAGACAATTTTTGAGTCCTCATCCCTTCTCGCTCCATGATGAATGTTTCGTGCGCGTAAGGCCAAGTTCTTGGGTTCACTGTTCATGCAGATATGGCACATAGTCTAATTATGAGTTGTAAGTCAAGATAGACGGTACCACGAATGATAGTGTAACGTTAAACTTGGGGATACATTACGCTGTCAGTGGTGACGTTACTCAATTGTTCACATGTCGTGTTGCAGTGTCCAAGTAAGGTCCGAAAGCTTAGGCAAGAGACAATGTGAGTTCATGTGCATGCACGTATTGTGAGCTTCAATGCTTTTGCGTATTAGTTGGTATCAAAGTACCGTGAAGAGCTAATGTACAGCTTGCATCATCCTTGATTCATAATGCTTCATGGAAAAAAGGAATGACATGTCATAACTCGTAAACTCATCCATCCAAATTACCACCGCTATGCTCAAGGAGTGTTGGTGGGAATGCTGTGTTCCTCGTCCATGCCCAAAGATAACTCCTCCCATGTCGACTACAGACCATCATGTCAACTTTACTCAATGTTGATCTTCCGTGGCTTCGGTGCCTGAGCCTTCGGGACAGTGATGCTCAGGATACCATCCTTGAGGCTAGCCTTGACGTTGTCCTGGTCGACTCTAGTCGGGAAGCTGAAGGTGCGGTGGAACTCGCCGACCGAGCGCTCAGTGACCCAGTACTTTGGAGTATCGGCAGACTGCTTGGCGACGTCCTTGTTCTGGCTGGTCTGCGTAACGGCAGTCTCGTCATTCTTGGCGTCTTCGGAGGAGCCAGCTTCGTCTTCAACGGATGGCTTCTGGTACTTGTCGGATTGCTCGGACTGCTCGCCTTCGATGAAGCCCGCTGGTGGCTGGCCGCGCTCAGAGCGGTGCTCGGTGCGGCCGCTGATGGTGAGAGTATTGCCGTCGGTCCACTCGATGGAGATGTCCTTCTGGTCGATGCCTGGCAGCTCGCCGTGGAGCTCGTAGGCATCCTTCAGTTCTTTGACATCGAACTTTGGCTGGAAGGACCGCAGGCTGGAGGCGACTGAAGCGGGGAAGACCGTTCCAGGGAAGGCTGTGCGAGTGGCTCTATCGTAGTCATCGAGCAGGCGGAAGAGAGGAGAGAACTCCTGGAAGCGCGGGAACATAGACATGCTGCGTGCTGTGAGGTGTATTGGTGCCCGAGAAATTCTGTAGACTTGAATTGGAAGTCGACGAATGCTTGGTCGAATAGCTTGCATGAATGTCTGAGGATGTGTTGTGTTGTTCTGATGATGAGCCGGTAGACGAGCAGATGAGGCCTTCTTTATAGTTGCTTTGGGTGATATTTGGAAGCCGCTGGCAGGCGGTAGAAAGGTCCATGATGATAAAATTGCGTAATGTCAGGCCACCTTTCGCTAGAACTAGAACTGCCCTGCAGCTTCTCGCTGCTTCGTTCGTGATGTTAACATGGTGCTCTTCGCGAGAACATTCTCCACGTGATACGGGGCTTACGTCAACGTGACTCTCGAAGACACGCGGAGTTTCCCGTACGTTCTATGCCCAACCATGTCACGTGACTAGAGCGCCAAGGCTAACATATTCGCATACTGTAGTCTTCCAGTGCAGTCACTTCGAGATGTTAGTGATGCCTGGATCTGCGTAGATCTCTAGCTGTCTGTGGCCCTTGCGGAGTAAGAACTCTATGGTCGCGAAGTCTTTTTTGTTGAGTGAGATGTGTTCTCTGAACTCGTTCCTATCAAAAAGTTAGTAGGGAACGAGGATCAACCGACGAACGTTCTCTAGAGGGAATGAGCCTCTTGCAGTCTCGTTCTTGGTCTCCCGCATGTGTGTAGTTAGCTGACCGAGAGCAGTGTCACTCATCCACGCTTGGTAGGACATGCATGTTCATACTGGACCACCGCTCTCCGGATAGAGGTGACTAGTAACAATCGCGCTCACCTTGCAAACATCTTGAAATTCTGCTGCGTTTTCTGCAAAATAGTCAGGACATGACCTCGTACTTGATTGCCGCCCAACTTACAGCAGGCTTCTTGGCGGCAGCTCGTAGACATTGCCGATACAAAGACAGAACGTCCCTCTGCAATCCGGAGAGTCTGGGCATCTGTAGCCCTATAGATGCTTCACGTGGGCGGATGCTGCTTCTGGCTTGTTGGCTTCGAGAAGGGATTGAACGTTGGTCTTCGGAGACAATATTCTGGGCCTGAAGTTGAAGGGTTGAGACGATTGCAATGCGAGCGGATGTCGATTCAGGCAACGAGTCCGCAATCCGTGATGCTCGAAACGCGATGAGGTCTTGGTGCGCTCATGCAAGAGCAAGGATGAAGTTGACGATTGTGGAATTTGCCGAGCTTCGGCTGCCGAAATCCATAGGGCGGAATAGGCGGGGAAGCTCGTGTGGAGAACCGGGGGAGTCTATCACCACCACCCTTTACCACCTTTACACGCCTCATCGTCCACTCCTCTCCATCCAGTCCACTTAAAAATGTCGTCCTTCACAGTAGGTCACCACGCCTCGCAGCCCCCGCGCCTCTCCTCCCCACCCTCCCTCGACTGATCTCCATCAGCGCCTCGTCCGCTTCCTCGCCAAGGACGGCCGCACCTACTACGGCGACGCGATCCTCCCCTCGGGCGTAACCGACATCGGCAAAGCAACACAAGCGCGCGTGATCCGCGGCTCGCCATGGAGCCAGCACACCCTGACGGACCAAGTCGCTGATGTGCGCCTCCTCCTTGCGCCGCTGGCGCGCGAGGACGTCGCAACCGTGCGCTGTCTGGGTCTGAACTACGAACAACATGCTCATGAGTCCGGCATGCCGATCCCGAAGTATCCGGTCCTGTTTTACAAGCCCGTCACTTCGGTTGCTGGGCCTTTTGACGATATTCCGATTGCGCCGGTTGCGCAGGAGGGCGAGGGGCTGGATTACGAGTGCGAGCTCGTGGCTGTGATAGGGAAAGAGGCGCGCGAGGTGTCTGAAGCGCAGGCGTTGGACTACGTCGCGGGATATGCCGTCGGGAACGATGTGTCGCATCGAGACTGGCAGCTTAAGAGGGGTGGTGGACAGTGGGGGCTCGGAAAGGGGTTCGATGGATGGGCGCCGTTCGGACCTGGGATTGTCTCGAGCAAGATCATCAAAGACCCACAGAGCTTGAAGATCATGACGAAGGTGAATGGCGAGACGGTGCAGGAGAGCAACACGCGGGATATGATCTTTGGGGTAGCGAAGACGATCGCAATCCTGAGTCAGGGAACTACGTTGCTGCCGGGTGATCTGATATTTACTGGGACGTAAGTTTATGCAGCCTTGGATATGGAGAGTTGAACGCTGACATATGACAGTCCGCAAGGTGTCGGTATGGGACGTAAACCACAGTTGTGGCTCAAAGACGGCGACGTGGTTGAGGTCAGCCTCGAAGGGGTAGGATCTTGCATCAACAGGGTCAAATTTACGAAACCCAGGTCTAGGTTGTAGAGGACGATGAAAGAGATCTAAACAGATCGAAGGTTTGTCTGTCTTTAATCCATCTACAATGCCAAGGGAGAGGAACAGATTCAAGATATAAGACAAAAAATAGAACAAGTCGTATGGTCACATCAAGAGAAGTAAAAGATGTAAACAGTTCCTCAGTGCCGTCTATAAGCAATTTACATCCAAGCCGCCTGCAGCTCGGGTGGCCATCTACACGTTACCATTCCATCAAAGCGGAAAGACCGAGATAAGCGCCAAACTTTGAGTGGAAAGTCATGCCAGGCCGTAACGTCAAGAAATGGAACTACAAGGAGAAGAAAAGGAGAGCGGGGGAAAGGACAACAACGAGATGGTCCAAGGCGCACACGTAGCAGCTCGGGGAAAGAATGGATCCCGTGCTTCCACATGCGTGCCGGCATAGAATATTTGGCAGCTAAACGTCGTAAAGCGAGAGATACGGACGGATGCTGAGAGGCAAGAAAGAAGTCATGGTGCTCGTGTAGTAAGGTCCAATGAAGAGCAGTCAAGGCTGCCCAGTGGTCCCCCTGCAGCTTTGGCGGCTGACCAGATCCAGCTTGGTTCGCCGTCGCTTAGGACTTGTCGACTTTTATACATTTGGTCTCGACCATTGTCAATTCAGCGTAGATCGACTTCACCTCCGCGGCAAGTTGTTCCTGGGATATTGGCCGGCTGTCAGGTTGCATCACCAGCGTAGATCGACTTCACCTCCGCAGCAAGTTGTTTCTAAACGTCGACGTTCATCACGAAACCCCACTCTACGGTTGCTCTGGATCCGAGTAATATTGCCGGTCGCATGCTTGATATGCTGCGGTACTGTCGTATGGGTCGCAGGGGCTCCAAGTGTGCGGCCCTGTGGGGACCTGGCCACCGTACTCGTTTTGCGCTACCGAAGTATCACGATGGTCTTGACCATCTACTGGCGGCTCTGTCACCGAGGCTTCGTCCGACGACACGTCCAGTTCTGTAATGTTATTAGCATTCTCCGCCGAACATTGTATGCTCTCGTTCATCTACTTTGCATACCGAATGGTCGCCCTATTGTACGAAATGACCTCAATGATGCAGCGTCATCGTCACCTACTTCGTCGTTGTCAGGAGCCTGTTCGCCGTCTTGACCACCGTAGCCATCGGCCGTTGTTTGAGGTTGATGTTCATAGCTAAAGATTGGTCGAATACTTGGCAGCTGAACCTGGCCTGTCGTTCCACTCGATGGACCGGCGTGATGTCCATTGAGACCTTCAAAGTTTGGTCAGAATACCATGCAACCAAGCCGCTGCAGAGCCACAGGCACACCTACCAGCAGGATAGCGGTGTCGACAATCCGGCCATTGACAATGCTGCTTGTCGACGCTTGCGGCCTGGGGGTCCGAGTCACACTGACAGTATGTGTCACGGCCCGACGCCGCACTGTCATCCTTTCCAAGGTCGATGGCTGCTGAATTCTTAGCTCAAGCCCCTATTCACAGCATAGTGTTGTTACGTACCAATCTCCTTCTCGCCCGGATAAGACCCCTCTGAGTACGCTATGTAGGCCGCTTTGTCGTCGTCGGCGCCGTGCAGGTTATTGTCCCTCATCTGCCGCCACTCCTCCGCCGTAGGCGTAGAGCGTTGGTCCATATCGCGGAGGTTTATAACGTACAGTGATGACGGACCAGTGGTTTGCCAGAGGTGATGATTCGAATGGTAAGAGAGTCAAAAAAGCGACAGATGGAAGGGTATTGACAACGAACAGGCGTGCAACGGCAGGACACAAATAATGGAAAGACAAGACGTCCTCTACAGGGAGTATGTGGCAGTGTTGTTGTTGTTGTGCTCCCGAGGAAGCCGAACAGATTGAACGCAGTCTGACCAACGTCTGAAGTGAACGCAGGGCCTGGTGGAGATGTGGATGGGGCTTGCCCGTGTCTGTACAAGAAGGTGCGAGTAATGTATGTATTGTTAAAAGATAGTATGGGGTAAGATGTAGGGGTAAGAATAGAATATAAGTATTGAGAGACGAATGTGAAATGTATCTCTGCGCGGCATGAAGCGGGGGACGGAGGGTTTATAATATTACCTGTCGTCCTAGCACGCCTCTTAAAGTCGGTGAACGTGCATCGTGAGTTGCCTTATGCCGAGCCTCTTGCCTGCCTGCACTCCTGTCGATTCAGCGTGCATCAGCGGTGCCGTACAAACCTAAAACCACTTCGAGCTAATCATGAGCTGTCAGTCTGCGCATCCATCGCTAGCTCAATGCTCTTGCATCATCGCTGTCAAGACTCGGAAATTGGCCGTCAATGGATGCCAAGCCTCATTGCAGTAGTCGCCGACTGTTTAGATACGTTGCATGTAGTGATGCGGCATGCAAAGCTCTTCCCCGACCCTGCTCGAGGTCCCATCTTGAGTCTTGAAGCTGAATCCACAACGTGAAACCAATCGCTCAGCAGAGGATGATAGCCGCTAATTCAATCCCTACTGGACACATGCAGTTTTACGTCACGTTGCATTGTCGCAGAGCTCAATGTGTCTTGCTCGGGCAAGTTCCTCACATCGTTCCATGAGAGCCGAGCTGTCAGCGTGAGGTTTTTCACGGTGTCTGCTGCTGGCCAGCCGCCGATGTCTGGTTAACCGTCAGCGCCTCCACCAAACCACCGCGCTAAAAGCCCCAGGTTTCCCCAACGAAACGGCCAGCAGGCGAAGCACAGTCACGCGGATTTGGGGCAATCGCAGTGATTCGCAGTTTCTCCTGCTTAAGCGTCCATGTATGCATGATGAACGTGGTGAGATTCTCAGATCGGCGCTTAACCGAGCAAGAGCTGCCTTCCAAGCTCCTCGATAATACGAGATGCATCGCCCAGGGATTGCGAGGTGTGTTCAGCCGGTGCCGTCTTGAAAAGCGGCGGGAATCATCGGGGCCGCCTAGAGGCTTGATAACTGGCGCGGATCGAGTAGTAACGTTCCGAGTGCAAGCATCACTTTTTCGACCCCGCCTCGTTCCTGAGACTAGCGCGGCTTACCCGCTGCGCCGTTTCCGCGCCGTTTTTCTGGCTCCCTGTAGCCCAAGAAGCGCAACTAGCAGCATGCAAAGAACCACCGTAGAACAATGAAAAGCTGTTCGACCAACCTTGCGGCGGGATGCGCGCGGAACCTCAACGTGAGCGGGGCAGGCTGCATGCACGCCAGATCTTCTGCAGCCCAGGAGCTGATATGGCGCCGACCAGCAGATTAAGATTATATGCGCTTCGTGCCCAGGTGCTTAGGCAAACGCAAACCTCTCGTCGAGTCCTCTCGAATCAGCCCAGGCCAAAATACCGGGAATGCGGCTGGGCGTGGAAAGCCAAAGAACGATTGCATCATGAATCTCTTTCGAGATAAGCTGAAACATGTTCCATGCACGAGGTAGTCTTATCTCGCGAGGTAGATAGAGCGCGACCGACGTTCTTTGAGGCCCAAACAACCCGTGGACGCTGCCCCTTGCGAAAATCTCCGGATCGCCGCTGCACCCAGCCCACTATCCCATCTGTGAGGAGCAACTCCTCAAGGATGGCATGATGACGTTTCTGAGGCCAAGGCCACTTACCCGCGCGCCGGTTCTCACACCCTGCACCTACAGGCATTTTGTGCATCAATAGCGTCGAGAAACCGAGACGTGCGTGCGAGAGGCACGAGGGTTTGTGGAGAAAGTTCCTGGTCGCATTCCGGCAGCTGAAGAAAGCGGCCACGGACGATTCCCCTGACCTTTGGCCGGTTAATGCCTGCGACCGCCCTGATGGTGGACGAGATGTTGACCCACGGCTGAACCGGGTCGCCCAAGAACGTCAGTTGTAGCAGCACGTGGGACGACCAACATTGACAGCGGAAAGCTGCTGGACGCTTCGTGCACGGCTCTATGCAGATCCGAACAGGAGAGCTCCGGACTAGCAATGAGAAGTGGACGCCCTCTGCAACGCCTGTCCGTTCTGGAGACTTCATCCTTCGACGTGTGCCAGTGAAGTGGCCAACACACGCGATTGCGTGCTTGTCTCAACGGCCCACAGCGACAAAAAGCCGCGCACTTTGGCAGGAGCAAGAATCCCTAGCCACGCTGGGGCCGATTGGTCTGGCGGGGCGAGATGCGCGCTGATTTTCGCTCCTGCCCTTGTATGTTGCCTGTACCGATCGCGCCAAGTGGAAGATTGCTGCTCCCCCACGGCCATCGCGTGCTGAAGGCGTAGTAAAAGCGGCCTCCGCGCGCCCCGCACGATCGCGCGCACCCACGGCTCCGACTCGTGGCTGGCAGCCACAGTCCCACAAACTCCACAGCTAGCGTCGCCAGACACGGCTGCCGAAGGCGAGGAGATAAGAGCGTCGGACATGTGGGCGCTTGAGAAGACCTAGGTAAGCGCAGATAGGCTCCTCATTGCGCCGCGCCGGGCACGAAAGGCCTGCATCATAAAGCTGATTCTATGAAACGATCGGAGACGCAGACTGAGAACAGGGTTTTTGAGGAGCACTAAACCGTCAAGAGCACGAAAGCTTGGTGAAGCCATCAACGGGTATCCACTGCTTTGCATCCGGAGCGGTGCGCCTCGAATGAGCCACGAGCGGAACAAGCTCCTGTTGCATAGCATCCTGTCCTGGACATTCAGGAGGCTGGCCTCGAGAAGCAGTGCACCATTGCCGCAGAAATCCGGGGCGGTGCAGTGACATGGATGTACTGGCGTTCTTTTCAATGCGACTCCAGTACCGCAGCCAGAAGATGTCGTCAATGACATTTCGTGCTCGTAATCCCGGTTCAACAGCTCAGGTGCCTCAGGCCGGGGCGTTTGAGGTTCAGGTGGGCTTGGATTTTTAGTTAGGCGTCCGGTTGAGCGCCAATCACTTCAACGCTAAGAGGCGTGCAATTTCTCCTGGCTGATTGTGCTGCTGAGAGGACTTGGACTGGGTCCAGACAGGCACTCCATGGCACTGTAGAAAGCTGGAGGACGCTAAAGCAGAGAAGGAGTGCCTGCAGGTCTGGATGTTTTCTACCCGCGCTGACCTGCATTTCAGGATCCTGGCGCAGCCGGTAGATAGGTAGTCTGCAGGTGGCTTTTTGGCGTCACAGAGCATGTCCTGGTCAGTCATGGGTCGACAAGCAACAGACGCAGCTGAAATCTGAGGCCACGCTTCCTCGACGCTCGACGAGCTGCCACTTCAACCTGTGCGGCGGCCTAAGGCAGCCTGACGACTGGTTTTGACCCAGTTTTCTTCAAGTTAGTCTTAAGTGGACGAGGCTCCGATCGACCGAGCCATTTTCAGCTCCTTGGACGTGCCAATAGGAGTGCGACCTCAGTCCGCTTACCAGTAGAAAACATGCTCCGTGGCAGGCGTGGTAATCGGCAGTGGGGCCATCCACCGGCGACGACATCTAGTCTATTGCTGGGATGCTGGCTCTGCGTTTGCGCGAGACTCACCGCCAGTTGCACATATCATGGCTCTTTGAGATTGGACTGCGGACGGCGGACGGTGGACGGTGGACGGTGAACGGCGATGGTGTGCTAGGTAGAGGCAGGGGGTTTGACCAGTCAGCCGAGAGGGAAGGCAAAGGTTTCGGCTTGCCATTGACACATTTCCTATCCCTGCAGGAGATTTGGGGACTGCCACGTCGTTAGGTCCGACCGTGCCTGGAGCTATCTAGCTTGGAGAGCAGATGGAGTAGAGATGCAGCATCTGGAATCGCGGTTGCAGGATTATGCCCATGAGGCCCCTGCAGATATGGAAGAAGCGTCAGAACTTCGTCATTCGTGTATCAACAACATACCCAGCGCCATCTATGCGAGTTGGCAAACCGGCTACCTTTCCTACTGGAAGAATGCCCAGACGTGTCAATGTGGCGACTGCGCCTTGCAACGCGAACCCATCTCGCGCCAGCTCGAATGCAAGAAGACAGCACGCAAACACCTAAGCATGTCCGTTTACGCCCAGAACATCTCGCCGCTTGCGCACCGCAGTCGCCAGCTCCTCGAGCACTGTCTCGGTGTCTTCCCAGCCAATGCACGCGTCTGTGATGCTCACGCCGTACTTCAGGCCCTCCTTGCCCTCTTTGGGTACTTTCTGGTTGCCTGCAGATTTGGGTCAGCTTGACCTGTATAGACACTCTCGCTTTGCGCGACTTACCCTCATTGATATGGCTCTCGATCATGACGCCCATAACGCCCGTCTCGCCACCAGCAATCTGCTCAGCAAGCGCATGCGCAACCTTCGGCTGGTTCTTATGGTTCTTCTCCGAGTTGCCATGGCTGCAATCGACCATGAGCCGGGAGTTCGTGCCAGCCTTCGCCAACTTCTCCTTGGCCTCCGCCACGCTCTTTGCATCGTAGTTCGTGCCCTTCTTGCCGCCTCGCAGGATCACGAAGCAGTCTTCGTTGCCTACTGTGCCCACGATCGCAACCACGCCAGGCTTCGTAACAGACAGGAAGTGATGAGGATGCTTCACAGCCCCAATGGCATCAATCGCCACCTCCAGACTCCCGTCCGTGCCATTCTTGAAGCCGACCGGGAAGGAGAGACCGGACGCCAGCTCACGATGAAGCTGGCTCTCCGTCGTCCTCGCGCCAATAGCGCCCACACTCAGCAGATCCGCGAGGAACTGCGGCGAAATGGTGTCCAGCATCTCGCTTGCCAGGGGCATGCCCTTCTCTGTCAGGTCCACAAACAGTTGTCTTGACACCCTCAACCCCTTGTTGATCTTGAACGTGTTGTCGATATCCGGGTCATTGATCAGGCCCTTCCACCCCACCGTCGTCCGCGGCTTCTCCAGATACGACCGCATAACGATGAGCAGGTCATCCTTGTACTTCTCCTTCAGCGTGAGCAGCCGATCGCAGTACTCGAGCGCCGCTTTCGGGTCGTGTATCGAGCATGGTCCGATGACGACGAGGAGTCTGCGCTGTGCATCTTTGCCTTGAACAATCTCGACGGCCTCGTTGCGGGCTTGAAGCACGGTCTCCTTTGACTTGGCGGTTTGTGGGATTTCGTGCTGGAGGAGGTCGGGGGGCGTGAGAGGGTTGTATCCCCGGATGCGCCAGTCTTCGGAGTTTTGCGCGTCGCCTACAGTCTTGTTTTCTATGTAGAACTGCCCCATACGGCGTAGTTAGCCAGGTGGACGGACCTGGGTATGGGTTTACCCGTTTGCGGGTATCAACGGTTTAGTTGTTCGAAATGGCATGAGAAATGGCATGAGAAATGAACTCAGACTTACAGACATGACTCGCTGATGCTCGTGTATGTTTTAACAATGTTTATGTACAAAAACCCTACCAAATCAGAGTCAGCGATTTTTAGGCTGAGAGTTCGGTTTTGAAATGAGTCGCACCCAAAGGCGGTGAGGCAGAATTTTCCACTGGACGTTCTGGAAGGTTGCGTCACAGGGATGAGTAACCTCAATCCACGAAGCGCAAACGTCGAGGCAGCCACTCACGATCTCGTGTAGGGCTGAGAACGCTTGAAACGCGCTCGCCTGATGTAGAACGCATCTTCACATATAGAGATATAATCCTCCGAATCCTCTATCCTGCTAGTCCTCTTACATTGCCATGCGCAATTGCAAATTATTACTTGAGGGTGCAATATGCCAGCTCTACGTCACAGCCTTGCCGCATAAAGATACATCATTGAACCCGTAGCTTCCTACGAACCTCCACTTCTGCCTGTGTAAACTCTTCCAAAGCTCCTCTATCAAAACCCTCACAAACACACTTCACAATGTCACTCTCTCTAGACTCGCTGCAATCCATCCCCGTCTCCTACGCCAGTGTCTCCATCGGCTACAAAGAAGAGCATACCCTGCCCAAGAAGCTCGAAGCCATATCAGCCGCCGGCTTCCAAGCCATTGAACTAGGCTTCCCAGACCTCCTCTCCTTCGCCAGTCTCTATCTCAAAAAGGAAGTCGGACCAAACGACTGGGATGATCTCTGCACCGCCGCCAAGGTTGTGAAATCCCAATGTGACGCCAAAGGCCTCAAGATCCTAATTCTTCAACCCTTCAGCGAATTCGAGGGTTGGCCCGAAGGCTCTGATGAGCGGGAAGACGCCTTCGACCGCGCCAAGGGCTGGATCAAGGTCATGGAGGCTTGCGGGACGGACATGCTCCAAGTGAGCTCCGCCCTGCGCAGCTTCGATTCCCCCTACTAACAATCACAGGTCGGCTCTTCAGACGCACCAGCTGAGAAGATCGGCACAGACCGCAACCGCTTCGTCTCCGACCTCCGCGAACTCGCTGACATGCTTGCCGAGCACGGCTTCCGCATGGCATACGAGAACTGGTGCTGGTCGACGCACGCGCCGGACTGGAAGGATGTCTGGGACATCGTGCAGAAGGTCGACAGGCCCAACGTCGGGCTGTGCTTGGACACATTCCAGACCGCTGGCGGGGAGTGGGGTGATCCTACCACCGAGTCGGGCATGCTGGAAGGCGATCCAAAAGAAGTGGAGAAGAAGTTCCATGCTAGTTTGGACGAGCTGAGTAAGACGGTGCCGAAGGACAAGATATACTTCTTGCAGATTTCGGATGCGTATAAGCCAACGGAGCCGCTCAGCAAGGAGCCGGATGAGAGTGGGCTGAGGCCGAGAGGCAGGTGGAGCCATGATTTCAGACCCCCGCCGTTCCAGGGCGGATATCTTCCGGTTGTGGACGTGACGAGGGCGGTGCTTAAGACGGGCTTCAGGGATTGGTTCTCGTATGAGGTGTTTGACAGTGGACCGGACGGTAAGGGGAAGGAGTACGACCTGATGGAGTATGCTCAGACGGCGTTTGATTGTCAGAAGAAGCTATTGGAAGCGTGTGCGGAAGAGGGCAAGTCGTAAACTGCGGCGCCGTCCTACACGTATAGATCTTGCAAGCGTTAAAATGCAACAGAGTATCGGAACTGTGTTTGCGTAAACGCAACAATTTCAACTACATCTGAAAAGCCTGGACCTGAATGAAGGGGAACAAAGTAAAAAGAAAGAAGATACCCGGGTATATGATCAATTGCCAGCAAATATGCGCCAATACACAATGCTTCCGCGCCAGTCTACTTTTAGTTGCTTCCAGCTGTCTTGCGGTGCTATCAAGCTTCTGCCTTTCCGTCTTGTCTGACCACTTCAGTCGGGTTCTGACTGGCGGTTCTGCCAGTTGCCTCGAGGTCGAAGTCCAGTCAGTGTTCCCCGTCCTGGAAAGGGATGCCCCGATGAGAATATTCGTCCATGATCCTCCCCCGAACTGTACCCTCTGTGCCATCCAACGCAGCGTTTGCAAGCATGTCCGCAGCGAAGTTGAAAGCGCGGCACACATGCCAGAAAAGAACGGTTACGCCACGCTGGTTCAACTCCTGCGTGAGTCCTTCGAGTTCCCTGAAGAGCGAACGGTTTTGTACTGGCCGGCGTCGTGCGTCCATGTAACCATTCTCCTTCCATCTGAAGATGTACTCGGTCATGCTCTTGTACAAGTAGTCTGAGTCGGTTTTGATAACCAAGGTGTCAAGGCGTTTGGGGTCGTGGTTGTTGATAGCCAAGGCTTGCTCAAGAGCTATGATACCAGCATGTAGCTCAGCCTGTTGGTTGGTGGTGCAACCGATCTCATCGCTGACATTATAGTCCGAGTTGAATCCTACAAAGACCCCCACCGCGGCTCTGGTGCGTGAGGTTCCGTTGCCCCTGCAAGCGCCGTCGATGGCGATACAAACGTCATCTGTATGCGCATGACGCTGGTGGTTGCGTCTGCACAGTCTCGAAGCGCAAGTGACGAAGTTCCATTCCCAGTCCGCGGCGACATCCTCGACACGGTCAAGATCGACGCTTTGTCCATACAGCTCGAAGGGGAGGAACTTGCGAGACCTGTGACATGGTAGGCTACGACAAGCCGACTGGGCGGTAGAGTGGTGTTGCATGGTGGTGCCGCTCAAAGTGATTCCCAGAATTTGTCCGTTGATGTGTTGCCGAGCTCTTGGGTACCGAAACGCGTGGCGGAGTTTCTTGAAGTGAAGGATGTGCCAGAATGAAGAAACGCCTTGACCAACTGAGGATTGCAACGGGAGTCCTGACAGGGTTGCGTGTAGAGACGTTCCTGCTCAGGTGACAACAGCAAGAGGATTGACGCTGAAGCAACAGTGATCTTTTAGGACAAGCGAAGCACTGCCGTGGATGGCCTTCAGAAGAAAGCAGTGAAAGGAAATTGAGCGCGGAACCTGGAACAATCGGAACCCGAGGAATCAACTACAATGGAAGGAACAAAACCAAGGCAAGACGCTGATCGTAGCGACGCTTACCATGGGCAAGAGCGCTGCCCCTCAAACTGAGGTGCAACTGCTGAAAGGGGGATTCACGATTCATGAGGTCCGCTCCCACGCCAAGTCTGACTTGACAGGGTTGACATGGCGGATCGCAGGGTGGCTAGGTATCAGGATTACATGCGGCTCAAGTATTAACCCAACGCCTTCACAAGTGGCGGTATGGAGTCCTGTTCATCATTGATGGTTCAAGATGCGGACTCACAGGATAGATGCATACTCAACACTCAAGCAAGGCCGCTGTGCCACTTCATAGAGAAAGGATTTCATAATATGACAGCATGAACATCCCGTAGCTGAAGCATATCTATTGTATGGCAAAACCTGGTTCGCTGGTTACAAATGCAACAGAAGCACCTGAACACCCATGTTGTACATCTAACAACCAAACAAAGACAGATGCTCCCATACCAATCAACATGATAGGCCGGCTTATGTTCATAGTGTCTCCATCAAAATAAGACAACACAGAATGATGAGGGAATCAACCTAGGCTGCGAGTAGGTGCAGGTTTAGTGAGTGCCTGAAGTGTAATCACCCTACGAGCCTCACGCTTAGCCATCATCCACCCAGTGGCCATCGCAGCGCCCGGCTTCTTTCTTTGACAACCGGGGTATGGGTACGGGAAACATGGATCAGAGGGCTTCGGTTCCTTCGTCGTAGTCGAAGGCGGCGGCGGAAGCGATGAAGGTGTAGTTGTCGCAGGCGGAGGCGTGCTTGGCTTCTCCGATGTCACTGACACTGGGGCCTCGAAGGCGACCGTCGATGTGGCTCGCACTGGAGCCTCAAAGGAAGCGGTTGAGATTGGGGCTGCGGTGTTCGTTTGTGTTGGTTTCGGCTGAGTGACGAGCGTTGTGGACGTCAGGCTTGAACGGAGCAATGTTGTCGAAGATGGCACTGGAGTTGTAGTGATTGGGCTGATGGTCTGCGATGTGGCTGGGACGGTGAGGGAAGGCTCGCCACTGAAAATGAACGTCTTTCCCGGTTCGAACATGGTGCTGAGTCCGGGTATAAGTGGTATGAATGCTGAATCGCTGCTCGTGGATCCGGCCGCTGTGGTGCTGGAATTGGCTGGGAAGCCTATGAAGCCAGTGTTTGATGGAAGAGCAGTCGTGGGCGCGACCGTGTTAGACGGCACCGGAGGTTCATTGTTAGGAGATGCAGGAATTGTCGATGCCACTGGAGGCACCGTGGTCATGGAACTCTGTGCCGGAGTAGTTGTACCTTCCTCGACGGGATTTGCAGTAATGCTTGAACCCGGATAGGGAACCGCCGTCGTCAACCACAGCGTGGTAGTAGTTGGGTTCTGCTGAGCAAGGGTTGAGGACAGGCTCGACTCGATAAACGGCACGGTCGTAGTGAGAGTTGTGGTGAGAGTAACAACCCCTGTCGTGTGTTTCTCGTGGCGACGGATCACGGCTGCTGCGATCACAGTCCGGTCAGCCAGAAAGGCAAGGGCTAAGTGTTTGAAAGCCATGAGCTGCGTGTAGTGCGTTGTGTGTGTTGCTGTGGACAAATCAAATAGACGCGAGATGCGTTGTAATAGTGGAATGATATGGGCTTGGTTATGACAGAATGGCGGTAAGATGTGTTGTATAAGAGTGTAAGAGTCATATAGCAAAGAGGTGGAAGATCAAGGGCTCGATGGAAAGTGACCTGTGGCGAAGGTGCCGTGCTTTGTGAGAACAAAGGCATAGTGAATACAAGGCCTAGAGAATGACTCGACACCTTCGCGAGAGTGACTCCGTAGTCGACGGTTATCAGCGGTCGCATCGGACAGCCGAGTTCACCGGGTCCTGGCTACTTGCTGGAGTTGTCTCCCTGAGCGCAAACTCTTCTGCAAGGTCCCAGTAGTTTGTGAACTCCGTCTCACTATGCAGAGCGGCACCGATCCCTAACCTAACCTTCCCAATGGAAGGGGTTTTTCGTCGCCTTCTGTGAAAAAGACAAGTGGACTAAGAAGAACAAAGACGAAAACAATACTTGAAAGAAGGAAAGCAGCAAAGAATGGAACGGCAAAACCTGCGCCGCCAGGAAGCATTGTTATGGCAAGAGATTTTTCTGAAATTAGACAGCTCGTACTTCGTACTGCGAGATCTCTGCAAGAAGTCTATGTGTCCTCAATTTAATGCCCTGTATATGCTTGCTTTTTGCTGGTGCAAACCCTGGAAAATTCATTGAATCGTGACTTCACAGCACACTTGCCTTGTCGTAACTGAATGGGTAAGATCAACTCTGCTGTAGCAGGTAGCAGTGTATCCACTGAAGAGCGTTAAACCGTCCTTTGCAGCTGACCGTCATAAGCTTCATGGTGGATGGTCATGATTTCAGACGGTTGAAATCCCTCGCTTCTGATTTGGTCTCGACGCAAGCTTGGCACAGCGCTTTCCTCTTTGTGGCTTAGTCTTGCAACGAGGCTCTGCCGCTTCCCTCTCCTCCTTCAGCCCAAAGCAGACCCTACCACCAGTCGCCCTCCTCGCAATTGAACCTTCACTGTAGCCGGCATCCCTCCAGGCCGTTGAGCCAGCTTTGGAATCAACATGTTGGCAAGATCGTGCCTGCGCTCGGCGCGCTCGGTCGGCCCTGCGGCTCGCAGCGTCGCCAGCAGGACAGCTACGGTACGCCCACCTCAAACGCCGCCAGTGTCGACATGGCATCGAGTTGCATCTCCATGTTGTGCGGTTGGTAAGGGGAAGGTTAGAGCTGATCTGGCTTTCATTACAGCGCTCCGCATCGACGTCGAGCACCACCGCCGAAGCTTCGTCATGGAAGTCTACCGCCGCAGGCTCGGCCGCGACAGCTATCGCCATCGGTTCGATTGCCTGGTACTATCAACTGCTTGGTCGGGAGGCGCACGCCATGACGCCCCAAGAAGAAGGGTGAGTCTCACAAGTGGGATGCAGAGGCAAGCGCCGCATCGTCAGATGGCATTGGCAACGGATACCGAGTTGTATTGCAAAAAGTACGAGGGACGTTCATGGACTGATTCGCATGTTTCTATAGACTCCATCCTACCCAATATCCGTGGGAGCACACCAAATTCTACAAGACCTTCGATCACCAAGGCCTCCGTCGCGGCTTCCAGGTCTACCGCGAGGTCTGTTCCTCCTGCCACTCCCTGCAGCGAATCCCTTACCGGGCCCTTGTCGGCACCATTATGACCGTCGACGAAGCCAAGGCCCTCGCAGAGGAGAATGAATACGACGGCGAGCCGAACGACGAAGGTGAAACCGAAAAACGGCCGGGAAAGCTCTCAGACTACATCCCTAGCCCCTACAAGAACGACGAGGCGGCACGTGCTGCGAACAACGGCGCCCTGCCTCCAGATCTCAGCTTGATTGTCAAGGCCAGGCACGGTGGCTGCGACTACGTCTTCAACTTGTTGACCGGGTATCCGGAAGAGCCCCCAGCGGGCGCTGTGGTTCAGTCGGGGCTTAACTTCAACCCGTACTTCCCTGGTACCGGTATTGCGATGGCGCGTGTGCTGTATGACGGACTTGTCGAGTATGAGGACAAAACACCTGCAACCACCTCTCAGATGGCCAAGGATGTCACCGAGTTCTTGAACTGGGCAGCCGAGCCGGAAGCGGATCAGCGCAAGAAGATGGGCTGGAAGGTCATGGCTATCGGTGGTGTTCTTTTCGCACTCAGTGTGTGGGTCAAGAGGTACGCTTTGAATACTCCTCATCACCGTTGGACGAGCTAACGTTTTGTGATTTTGCAGGTATAAGTGGTCTACGATCAAGACTAGGAAGCTCGTCTATAACCCTCCCGTATCCAAAGCTGACAAGAACCCCTCGTCCGCCAGGCCTGGCGTCAGGATGGAGGCAGAGCAGAACGCTGGTCCCTCATAGAGGAGATAAGCAGCCGTGGCGGATAAGTGCGCAAAATGAGGGTGCGATTAGTGGGCACGGTCCATTTGTACAGCAGTGGAGAGTCCTGGGAAGTGTCTTGCCGTTTTGTTTGTGTGATAGAGGCAGCGTGGAGCTTGCACAATCGGCTTTCCGTGATGTACTACAAATGACGTTCAACTCAAGACCACGTTTCTCCACCACCTCCTTGTTCAGGATATCAGCTTCAGCAACGACTCTACTGTCACCCATTCTCGAGCTCTAAAGGATTTCCCCTACCGGTCAATGTGATAGCACAATTGGGTGCTGTCTACCCACATACGGTGATTGCCTTCTTGCGACAGTCAACGGGCGAGCCAAATCCACTTCCTCAGTCACGGCTTCCAGAGAACAGCACAAGAAATCCATGGAAGGTCCCTAACATGAACGGCAAGCTTCTCCTCCATGCAGACGCTGTAACTTAGTCAACAAGAATCCGCGCATCCCGACGCCCGCTGTTGCAGTGCGAGGCAGAGTTCTTCGCCGCTATTCTAGCTTTGCCTTCGAAACCGTATGGCCCTGCCTGCCGATCCGTTTTGTTGTCCTTGTGCACATCGTCCGACTATATCAAATCATGGCAGACCAGGAAGTTGCACAAGTGCAAACCATGTGCAGCTATCGAAGTAAGCAGACGGGAGTCTACTGTGGAGCCATTGAAGGCTCACGTCTGAGTCTCCGCATTGTCCTAGCAAGTCTTTGGGCGAGTTTTCTCTTGGACCCTAAAATGGTGAGATGGCCCACGACTACCTTTCCATCCATAATCGTCATGATAGCGCGCTATATACAGCTTTAAGAACGCAGTATCGACGAACCACGATACTGATAGACGCTTATCTAGTCGAGGTAAGCAAAGAATATATCACTGGAATTCAGCAGCGTCGTAGAAATAGTGCGTGGAATAGTGTTGGACTTAAGCCAGGAGAAGAAGGTCCGTAAATCGGTAAAGATATACTTTAGCCCGAAGAGGACAGCCCTAAACGCCATGCGCGCCTGAGACAATACTGTAGATTTGTTACTCCACGTCCATCTGCTTGAGCTACCACTGTCCGTACCGTTCTACTCGAGCGCATCCCATCCAACTGTCCTTTATGATTTAGGACTGTGCATCTCTTCCCAGGCTATGTCAGTGGAAGCTGAAGCCTTCCCTCTGCTTACCCATGTCTCTCCGACAGGCGTAGGCGCGCCATTTCACACGCTCTTACCGCCCTGGTGGTTTGTCATTTTCGAAGGCGAGAGCGAACTGTGGATCTTCTCCCGGCGCAGCGGAAGACGTACCCCAGATATCGTTAAGGTATGGACTATTATATTGTACAAGGGTCAGACCTGTGTGGATCGCCAGCCCTCGTGGCTGCATAGAGCCAATAGCACAACTGCTTTGACTGACCATAGTGCCTAAGGAGTTCGCTCCACAGCGGGAAGCAGGGAGGGCTGGCAGACCGCATAGGACCGACCTCCTGTATCAACTCCCCCTGGACCACCTTCTTGTGCTTGTTTTAGTAGGACCAGCCGCGTGACGCTATCTCGTTAGCTTGTGTTCGCCTACCGGCATCGTTTCACGTCTCGAAACGCAAGTCTGTTTTTTCGCAAGTTTACTCAGCCTAGCTTGACTCCAGATATTCCCGGCCACGAACTAGGCTCACAGGGAATTTGGCACGACGGTGGTGGCGCTGAGAGCCGCCTCGGCAATACGCCGCAGCCTCAATGCCGACGGCAGAACCCCCGCTCATTCGTGCCCGCGTTCGATTGAAGCATCTCACTGGCGCAGCGCCCAACGGGGCGCCCGCATGCCGAGACAGTGCATCTGCGGAGGCAGATCCTTCTGAGCGGCCGGACAGTGACGCCAGTGGGTCTTCGGTCATTTTAGCATTGAAAAGGCGGCCCAGATCAGCGCAATGACAGCCGAGGAACCGCATCAATTCATAAGCAGACGGTTTCCCCGTGGGGTTTTGAACAGAGGGACTGCTGTCGCAATTCATCCGGCCTCACCTGCTTCACATCGCAATAGCCATGGCTCCCAGCCATAGCCCGCCGTCGGACGATGAGAAGGCCTATGTTGAGCCAGCCGAGTATTCAGATGGGGGCCGCCGTGACTCTGCCCTCATCCCCGATCCCGACGAAGGAAAGAGTGATGAAGAGAAGGCTAAGATTGTTCGTATTGATCATTGCATCTACAGGCAGTGCAGTGCTAACGGATGTACAGGACAAGGCGCTCCTGTGGAGGCTCGATTACAAGCTGATCCCATGGGTATGTGTGCTACCACTGCGCTCCACGCGTTGAACTCGAGAGTAACCGGCAACCAGCTCTGCTTCCTCTACCTGATCTCCTTCCTGGACAGGTGTGTAACCTCTCACCCTCCCTGCTGGGAATCCGATTCGCTTTACACACCACTCACTCAATCGCGCTACCAGGACGAACATTGGCAATGCTAGAATCGCTGGTCTCACGACCGACCTCAACATGACGGACGGACAATATAGAGCCTCTCTGACCATCTTCTTCGTCTCGTACTCGGTGGCCGAGCCGCTCACCAACGTTCTTCTCAAACGAATGCGGCCGAGTATCTTCCTCCCGATCATCATGTTGCTTTGGGGAGTTTGCATGACGGCTATGGGCCTGGTGCATAACTATGAAGGTCTCATGGCAGCTGTGAGCATATTTGCAACGGTAACACATGGCGTACCTGCTAACTGAGGAATAGCGTTTCTTCGTACGTCCACCTGCACATGATTTATTCGGAACGGATCCTAACTCTTGACCGGAACAGCTTGGTTTGACCGAAGCCGGCCTCTTTCCAGGTGTGAATTATTATCTTTCGTGCTGGTACAGGCGATCCGAGTTCGGCATTCGCGCCGCCGTCTTCTTCTCCGCAGCTGCTATAGCCGGTTCCTTTGGCGGTCTCCTCGCAGCAGCAATCGCACAGATGGATGGCATTGGCGGCAAGCCCGGCTGGTAAACCTGTCCCCATATCCCTCCATTTGTGAGAGGTTAGTTGACACATATTCCACATTAGGGCCTGGATCTTCATCCTCGAAGGCCTAGCCACCATCATCGTTGGCGTGGTCTCTTATTGGATGGTCCACGATTTCCCCGACGAAGCTACTTTCCTCTCGCCCGACGACCGCGCCCGCGTTATCCGTCGCTTGAAAGCGGATAAGCAGTCGTCAGCCGAGCACGAGGATTTCAAGATGGCCTACCTTTGGGCGTCGGTCAAGGACCCCAAGACCTATCTCTACTCCACCATCTACATGGGCGCCGTCGGTGCCTTGTACGCCTTCTCGCTGTTCCTGCCGACCATCATCCGAGAGTTGGGCTACACGTCCACTACGGCGAATCTGCTAAGTGTGCCGCCGTATGCCTGTGCTTGTGTTTTGACAATCGTGATCGGCTGGCTGGCGGACCGCACGGGGAAGAGAGGGTTGTTCAACATGGGCATCCCGTTACTAGGCATCATCGGCTTCACGATGCTCATCGCGTCCTCAAACCCGAACATCAAGTATGCGGGTACATTCCTTGCCGCGCTCGGCATCTATCCGTGCATCCCGAACACGATCTCGTGGGTGTCGAATAACATCGAGGGCGTGTATAAGCGCGGCGTTACACTCGGGATCGTCATTGGATGGGGTAACCTGAACGGTGTTGTGAGCAGCAACATTTTCCGAACACAAGACGCTCCCAGGTTCTTCTTGGGCCATGGCGTGGTACTCGCGTACATTGGCATTTGTCTGCTTGGAGGCAGTATCGCGACTCACCTGTATCTACAGCTGGAGAATCGGAAGAGACTTGGTGGGAAGAGGGATATGTGGATCGAGGGCAAGTCGCGCAAGGAGATTGAGCTGCTTGGCGATAGAAGGTACGTGAAACACGGCTCTTTGTTGGAGACTTCTACTGACTTGAACTTTCAGACCAGATTTTATATACCGAACGTAGGGATTTGCTTGCGACTTACGGGCTGTGCGTGTCCTTCGCACCTAGTTAGACAATCGAAACACAGTTTGCATTCATCAAACCGTCCGCATTAGCAGACAAAACTAAACGTGACCAGTTCTCCATTCATCTACTCTAGCTGTCCTGCTGGTCAGGCTGGACCAGACGTGCGCTTCCGTCAGCTCATGGACCAGCCCATTACTAACTGCAGCACATCCACTCGTTCCAAATTGCGGCTAACACTGAATAAGACATCTTTGACATCTTGCTTACGCCCCGCCTATTAAATGAAGGTCTTCGAGGGACCGGTGGAAGAAGTCATAATTTATAACATCACATCGGCCCACGCTTGCGAGGCTTACAAAAGTCGGCGGCTATCCACTGACGGCTTCGTCCAGCTTCGGCTACTGTAACTCGTCGTGCTCCCACGGTCGTCGGTGAGCTGTTTCCCGCAAGTAGCAATGTGCACCTGTTCATGATATCTCCATCAGCCTGTGTTTTACGGTGTGCGAAATAAACAAAAAGTCATGCTCTGCAACACGCTCTGCTTCACGCTGTGCAGAAGCGACGGGATCTCCGTTCGGGGCCGCACCATTGCACGTAACTCTTTCGACACAAAATGATGAAGCTTCTGCATAGCTGAGTGCCGCGCGTTGTGATCCACCGTCGGTGAGCGAATTGGTGATACCTTCATCCCCAAACCTTAACCCCAGACGACCCATGGAGATGTCGGCTGTGCTTGCCACCGTGGGGAAAACAAGGTGGGTCGAGCCGGAGCGGAGAACTGCCAGGTTCCTGGTCAGATTTGAGAGGGGAGTTCTGGATTGGCAGCCGCAAACCACTAGCGTTCAAATAGCGTGCCCGTGCTTGAGCCTCCAAAGCATTGAAGGCCGAAAGATGCGGCGAAGATGCGGCATCGAGCTGTGTCATGTTGCTCATTCGTACATTGCCTAGTGACGTCTTTGATGGCACGGCATGTCTTCCCATCGCACGGAGTCATCAAAGGCAAAGAGAACTGTGACTGCGACAGCGGTCGAACTCGCGCCTTCCCAAGTTGAAGACGCCAAGCTTCGCATCTCCGATAAGAGGTGGCCGGAGCACGGCCGCGCTAGCCCTCTTTGAGTAGTCTGTATTTTCCCCCCAAGCCTCAACCGGCAAACCCATTTAATCCCACCCTTCCCGCGCAAACTGTTCCCACTTTCTTCTCACCACTCACACATCACGCAAATCATCATCCAAGAGCTCCAAGCGCTGCACGTATCGAGCATTATACTTTGACAGTAAGATAGCCAATTGAACCGAGAACTACCATGCCTTCACCTACTAATAGAGGACGCGTCACGCATAGACATCGATACTCCCCTCAACGACTCTTACCGCAAGCGCCCGCTACCATGCTCTTCTCATCACTCTTCATCGCCGTTTCGGCCGCTGCTAGCCTCGTCGTTGCCCAGAGCAACAGTACCTACACGGTAGACCCCAACAGTGTCCCTGCCACCCAGAGGCAAGTCTGGTGCCGTGCTCAGAGGCAGACTTGCCCCACGCTCTGCAACAACCAGATCCAGAACAACGATTGCGACCAGGTAAGAGGCATCATCGTCGGCATGTCAAACCGCCCACCAAGCTAACTCGCCGCTCTACAGAACACGCTGCAGATCCTCTGCGTCTGCCGGAACGGCCAAACTCCGAATGTCACCGACTATGAGCAGACAGTGCCGTCTCTCATGTGCGAGCAGTGGAAGTCCCAGTGTATCACGAACTCCGGAAGCGATGCCACCCAGCAGGCTGCCTGCATTGCCGTCCAGTGCGGTAACCGGAGAGCCGAGTCTATCCTGACTACCAGCAGCGCATCATCTTCCGCTACCGCGTCCTCAACCGCCTCCGGCAGCGCATCCGCAACTTCCGGTGCTGCGGCAGCAGCTTCTTCCTCCGCCGCTGCCGCGGCTATCGATTTCGCCACCACCTACGGTACTGGTGCCATTGCAGCTGGCCTGTTGGGCCTCTTCGGTCTCGCTCTGTAAGCGGTCAATCGCAAGGGTGGGGGATGTAATAGGTGTTGCCTTTTTGCGCGGGCACACTGCATCAGATTCGATTGGCGCAAGAGGACGGCCAAGGAGATCCAGTTTAATGGAAAATTCATACATCAGGCTCTCGTGTGAGTGACCGGTCAACTGAACTTCGTTCTTGGTACTGAAGAGTCTTCGCGGTTGCCCCCTTCCTTTACCGCTCCACACACTACGTTGTAATGTGGCCGGCCGGCCTTACGGGTTGCATATCATGTTTTTGTTGAGCGAGCGAAGGTGTTTTGTGGGAGTATGCTGCGACTTGGTTCCGTTGACTACTTTGCATCGTCATGAGGGAATTTAGGTAGCAATGACATATTTGTACTCGATTTGACTTTTCTGAGTTCTTTGTGAGACTGAGACATGCCTTGGAAGTGATATTGACGGTAGCTTCAGTGACAGTTGACATGACGGGTCTGTCAAAAGCGAATCCATGGTTGAGCACAGTGCAACCGCGGTAATTGCAGCGGGTTCATCCTCGCCTTGTCTGGGCCTCCCTGCGCTGAAGGTTTACCGCGGTGCGATTATCCAAGTTCCCGTGGCGCTGACATCTGCCACAGCAATTCTGCGATTCCGCGCATGAATTCACGTGAAGGATCGCCCCCCAGGATGCCCTGCCACACCTCGGCGAGTTGGGACCAGGGACCACATGCACGAGATCCATGCTCACACGCGCACATGATGCAACCCGGAGCTCAAGAAGTTCCTCAACGGTCAACAACCCACCAAAACAGCTGCTGACCCGTTTCTTGATGCGCACTGCTTTCCTGCTTTCCGTTCGTCAACCAGCTGCTCAATTGAAACTATTACCACAATACGCTAAATTCCCGTACCCATCAGCTCCCATCTATACAGCCAGCCGTGCAATTGCAAGAACCATGGCAAGTCTAGGCGCAACGAAGAAGCACAAGGTCATGGTGGTTGGGTCTGGGAACTGGTAAGTCGGCAATGTGCAACACTACGACCCATCTGAAGCTGTGTACTAACCCATTGAAGGGGGACCACCATGGCAAAGATCGCAGCTGAAAACACCAAGGCGAACCCGAACCTCTTCGAGCCAGACGTCCGCATGTGGGTCTACGAGGAAGAGGTCACACTTCCCAAGGAGTCGAAGCTATACGATGGCGACTCAGAAAAGAAGCACAAGCTCTCCGAGGTTATCAACAAGGCGCACGAGAACGTCAAGTATCTTCCTGGCGTCACGCTCCCGGACAACGTCATAGCAGAACCCTCCATAAAAGAGGCGGTCAAGGACGCCACGATCCTCATATTCGTCCTACCCCACCAGTTCATCGCGAAGTCCTGCGACCAGATCAAAGGCCACATCCTCCCCTTCGCGCGCGGCATCTCCTGCACCAAGGGCGTCGACGTCTCCGAGAGCGGCGTCCAGCTCTTCTCCGAGTCCATCGGCGCCAAGCTGGGCATATACTGCGGCGCGCTGTCCGGCGCCAACATCGCGTCGGAGATCGCGCAGGGCAAGTACTCCGAGACGACCGTGGCCTACGACCCGCCGCCCATGGACTCGCGGCAGCCATCGCGGCAGGGCAGCCCCACACAATCGCCCTCGGCCTCGACGGTCGAACTCGTGAACCCGCATATGGAACATACGGAGCACAGGTCTGCGAAGCTGTCGCCTCTGCCGATCGACTTCCCCCCCCTGAGCCATGAGAACATCAAGAAGCTCTTCCACAGACCTTACTTCCACGTGCGCATGGTGTCGGATGTGGCGGGCGTGTCTCTCGGCGGCGCGCTCAAGAACATCGTCGCGCTGGCCGCCGGGTTCGTGGACGGGCTCGGGTGGGGCGACAACGCGAAGGCGGCCGTGATGCGCGTGGGCTTGCTCGAGGAGGTCAAGTTCGGCGAGAAGTTCTTCTCGGAGAGCGTCCAGGCGAGGACGTTTACGGAGGAGAGCTGTGGGGTTGCGGATATCATCACGAGTTGCTCGGGCGGCAGGAATTTCAGGTGCGCGAAGATGAGCATTGAGAGGGGAGTTAGCATCAATGAGATCGAGGAGACGGAACTTAATGGGCAGAAGTTGCAGGGCACGTCGACGGCGTATGAGGTCAATAGCTTCCTGAAGAGCCAGGGGATGGAGAATGAGTTCCCGCTGTTTACGGCGGTTTACAGTAAGTTTGCTACCTGAACCACAACAGCCTTCAGTATTGACACGATGACAGACATCCTCGAGGGCAAGACGAAGCCGGAGGAAATTCCGGACATTATTGAGCCGAAAGACTAAGCATGCAACGCTTGTCGGCTGCCGCGGCAAGACAACTCTAGAAGTCAGGGAAACACGTTGGCGGTGACGTTGATGTTTTGCCGCGTTCTTCCTCATCAGTCTTGAGTATACCCGTAGATGCGAAAACCGCCATTCAAGTCTCTCTTGAATTGGAGCCCCAGCCACTGTTTGAGGCGGTGCGCGTTTCAGCCTTTCCCAAGGCCGATCTCCAACGCTGGATCTGCTCTTTGTGCCCTAGCCCAGGAACCAGGGACCAGGAACCGTGACGGCGAAATGTCAAGCCTAACCGGGCAACGATGCGCAACCAGGCGCGCAGTTGATTCCCATGCCCATGATTGAAACAACTGAAAGCTACCCGAGCACGGTGCGGGGTCCAGTCCTGCGAGTTGCGTGCTCACACGGATTTTAAACATCGGGCCTCGCGAACAATGCAGCGCAGTAATCAGATCAGGTGCATCGGCCGTTGAACTGGCAGGTTGAATGGCATGTGGATGCAGTTGTCAGATCAGCATTGGAAGCTCGGGGAGCCCGAGAATGCGGGGTGCGACTCGATTCGGTCACCGGGCGGCCACTGCTTGCGCCTGTGTGCCTGAGCTGCGGCCAGCTCCAGCTCTCGGTTCGTGCCGCGTTGCCCAGTCTTTTGTTCAGATCGGCTTCCTCAACAAGAAAAGGCGCAGGCGCAGGCGCAGGCGCGAACGCTGTTTCTTGTTCCTGCTGATCAAGGCCATCGCGAACCTCGAGCGCAAGCAACGGGCCCGATTCCTTCCTTCCTTACGAAGAGCCCGCGACAACAACACCAGCAACACCAGCAACACCAGCTCTTGCCCGCCAAGGACACCCCCGAGCCCTCGAGCCCTCGCCAATTGAGCGCCATAAAACTTCCTCGAACCTCAACTCTCTTCCTCTTCTTTTCCTCATCCTCACGCCTCAAAGCATTGCTTACGACTCGCTGCAACTCTCGTCCTTTTACCTAGCTTCCATCCGTTCGTGTTCATCCTAGACTGTATTGCTAGACGCTTCCACCGCGCAAGCTCGTTGATGCAAGTCGTCGCCAACATCTTTGGAAGCACGCCGCTCTCAGTCTTTTCGGCTCTCAGTAACGCCAAGACCACCGCAATGTCTCCCCCATCACGCCAGGCAACCCAGGCCGTCTACCTGCTGCCATTGACCGACGGCGGCGCACCCGACGTGCCGGGCACCTACATCTACCTCCCACCTCCGTCCGATCCCTGCTACATCGTGCGCTTCGCCATCGAGGGTACCAGCTCAATATGCCGGAAAGGCAGCCTTTGGGTCAACATTCCTGCCAAGGGGGAGGAGTTCCGGAGAGACAGCTACAGGGAGTACAAGTACGTCTCCTCGTCCTGTCCAGTCTGGCGTAGAGCTAACAATTCCTTTTCGCAGGCTCACTCCGGACTTCAACAAGACCATTCACATTGACGTACCCATCCACCAAGCCGGTGCCTTCGGCTTCTACACCACCTACACCCCTCTGCCGGACTTCTCGACCGAGGCGGTGCCGACTCCCAAACCGACGAAGACGCCGGTGTACTACATCGATGTCTGCCCAAGGCTCACCCTCCGAGGCCGACACGTACCGCTCGATGCTCTGTCCCTGTTCTCCGTCATCTCGAAGTTCATGGGCAAGTACCCGACAGACTGGGACAACCACCTTCGTGGCATCGGCGAGCGAGGCTACAACATGGTCCACTTCACACCCCTGGTCATGCGAGGCAACTCGAACTCCCCATACAGCATCTACGATCAGCTCCAGTTCGACAAGACTTGCTTCCCCAATGGCGAGAAGGACATTGCCGAGTTGGTCGACAGGATGGAGAACCAGTTCGGCCTTCTGGGCATGACCGATGTTGTCTGGAACCACACCGCCAACAACAGCAGGTGGCTCGAGGAGCACCCCGAGGCCGGTTACAACACTCTGACAGCGCCCTGGCTGGAAGCCGCCCTTGAGCTTGATACTGCTCTCCTCAAGTACAGCTCCGAGCTCCACTCTCTCGGCCTCCCGACTACGCTCAACAATGTGGACGACCTGCTCCGGGTCATGGACGGTGTCAAGAGCCGTGTTGTTGGAGGCATCCGCCTCTGGGAGTTCTACGTCATCGACATCGAGAAGAGCACCGAGGCAGTTGTCAAGGCATGGACCGAAGGCCAGGTCATCTTCCCCGAGGGCGGCTTCGGCCCCCTTGGAGTCGGCGGGCTCAACGAAGTCAAGGAATGGCCTCTCAAGAGGAAGGCCGACTGGCTCATCGAACATGCCCTTGAGGGTGGTGACCGCTTGGGCGAGCGCTTCCGTCGCAAGATCAGGCCTCAGGTTGGTGCCGCTCTGCTGAGCGCCTTGTTCGGCCGGTACGACACTCGCACCAACAGCAGCCCGGACGAACGCGTCGCTCATGGCACCATGTACAAGTTCATCGAGGAGGTCAACATCCAGTTCTACCGGGAATACGATGCCGATGTTGCCGAGATCATGGAGCAGACCTTCAACCGCGTCAAGTACGTCCGCCTTGATGAGCATGGTCCGAAGCTTGGCCCGATCAACAAGCAGAACCCTTTGATCGAGTCGTACTTTACGAGGCTTCCAAACAATGCCACGACCAAGAAGCACGATCCGAAGAGTCTTGCCCTAGTCAACAACGGCTGGATCTGGGCTGCCGATGCGATGAAGGACAACGCTGGATCCAAGTCTCGTGCTTACCTGCGAAGAGAAGTTATCGTCTGGTCTGATTGCGTCAAGCTCCGCTATGGTAGCGGTCCAGCCGACAACCCCTTCTTGTGGGACTTCATTGCCAAGTACACCCGGTTGATGGCCAAGTACTTCGTGGGTTTCCGTATCGACAACTGCCATTCGACGCCCATCCATCTTGCAGAGTACATGTTGGATCAAGCCCGCCAGGTCCGTCCGAATCTCATGGTCTGCGCTGAGCTGTTCACCGGCTCAGAAGAGATGGACTTTGTCTTCTGCGAGCGACTCGGTATCAGCTGCCTGATCCGCGAGGCTATGCAAGCATGGAGCACTCAGGAGATGAGCCGCTTGGTCCATCGCCATGCTGGCAGACCAATCGGTAGCTTCGAAGTCGACGAGATCACGGATGCTGAGAAGTCCGAGCAAGCTAATGGCACCACCAACGGATCGATTCGGCCAACACGCGAGATCATCCGCAGGATCAAGCGCAGTCCGGTGCATGCTCTGTTCATGGATTGCACACACGACAACGAAGTTCCAGCTCAGAAGCGTGACGCTCGCGATACCCTGCCGAACGCAGCCTTGGTCGCGATGTGCGCCAGTGCCACTGGCAGTGTCATGGGCTATGATGAGATATACCCCAAGCTCATCGACCTCGTGCACGAAACCAGGTTGTACTCCTCGTCGTCTTCTTCTGGCCCGGTCAAGATCCAAGCCAGCGAGGGCGGCATCGGCGGCATCAAGAAGCTCTTGAACCAGATCCACGTCCTCATGGGCAAGGACGAGTACGACGAGACATTCATCCACCACGACCAGCAATACATCACCGTCCACAGAGCGCATCCCCAGTCAAGGAAGGGTTACTTCTTGATCGCACACACCGCATATCCCGGTTACGGCAACGGTAACGGTGGCTTCCCGCCTGTGCACCTCCCTGGGACCCGTGCCAAGGAGATCGGAAGCTGGATGCTTGAGGTTGACGACAATGAACAAGCGAAGGCTACTGCCTCGAATGATCGGAAAATGCTCAAAGGCCTGCCGAGCCGTACTAAGGAGGTCCGCGGCGTGCGCGTCGAACTCAACGGCGACAGCACCACTATCACGGTTCCCGAGAAGTTTCCTCCAGGCAGCATTGCTCTGTTCGAGACTTGGATTCCGGGAGCAGACCACTCCGAAGGCCTCGATAAGTATGTCACTAGCGGTGGCAAAGCGGCGTTCAAGGACTGCGACCTCAACGATCTGAACTTCGCACTGTACCGGTGCGACCCGGAAGAAAGGGACGCTACCGGCGATGGCGTGTACAACATCCCAGGCCACGGTTTGCTTGTCTACGCTGGTCTGCAAGGCTGGTGGAGCCCTCTGCGGGATATCGTCCGCGATAACAATCTTGGTCATCCGATCTGCAACCACCTGCGCCAGGGCCAGTGGGCGTTGGACTACTGCGTTGGTCGTCTCGAGAAGGCGTCGCAGCAGGACAGATACTCCAAACTCAGCGGTCCCGCTCAGTGGATGAAGGAGCGGTGCGATGCGATCCGCAAGGTGCCGAGCTTCCTGCTCCCGCGATATTTCGCTATGGTCATCCAGACCGCCTACAACGCTGCGGTCGACCGCTCGATTGAGCTGATGAGCGACAACGTCCGCCAGGGCAACAGCTTCCTCAAGAGCTTGGCGCTGGTCAGCAACCAAGTCAGCGGGTACATGAACGACGCTTCTCTCTGGCCCAACAAGGTCGTGCCTAGCATGGCCGCCGGCCTTCCCCATTTCTCCTCGAGCTGGGCTAGGGTTTGGGGCCGCGATGTGTTCATCTCCCTCCGTGGCCTGTATCTCGGTACCGGGCGCTATGCTGACGCCCGCGAGCATATCCTCGCGTTCGCCAGCGTCCTTAAGCACGGCATGATCCCGAACCTGCTAAGCAGCGGCGCCCTCCCCCGCTACAACTCGCGCGACTCCATCTGGTTCTTCCTGCAGAACATCCAGGACTACACCAAGATGGTCCCCGACGGGATGAGCATCCTGCAAGAGTCCGCGCCGCGCCGATTCCTCCCGTACGACGACACCTGGTTCCCGCACGACGACAAGCGCGCCTACTCGAAGTCTTCCACCATCGAGGACGTCATCCAAGAGGCACTGCAGCGTCACGCCACCGGCCTGTCCTTCCGCGAGTACAACGCCGGCCCGAACATCGACTCCCAGATGAAGTCCGAGGGCTTCAACATCGAGGTCCACGTTGACTGGTCAACCGGTATCATCTTTGGCGGCAACCAGCACAACTGCGGCACGTGGATGGACAAGATGGGCGAGAGCGAGAAGGCCGGATCCAAGGGCGTCCCCGGCACACCTCGCGACGGCGCAGCGGTTGAGATCACGGGCATGCTGTACAGCACTCTCGCGTGGGTAGATCAACTCCGCAAAGACGGACACTACAGCTACGACGGCGTCACGACCGCCGACGGGAAAGTCATCTCCTTCGCCGACTGGGCAGCGAAAATCAGAGCAAACTTCGAGCGCTGCTACTACATCCCTACCGACCGCGCCGAGGACAAGAACTTCGATGTGAACAGCAAGATCGTCAACCGCCGCGGCATCTACAAGGACCTCTACAAGAGCGGCAAGGAGTACGAGGACTACCAACTCCGGCCCAACTTTCCCATCGCCATGTGCGTCGCCCCGGACCTCTTCACCCCCGAACGGGCTCTCGGCGCCCTCTCCGTAGCCGACAAGGTTCTCCGTGGCCCGACAGGCATGGCGACGCTCGACCCCAGCGATCTGAACTATCGCCCGTACTACATCAATTCCGAGGACAGCACGGACTTCCACACCTCCAAGGGTCGGAATTACCACCAGGGCCCCGAGTGGTTGTGGCCGACGGGGTTCTTCCTGCGGGCGCTGCTGCGGTTCGACCTCATGAGGAGAAAGACGAGGGAGGAGAGGGTCGAGAGTTATCAGCAGGTTACGAGGCGCTTGGCGGGGTGCGTCAAGGCGATTAGGGAGAGTGAGTGGGCCGGGTTGCCGGAGCTGACGCAGAAGAATGGCGAGTTTTGCCCGGATTCGGTGAGTTGTGCTTCTGTGTCCCTTGTGTGAGAGGTGTGGGGGCTTTGCTAACATTTGTTGATGCAGTCACCCACGCAGTCGTGGTCCGCGGGCTGTTTGATCGATTTGTTCCATGATGCGAAGGAGTTCTCGGAGAGGGACGCTGCGTAAGGCTTTGCGCGAGCCTTTTCGTGTGTGAGCCTCTTCTGTACGGATCCCGTGTGTGCGACTAGAGGCCTGGATGGCTAGACTAGACGGCTTGATGGCTAGAGTAGATGAAACGGCCTGGTGTACGAAAAGTGCGGCGTTGTGTAGATAGATGTCACGAGTAGCGACGACTTGTTTAGACTGAGTGCGCGGGTATGAAGCGCGTCTACCTTTTCTCCGTCTTTCTACATTGCAAGGATAAGGTATGAATCTAAGACTTGGTACACTTGCTCCGTCGGTCACTTGTGCAAGACTGGCTGACCATAAACCCCGTTCGGTTATGACACTGACACAGTAATGCTCCACTATTCTCATCCCCTTCCATTCCCTGTGTGAGCTTGCGGTGGATGCTGATAGCCACTCTACCTCCATTGCGCAATGAGCCTGCCGTCTTCCCCGTGAACCTTGCTCCTGACAATCGTGGCTCGCATGCCGGGCCTCGAACCGGGGACCGTTTGAAAGCGACACACGACAAGTTGGCGGTGGCTTACTAGGTAGGCAAAGCCCCGTCGACTGCCCCTCACCCCTGCCCCGCACACGTCATCCGCCTTCACGTGGCTTAGGGGTACCAAGGGACGGCAGGAGCTCGCTGAGCAGGTAAAACTGGTGCAACTCTGCTCCTTCCAAGCTTCTATTTAACAACCACCGCCGACTCAAATCCTCAACCAATTCCACACACCTACCAACCAACAAAGTGAGCAATTCGCTCATCTGTTGCACCTCCGCCCCGGCTAACCTGAACCACAGCCTCACAAACACAACAACAACAACAATAACCACTCGAAGATCAAATCACCCAAACACCAACATGGACTTCGTCAAGAGCTTCACCGGCGGCAGCAAGGAGGGTCAGCAGGCAGCCGGCACCACCGCACCTGTCGAGCAGAAGCAGGGTGGCGGCGGCTTCCTCGGTGGCCTCGGCGACAAGTTCAACAGCGCTGCTGGCGGCGGCCGCGAGAGCGAGAAGAACGAGGATTTCTTGGACAAGGGTAAGCCTCTTCTTATAAATCAATGCTCCCTTTGTCATTTCTACTTGCAATTGGCATTTCCTATTGCCCTTCGTCGAACCCCCCAAGCCTCAATGCAAGATCCTTTGCTGACAATGCTCTCCCCACCAGGCATCGACATGGTCCAGGAGAAGTTCATGGGCGCAGGCGCGCAGGACAACGAGTCCGCCTACGAGCAGGCCAAGGACGAGCAGATCTCTGACTTCATCCGCGGCAAGTACAAGAGCACCATGGGTAGCGATATGCCCATCAAGGACAAGGAGACACGGTTCGGTTAAGCGTTTGAGGCGCAAGTCCGACTCTTCATACGGACGGAGTTTCATGGACGCGGGTTTGACGGTGAACCTGAATGACGGATGATGGATGGCTGGGCTTTATGATCCCCTATAGCTCTGCCTAGCCAATGCAGAATGGAGTATTGTTCTCCAGTGACTGATATTGAGTCGAGCATGAGATAAATTCTGTGAGATCCGGCCTTCTGAGCCGTCAAATGTGATGCGAGCGAAGCCGTTGAGATTCTCAACCCCCTCGCCAGAACGTCTCGCAGCTGCTCCAACTTCCCACGGAAGATGCACGCAGCTGTACCTCTACCATGTCTTCTTCGCAACTTCAGGATACTCTAACTCCAGATGCGCGGTGTAATATGAAGAGAGCTCCGCTCATCAGCTGAACCTTCGCCATTCCGATCGAACCCCCACCATCAACGCCCGGCGATGACCACCAGCGCAAACGACCTCAGCAGCTTACAAAGGAAGATCTGGGACGGTTCAATCCCACTCGAGATACGACTGGCGAGCGCCGAGTGCAGGACGTTCGACCAATCCGACCCATATCTGGTAGCTGCTCAATTCGAACGTAGGGTGTGGGTATGGACGGAGCTAACAGGCTTCGAACAGATACAGTTCCCACGCATCTCCTACCTGCCCTTCCTCCTCCCGCGACTCCACGCCTTTTTCTCCCCCTCCCTCATCAACCCTGACGTCTCGCCCTCGGACGGCTGGCTGTCCTACGAGGACGTGGCCCTAAAGTGGCATTACCCACTGGGTCTGCTTTACGACCTGTACTCGGGCGCGGAACCTGCCCACCAGCCAGGCCGCACAAGTCTCTCCAAGGAAGAGCATACCTATGGCGAGGACAGGCACCCGGCACATGTAGCTGAGGAGGCAGATCAGCCTGGGGCGCTGCCGTGGAAGCTGGTTGTGCACTTTACGGAATGGCCGGATGAGCAGCTTATCAGGCTGGATGCTGAGGGCAAGATACTGCATGATGCGTTTATCAACAGCGTCAAGGAGGTGGGCGAGTCCTGTGGGATATCAATGCGGCAGTAGCGCATGGGAAGCTGACGGGAAACTCCCAACAGGCAGATTTCCTCCGCAACGGCAGCGCAAAGGCCATAATGAGCCTGAAGGTAGAAGAATCGATGGCGCTGTGGCAAGCGGTGGAGACCCGTACGTCTATACCGCTTCCCAACCACCAAATAGCACCTCCCATGACTGACTTTTGTCTACAACAACAGACGATCTAGCGCTGTTCAACTCGGTCAACCAGAAGCTCCTGAACCCGCCAGGCGTTCCGCTGCGGCACATACCCATCAAGATATACCTTCCGAGTAGCTCCGCCACTGCTAGCACCACATCCGACACTACCGCAATAGCTCCAGGTCACTTGAAGGTGGTGCAGAGCCTTGCCACGCCGAAGTTACCTTCCAGTACGTCAAATCACGTGATCATCACTCCCGTTTAGCAGATGAACTTTCCGTATCAAGAATCATATCCTGTAAGCTAACAGGATGCGTCCAGGACAGCCGCAAACCCTCGGCACCGCGCTCAACGCGGTTCTGCCTACCGTCTTCGTCAGTCGCCGGAACGCGATCCTGGCACAGCCGGTGCTGCACGGCGCGGTCGTGCCGCTGAGTGCGAACTTGGAGGAACTTGGCAAGGCCGCGGCGTACGCGGATGGGTTTCTGCATTTAGCGGTTGTGGTGATGGGATGAGGTATAGAAGACGACTGGGGTATGGTAGCAGCCTTCGATAGTAAGAGCTAGAGATGGTGGTTGGTAGATGTTGCCGTGGTGTAGAGTATCTAGGACAATACAGTCTTACAACCATCATCAGTCGCTACTTGATGCAAGACTGCGAGCTCGTTGACCTGGTTGCCATCGTCCTCGAGCGACTGAATGATATTGACGCCCAGCAATCTTCGTGAGATGATCCTGTCTGGCCGTCTTGGCCGTCGCTACGTCATAAGTAGCCCCAAGCTTGCGCTCCTACAACAACTTGACGGCCGCTGTCACCTCACTTCCCACTGTAGCACACATTGCTCACTGCGAGATACAATGACTTCCCTAATCAGCGCCGTGTTTGGCGACAAGTCCAAAGACGACGACACCACCGAGAGCAAGGAGGAAAACACCACCGAAAGCAAAGACAACAACACCACCGAGAGCAAAGACGACACCACTACTGCGAGCAAAGATAATACCGCTACCCAGACTTCCGATGCGCCCCCAGAGACCAACCGCGAAGCAGCCGGCAATGCGCGGTCAGACCAGACGACGGCGAGAGCTTCACAGGCGGAAGTCAAGCAGCCTAAGAAGATATACGAACTCCCAAAGCAGAATCCGCCTCCCGGAACGATTCCGTGTCCAGACCCCTCAGTGCATAGCAGAGACACGAGGCTGCAAGAGCAGGCGTCGAACGCGGCCCTGTACACCACTAGCCCTCGGAAGAAGACGAACCCTGGCGGCAACATACTCGGACCAGATCAGAAGCTTTCGTCAGCAAGTGAGTCGATCGCGTTGAACCACAAGCTCCGTCGGTGCTGATACAGTATGCGCCAGGTGCCGCGCAATCCCTCAAATATGCTAGTCCGCAACAGCTACCCAGCTTCCCTGTGGTTGGCATAAATACCACGGGCTCAGCAAATTCGGCGGCTAATCTAGCTAACACCAATCACAAGAATGTGGAGATCTGGAGGCCGGACGCGTCGAGCGCCGCAGGCAAGGCAGCACTACTGGCAAAGGACTACAAGATGGACCCGCTTTGGAAGCCCGAAGCCAGCGCAGCAGGCTCCAAGGCGGCTCTTCTGGCGGCCAGAGACGGAGGCAAGGTCAACATATGGACTCCCGAAGCGCACGCCGAAGGCAACTCTGCCGCGAACATTGCCATGCGCGAAAAGAACCTTGTCCCTCAATTGGACTATGGCTATACCGAGGATGGTCACAAGAAAGCACTTATGGCTGCTACCGGTGCCCTCTCTGGCCGGCAAAGAGCAGGCTCAACGCCGACACAACCCAATCTGTATCCGGACCAAGCCAACTCTGCGCACAACGCTCTTAATGCTGCTCGCGGGTCTGTTAGGGATGCGAACAGGCTCGGTTCTGCCGCGATGGAGGCAGCGCGGGTAAAGAACCTGGGCAAAAATATGCCTAGGGAGATGTTCTCTGAGCACCCGCCGGTAGCAATTGAAGTTGAGGAGAAGAGGCACCAAGAAGCTCTCCACGCATCTGCAGTCTCTATGGCCAAGAAGATGTACGAGATAACGCAAGCACGCGCCGAAGAACAAGCACATGGCGGAGATGGCCTCACTGCGGCGCGCGGCGTGCATGGCAGGCAACCATCTGCACGTGATCAAGAGGTCAAGCAGCAGGCGATGCAGTACATGAACCTACAAGAGGCAGCGCAGAAGCTGGCGGCCGAGAGGCTGGCAAAGCTAAAGCAACCGGATGAGGCCGCCATCTACCGGCAGTACTACGGTTATGACAATCCGCCGCCAAAGTCACGACTGTCCATTAGGCGCGGCAGGCGGCGAGCAAACAGTGAGGGCGAGCCTGTTGATTCGGATGACGAGCAGCAATCTCGCAGGATCCGATCGCAGATGTCCAAATTCGATAAAGACATCGAGCAGGTTGACTCGAAGAAGCGGCAGAAAGACCGCGACGCTCTGCTTGCGGCTGCGGAGCGAAGAGTGCAAGCTCAGATGCACAACATGGACGAGAAAGTCTTCGCAGACACCGGCAAAGTCTCACCCGCGATGATGGAAGAATGGGAGGCCAAGGCCCGCGCGCGTGCTGCTGCAGACAGTGAGGCCCGTATGGTCAACCATGGCAAGGTGCACATCGGCGGCGGTAGGTTCATGGATCAGTCGGAGATTGACGCCATCGCTGCTGCCAGGATGCAACCTACACTCAACGAGATCACCGAGGCTGCTGAGAAGCAGCGAGCCAGGGACGAGGAGATACGCTTGGACCAGGAAGAGAAGAAGCGCCAGGCGCAGAAAGAGAAAGAACGGCTTGCCAGGGAGAAGGAAGAGCAGAAACGATTGAAGGGTATGTTGATATCATACAACGTGTTCCGTCGACCATGCTTACTCACTTCTCGCCCAGCTGAGCAAAAGGCAGCCGCCCGAAACAAAAAGGATGCGGAGAAAATTGCCGCACATACAGCGAAAGACGCTGAGAAGGCCAAGAAGGCCGAAGAGAAGCGTGTCAAGGAAGAACAGCGCAGGTCCAAAGAAGTCAAGAGGCCTGCGACTGCGGAGACAGCCCCTACAACAGACGCAGTCACCACTCCTGTTACAGCCGCGGTCGCCGCTCCTACGGAACCAGCCCATGAAACCACTTCGCACGACGATGACGACATAGACCCGAAGAGCCCCATCCCCACTGCCCCTGTTACGGAGGACCGACCAGCGGTTGCTCAGGTACCTAGCTACCACGAGGCAGTGGAGCGTATCGCTACTAGTAGCAGTAGCCTCAGTAGTAGCAGCGAATCCGACCTCTACGAAGAACCTTCTCCTCGACAAAGTACCTCAGCACGACCCAAAGAAGCCGTGGCGCCCAAAGAAGCTGTAGTACTCGAAGAAGTCGTAGACGAAGGCGTGATCACGGCGCCTCCAGAGGTCGTAGCTCAACGCGTGCTTACATCGCCTGTAACCGATTACCCGGAGAATCCGATTCCTCTGCCGACAACGCTGGACACCTCGACAACGCTTACAGGCGCTTCCACGGCACCCAAGCCTTCGGAAGACACCACGCGGTCCAAGTCAACCCCTTCGGACACCACTACTCCTGCCTCTGCCACTCCTGCTGCTGCCGTGCCTGCTGCTGCCGCGCCTGCTGCTGCTGCGCCTGCCCCAGCCAGGAAAGAGTCCCGCGTGAAGTCCCTCCTCGGCAAGTTCAAGCGCCACCCCAAAGCGGAAGCCTCCGACGCCTCCACAAAGGAGAAGAGCGCCTTCATCGGCGGCGCCACCCTGACAGGTGGGGCAGTGACAGCAACAACCGAACCCACCCCCGCTGCTACCTCCCAACCCGCCACATCTACCACCCAGCCCCCCGCCACAACGACCACAACCACTAACACCCTCACCCCCGTCAACAGCGCTCCTGCCGATACACACGAAAGATCGCGCAGCCGGAGCCCCACCTCCATGAGCATCAGCTCGCTGTCCAGCAGCGGCGACGAAGGCGTGCAGCGTGGCAGGACGGGACGGAGGCCGAGCGATCTGAGCGGGAATGAGGACTTTGAGGAGGCGAGGGATACCTTTGATGAAAAGTTGGCGCCGCCGCCGAGTTTTGGGACCGAAGGACGGGTGTCGGGGAGTCCGGTCAGGGACTCGAAGTTTCAGGAACAGTTGTAGGTGGGTGGGGGGCTGGCAGTGGGGAAGAGAGCGGGAGTGGTAATGGATGATCTCTTTGTGCTTTAGTGATTGGTTGAGATTGGACTGAGCGGTTTGCCAACTTGAGGTCAGATGGATTACCCTATGAGTCACGATACATGACACTCGCTTGAAGTCGAAGTGGCTTGATCTTGCAGGTAGCAGTTCTTTGAGTAGATCTCTAATTACATGTCTATATGCCTCTTCACAATGACCGTACAGTGCACCGAGAGCCGCCATAGAATGTGGCCAGATTACTGATGAAGGTAATAATCCGAGCCCTTGATGTGGCGGTGATATAGTACAGCATAGCCAGCTCAACTTCTGAGCTGGATGCTCACATTCTGGCGTCGATTGAGTTGCGCAGTGGATTCAATAAGGAACGGCTCCGGATTTCCATCTGCAACTCCAGTGCAGTTCGCAATCTTTGCCCGATCTTCTCTCAGCAACAAAGCTCTCGTTAAAGAGCTACATTGCATCGACGCACCACTCGAGGACCTTCTTCTTGATATACAGGATCCTACACATCTCTCTCCCACCTCCCAAACTCCGCCTAACCCCTACTCGTCTTCCTCTCCTCCGCCCTCCTCTTCGCCCTGACCTCCGCCCGCCTCCTCTCGCCCCCATCAACAATCCTCCCCCTCTTCTCCTCCCAAAGCCCCTCCTTGATCCTAAGCCTTGCCGCCAAACCCCCTGTCCCCTTCACAATCTCAACATGCGGCCCGCAGATCGTCTGCGCGCCCCTGATCTTGACCCCCACCACCGGCACCGCCTCCTCCTTTACTTTTGAATCCACCTTCTCCGTCCCCGCCGGCACGTTCACAGCGACTTTCCGATGTCCCGCCGTGCGCGTCGCCGTCGCGGCCTTGAACCGTGGACTCGACGTCGGCACCTCGACAACGCGTAGCTCTGCAGCGCCGTCGGAAACGAACTGGGCGTTCCCGCCCACCCCGAACTCCCCGTTCCGGAACTTCTCGCGCCAGTGCAGCAGGTAGCGGCGCGCGCGCGGGGGCTCGACTCCGGCTGCGCGGAGTTGGGCGCTGCTGAGCGAGAAGAGGGATTCCCAGGTCGGGATCTTGGCGGCGTGGGCGGAGAGGTTGCGGCCGATTACTGTGAGGAATGTGGGAGTGTCCGGTATGAAGGGCGTTGGGGAGGGGATTGGGCGGGGGGGAAGGCGGGCGTGGAGGTGGCGGATGGGGACGCGGATGGGTGTTGAGGGGGTGGTGTGGAGGGTGAGGATGGGGCGGCGGAGGGCCATTGTTGTGGTTGGAGGATGATGGATCGTAGCTCCAGTCGTGGGTTGAGCTGTGCGAAGCTCCTATTAAGGCAGATGTAAGGTAGACGTAGAGATTGCGATAGCACTCCGTGGATGGTGATGTTTGCAGAATGAAGCTCTTCGCGGAACGAGAGAACTTTTTGGCGACTCTCGGAGCAGCAGCTTGGACATCACCCACGACACCCTCACTCAACCAATCCCCGTAGCCTCGCTATCCCGCACAGCTCTCAAGATGGAAAACGGCGCCAGCGACGCAAAAGACCCATCCGGCTTCCTCAGTGAAATTATCGGCGCCCCCGTCACCGTGAAGCTCAACTCCGGCGTCGTCTACAAAGGTCCACGATATTCTGCCACAAGCTTCCCTCTCCCCCCTCTCCCCCCTCTTCCACCCTTCCCGACTCCTAGACCAGCTGTAATAACAAGATGCTAACCCTCAGCTTCACCAGGCGAGCTCCAATCCGTCGACGGCTACATGAACATCGCGCTCGAGCAGACGAAGGAATATGTCAATGGGAAACTGCACCGGACGTATGGGGATGCGTTTGTGAGGGGGAATAACGGTATGTTCGAGCGTGAAGAGGGTGGGGCTTGAGGGACTTGGGCTAATGATGTGGTAGTCATGTACATCTCCGCCGATTCATAAGACTTTTGGCGGGTTGGAAGTATCAATTGCTGGGGAAGAATATTGAGACATGAGGGCAAGGGCACGCTGCTTGCATTCATAAGTGAATTCGAGCATAGCGCGGAGTTTGCGGCGCACCAGGAGCTTCAGACACGATCAATCAGGACAGTGTAAGGAGGTGGACCTTGAATAGCATCAGAGATCTGCTGAGGAAGCACTCCCACGAAGGAGCTTGTAATCGGACGTCGCCCGATAGCAGGACGGTTTGTTCAACAGACCGCACGCAGCGCGAGGTATACAAGATACCCGGAAATCTACGCATAAGGATGCCCTCCTAATCAAGCTGCCTTCCCCATGCAGCTGATAAGTACTCGTCAAACACATCCCTCAATGTGTACCTCATGCGGTGATCCGAAATTTTTAACGCCATATACAGTAGATTGGACTTCCGCGCGCCAAACGCTACCAGACTTGGAACGGCGTTCTTCCCACAAATCCCAACGTGCCGCCAATGTTCCCGCATTTGCTACCGAAACATATCCTACTCCTTGTTCACCTTCGCCTTGGAAGCAGCTAGAGCGCCATGCAACCCGTACTGACTCGGCACGCCCTCAATCCGATGCGTCGAGTTGATATTCTTGACCAACGTGATCTGGAAACACGTAGCACTCCCCTGCCTTGAGATGATGGTCGAATATGCCAAGAAGAACTCCCATATCTGGATGATGTTAGAAGATTGCAAGGGGACGAAACGTATGACACCGCTCACCCTGAACCACCTGTTGCCATACTTGGCAACCACCTTTTCCTTATTCGCCATCCAATTCCTATACCACCTCCACAGCGTCGCGGAATAATGCACGCCGATGGTGTCAATGCTCTTAACCTCGAATCCAGCGCCCTCAAGCTTGTCCACAAACCAGCCGAGCGGCGTGCTCGCGTCCGCGCCAGGAAAGATATACTTGTTCATGAAAAGACCCCATATAAGATCCTCATACTGCCAGCTCTTCCTGAGCCCGGCATACTGCAAGAAGAACACACCATCGTCGTCCAGCATGTCATGCACCTGGCGCAAGAAAGTCGAAAGATGGCGCACGCCTACATGCTCGACCATCTCAAGGCAGGTGATCTTGTCGTAGCCACCCTCCGGGACAGGAATGTCGCGGTAGTCCATACAAAGAATCTTGCTCTGCTCCTCAGGGACGCCGGCTTTTCTGAGGCCCGCATTGCCCCAGGCGGTCTGGTTGCGGCCGAGCGTGACGCCCGTGGCGCGGGCGCCGTAGTTGGTGCTGGCGAACTTGGCGAGGGTGCCCCAGCCGCAGCCGATGTCGAGGACGGACTCGTTGGGCTGGAGTTGGATCTTTTCGCATACGACGGCCATCTTGTTGTCTTGGAGTTGCTCGAGGGTTTCTTCTTTGTTGATGTCGGAGATTATGCCCGAGGTGTAGATCATGCGCGGGCCGAGGAACCAGCCGTAGAAGTCGTCGCCGCGGTCATAGTGGTCGCGGACTTGTTCTTCGTCTGTCGTGTGTGGGTTAGCCTTGCCGTCCTGCTCAATGAGGTGCTGAGCGGAGAGAGAGAACGCACCTTGCGACCTTGTATGCATGATAACCTCTGGCATCATCCCGGTCAGGAAGAACCAGAACAGCGACAGCGTGAACCTAAAGCTCGCCCAATCATGTCGGTATTCCATGATATCGAGGCAGTCACCATTGAAGTCGACTTTCCCGTCGAAGTACATCTCGTGGAATGTCTCCATTGGAATCTTGCTGCGTCCGTAGTACTTGTCCCGGTCTTCCTCGGAGTGAAATGTGAGGTAGTGTTCGATGGGCTTGCCGGGCAATCTCGCTTTCTCGTTCTTGCGCGGAGACATGCTGGAAGCAATTGTCCAAAAGGCCATAAGGATGGGAATCGCCATGATCAGGGCGAAGAGTATCCATGTTTTGAGGCCGCCGCCGAGCTTCCAGGAGCAGTACAGTGGGAGTAAGGTGAGGAGGGCTATGAGGAGATAGTTGCTGAAGGTCTCACTGCTGGCACCGTCGGCGGGAAGGGGAGCATTCTTGATGGCCGGGTACTGTGGCAGTCGTCAGCTTGTTTACCCATGTGCCGCGGTTTCAGTTGTCTCTGCAATAGACTTGCTGTTGTCGTCCGCACGCCATAGTCTTCTGCTGGCGGTTCAGGGCTGGGCGCAGCAGGCGTGTCAATGAACTCAAACGAGTCCTCAGACACGTTTCCCTCGAGGTCGGCCATGGTGAATATCGATTGCAGCAGGTAAAGGGTGTTTGAGATTGCACCTGGAGCTTTTCAGCGTTGTGCCTGCCAAGAATTTCAGGGTCATGTCAGTGGGTGGACCCCTTGAAAACCGCCGAAGCTCCGATTCAACTGTGCCTCCACGCCAAGTCAACCTTCGTTTTGGGACCTGTGCCGTATAGACTTGGCCCTCCCAGTCACCACATCTGCGGCCTATACGGCCCACTGCTCCCGCGAGAGAGCCCGAATTCTGGAAGGGCACCGAAGGCGGCGGCTGGATCAACATCGAGCTCTTGTCTTTCTAAGCCTGAATCCAAGAGTTCTTTCTTTTTTAGCGCCGTTTTGAGAATGCTTTGGACCGGAAGTCATCGAAGACGATGCGGAGTCTCTTCCATCTCCTACGTGAGTTGTTTTCAGAAAAGGGGTGGCGCTCCTCATGTGTGGACGATTGGCTGTCAACTACGCCCAAGACGAGTATAGAAATATGTGTGGTCGTCATTGGAACAGGACGGCAAAGATGTAAATGTCATGTATTGCGGGCATCTCTGTGCGTATAAGAACGAGCTTCTCGACCCAAGTGCCACGTTCAAATCAAACCCCATTGCTGCAGGCTACACTGCTTCCAACGCCGCGAGCCGAACGCCATACAAAGCTTACTTGATGTGTACGTCGATTGAATCCATATCTGCGATTTCTGTGTCTTCGAGCTTCGCCGTGGGTGACAAGCGCTCGCCATCCCATGTGAGAAAAACTTGCTGATCCGCCAAAACCACTCGTTTACGACGAAACCCGTTCGCAATCTCCTCAAATGTAGAGGTCTATCACCCCAATCAGTATCCCGAAAAATGCATCGGTGTCGGTAGGAGAGTAGCTTGCAGGGACTTACCGGTTTCGCCCGGAGTTTGAAGTCTTCATGGCCCTTCGCCTTCAAAACCAGCTTCACCAACTTCTCCTCCACCTTCTTCTCCTGCGTCGGCAACGGTTCCTCCTCCGGCACCTTCGCCTTCAGCTTCTGAGCCGCCTCTCTCTTCATCTCCTCAAACGCCTCCGGATTGCAGACTTCCATGTGGATCTTGCCCTCACAGAGGCCATCTGCACCTCGGCTCTTGCCACTCCTCATGATGATTTCCCCATCCTCGTCCACCGCTATACCGAGGCTTTTGCATGTGGTGGAGTCGTAAAGCCTTCGGCCACGGAAGGTGAGGAATATGCTGGCGCTTTCGTCGGAAGGAAGACCTTCTCGCTTGCACCATGCGTCCCGGACTTCATGGAGGCGTTGCTTGAGCCGGCGTTTCACTAGCAGGGGCCTTGCGTTGTTGATGCGGGAAGTTATGAGGATCTGGATCACGGGACCATCTGTGTCTGTGGCTGTCGAATTCGGTGCATTGAACTCGAATGAGTTGGCGGCGGATAAGGGTTGGGTTGAGGAACGCTGGATCGAAGGATTTGGGCGCACCGGTGACGCTATCTTGGCGGCTTCGGCTTCCCTCCGCCTGGCGCGAGCTTTGGCGGCGAGCTCGCGAAGGAAAGGGTCGAGTTCTTCGTCGGAGTCATGCTGGGCGGGTCGCTGTCCTGATTCCGAGCGCGGAACGGAAGCTTTCGTCGTGCCATTGGTTGCGGTTTTCGCAGGCGAAACCGAGTAGAGGTGTGCTTCATCGTCATCATCTGAGTCGAGTAGATCGACCACGGCAGACTGTGGGGGAGGATGCTTCGTTGGCTTTGTGATGTATCTGTCGCGGGAGATGGGCTGGGTGCTCATGCAAGTTGAAGCGGCTTTCTCTGGGGAAATAGAATTGCTTGCAGCAGTGTCGGGTCGATTACTGCCTCCACCAGCGACGTCGCCACGATTCGAAGCAGAAAGCCGCCTTTCAGCGCCTGCATGCTCCTGACTGGCAGGCCTTTTGACCACCACCCAGCTGCCATCCTCGTCTTCCATGTCCGAGCTCTTGCGCTTTTTCCTCCCATCGGTCCCCTCGCTTTCCCTTCGCTGCTTACGCGCAAGCTTCTCCCTCTTCACACGTTCTTTGTCCGCCATGATGTCCTCGATCAAGTGACTTCCGCGGCCAAATATGTCACCTTCTTCAACTGCCTTCGCATCTGAGGTAGGCTTCGTCCAGGCCGGCTTCGCGAAGAGGGCGCGCTTCGCTGGTTTCGGGATTTCCGCCATGGCTATGGTGATTGTGCAGTAGATCTGGAAGCGGCTTGCGACTTTTATATATGGTCGTCTGTCGCCAAACCGCGCTTGAAGCGAGTCACCAATCGAAGCCCCCGCGCGTGTGGTCGACGCCAAGTCATGTGGAGTTGAAGGCGTCGGGTTTCTCTTTGCGGAAACGCCGATGTTGTGAACTTCACTTCACTTCGAAACACCGGAGAGATCTGATACAGAGATTCGCTCAGCGCCCTTTAAGGCCCTCCAAAGCCTGCGGGAACAACTTCTCCGATCCGGCTATCTTATGTGTGACTGCACTTGTTGCACGACTATGTTAAATTCATAGTCTCCACGGGTACCTTCGTGAGACCTTTTCCTTGCTCAGAATTACCTTACTCACAGCTATAATTGCCTCACTGTTCCTCGATACCCAGCCAGGGCGATGGCGATGGCGCTCTCGCCAGCACAGTACATAGCAGCTTCGGCCAACGACAAAGCCGTTGTGGCCAAAGCGAAGGCTCTCACCATCTTAAGCAACAACGCGAACAGCAAGCCCAGCACAACTACCACTGCAACAGCGGACCTATCGGAGCAGCTCAATGAAGAAACGCGTAACCGCTATGAAAAAGGTAAAATAAATGCTCGGCCTCTTTTTTTTCTTTAAAAGAACATGCTTTAGTATATCCTTTACAAGCCCTAACGCCGCAAGGCGCGCACTCTAACATCGACCTCTGGCTCCCAATATACCGCACGACAGCTGCGGTTGTATAACTATGTTGCTGACACAACATTTGTAGGCAGGAAGCTCGGCGAAGGCACTTACGCTGTCGTCTTTAAAGGCCACCTCAAGTCCGACCCGGCGTCCCTTGTGGCTATTAAAAAGATCAAGATAAACGCCAACTACAAAGACGGCTTGGCTATGGACGCCATCCGCGAGATCAAGTTTCTGCAGGAGCTGTCTCACCCGAACATTATCGCCCTCCATGCCGTCTTTACCTCGAAAAATCTGCAACTCAATTTAGTCCTCGAGTTTCTGCCACGAGGGGACCTGGAGATGCTGATCCGAGATCCGAAGAACGTGCACTACGGATTAGCGGACATCAAAGCATGGATGGTCATGCTGTCAAGAGCGGTTTATTTCTGCCACCAAAACTTCGTGCTCCACCGCGACATCAAGCCCAACAATCTCCTCATCGCCGAAGACGGCGAGGTGAAGCTTGCAGATTTCGGCCTGGCAAGATCTTTCGCAGATCCCTACGAGAAAATGACCTTCGAAGTCATCACCCGTTGGTACAGACCCCCAGAGCTGTTGTATAAAGCAAGACATTACAGTGGCGCTATCGACGTCTGGTCCGTCGGCACCGTATTCGCCGAGCTCATTCTCCGCAAGCCATGGATGACAGGCACTACCGACATCGACCAGATCGACCACATCTGCCAAAACTGCGGCACGCCCCTCGAGGAGAACTGGCCCGGAGTTAGCAAGCTAGACAATTATGTTCCCCCCGCGCCGTCAGCTATACATCCAATACCTAACAAAGCGACATGGCTGGGTAATTTTGGCACCGTTGGCCCGCAGGGTGTGGATCTGTTGCGACGGATGGTGACCCTTGACCCTAGTAAACGGATTACAGCTAGAGGTGTACTCGAGCATGAGTGGTGGATATCTGACCCGAGGCCAACGAAGAAGGAGCAACTACCCAAGAAGGGCGGCGGTGAGGAGAAGATGGGGGAGGATCTCAAGAGGACAGGCCGGGATTTTGAGGCGGATGGACGGGTGGACAAAGTTGCGAGGAAGCTTTTCCCTTGATTTGGTTAAGAATCGAGGGTTTCGGTCCGCTGATGATGGTCGACGGGTAGCTTCTACACGAGGCACTCAGTATCTCCTCAAGCGCATACTTCCCCGCGTGTCGTACCATACGAAATAAGCAGAAGTCCCTGCTGCTCCCGATGTGTCGAGCAGCGCGCACGTTTTTAGTATCACAGCCGCTGTCGCAACCTGGATGGTCAGCAATCTGAAGTGAAACACCGAGCATCAGCCGCAATGAGCACAAGGCGCGACAAAGCCTCTCCTAGGGCGCTGCGTCAGCAGCTCAGACATGGTCGACTGCAAGAATGAAGCGACACTAGATATCTCACAGAACTCCTCAGACAAGAAAGACAATGCTGAGATGCCGCTTTCAACGGCTGTAAGAGTTCAGGTGTGTACTCATCAGTCTCCTGAGCCAGTCTTGTATCTGTGACAGGTGATTCTCCTCTCGCAGTTGTTCCTTTCCCCGCTCTTGTGTAGGTATGCTTCCCTCACCGAAATGTACTGTGTGAATTGGGCTCTGCAGCTATAACCTAACCGCATGAATATTATACACAATCGTTCGAGCCGTTCTTCGTTCCTCGTCCGTTCTTCATTATACCAAGGACGTAGACGCGACCGCTTCACGACCTTCGCTCTCATCCCGGAGAGTTTCTACCAGGAGAGCATTCGTTCTGTACAATGCAAACTCTGCATTTCACAGCCACTGACTCTCTTCCACATGGTCCGCCAGCTTAGTACCACAGCACCTATTCATAAAACCAAGCTGTAAAATTGTAGCGTGGTTTGACTGGGCAGAGTAAGATATGTGTTCTACGTCCACAGACCATATAAGAGTAGCATTTGTCGCTTCTTAACTCAACCCCGTAGCATCCCGCTTTCCAACCCAGCAGCACAGCATCTCGCAGTCCAGCTTGATTTCCTCATAGTCGCCGCAATCTCTATTGCAAGGTCAAAGCCTCCGACCACAAATATTACTACCACTCCTGATATCCCTGGCCGACTCATCTGTCCGCGGTTGACTCGGGCGCAGAAAAACGACGTACTTGGCACGATGTGGTTCTGCGGCAATTGCTCCGCGCCGAACTTCCTTGACCATGGTGCAATGACCGAAGAGCACCCACTTGGAGTTCTCAAGTGCCGCGATTGTTACAGGCCAGCCAGCAGCAAGAGTTGGTTCGCCTCCGACGTTGTTCAGTGGCATCAGCTCGACGCAATCCAGCTCCCGATCAATGCACATCGCCGTACTTTACTCGGTTGGATTTGCTGCGGATGCGGCTGGGCAATGACGGCCGCTCTAGATGAATATGACAAGCGGAAAGACGGGACCTTAGGATGTCACCGCACGGCAGGCTAGGTATCTTGTACTACGCCCACCAGCAGTATTCGCACTGCTTGAGCAGCTTCTGCAAGGCGTGTCAACGTTTCGAGTTGCCGCTCAAAGGAAACAGTATCCCGGTAACGCCGGTAGAAGAAATAGACCTCACTACCGAAGTTTCCGAGGCACCCCAAAACACCCATATGTCTAAGGCTTTCTACAAGGTAGCCGGCAGTTCGCTTATTTGACAGCTGCCGGTACTTCGCTATGCAGTGATGCACACTCCGCATCCTCACCTCCTATCTCGTGGCTTTGTTGCATTGTTCGTCACAATGTGCGTCGATCTCTTTGTCAGCGTTTCAGCAAAGGTCATACTTGTTTACACATCACAGAATATGCGTGGTGCAGTGTGGAACCACCTTCCCGCCGGATCTGCCGGTATCTGGAGCGAGCGTTCCGGAACACAACATACCATATCGCTATTCGCTCTTAATATCTTGGACCACGTTATTTATCCTTCGGAAGTTGCTTCCCGTTCTCAAAGAATCGCTTGGTCATTGATGCGCACGCATAATTAACCTTCAGTTCGAGCGTTGTTCATCTGGTTCTCCAACAAAGGCATTGTCCGTCGCCTGCGAACTGACATTGTCACTGGATCTTCTACCATGGATAGTGTCGATGAGTGAGATTCCTCAAGTATAAGTACCATCCATTTTCCGGTCTCCTGTTCGTGCTCCAGATTGCCCGCTGTGACCTGGAGAAGTAGATTGAGTTTTTATTCTGAAGATTTGATTCTGCAGAATCCGTCGTACGCAGTCAATCTCACCACCAACTTGTAGCCTTCGCTGGACGAAGCTTCTACATATAACACCACCACCATCAACAAGTACACCAACCCCACATCCTACAAGATGAAGTCGATCTCTGGGTTTCACACCCCAAGAATGGAGAGTGAACTGGCAAGCAGCGAATGGGTCTGCCACCAATGTTGCTTCGTGTCTAGCTTGAACATCCCGACGATGTCACAGCAGCATCCCCTTGGACTGGTGCGCTGTCCACGCGACCACCTCCCGGACGCGTGCACCGCTATGGAGTCAGGCATGCTCGCATTCGGTACATCTAGGACAATTGAGTTCCCGCTCAATCCTCCTTCGAAGCCCACACATGGCTGGATCTGCTGCGGTTGTGGATGGTCTTCGGCGGCGGCCCTCTCAATGGCCTACAAGGTAAAGCCGCAGTCGACGTGGGACAAAATAAGGGGCAAAGCAGCTAAAGTGGAGACTAGGTCTCTCGGTTATCTGGACCTCATCTGTTCAAGCTGCAAGAAACTTATTTGCACATCGTGCAAGCGCTTCCGCTTTCTGAGCAGAGAGGAGGTGATGAAGCTGAGCCGACTTGAAGAGGGCCAGCATCGCCCCATCAGACAAACAGATCGTCCCCTGGTGAAGAGGAGTACGTCTGAGCGGAGTCCTCCGCTTATGGTACATGCTTATACTAACAGGCCGCTTCCTGAATTGCCACACCAGCCATGTGTGGCACGAAGCAACGCTGTGCGGGATCCGAATACGCACAAACCAACTCCCTGTCGTGCTCACACGACCTCAAAGGCCCAATCGTACCCCGATAGGCCTTTATCGGTGTCATCGTGGCTCGAGGCACATTCAAAGAGACCCTGAGGCAGGGCTTTTTTGTCAGGATCGGTGTTAATGCGTGCTGAGATGCAATCCAAAAAACAGGGTGGAAATTTGTCAAGGGTTTTTTGCGATATAGGTAAGGCGTTTTGGGGTGCTTCAGTTCGTAGTATCAATATCACACTTACCCTCGGCTTGTGGTCATTACATGTGCCTGTCTCATTTTTCGTTCCTTAAACATTGATCTCCCCTAGTCAAACCCAGTCTCGGTACTTGCATTCTAGATACATGATCAATCTTTCCACAGTACTGTTGTCTTCCACCATGAGTTTCCTTTGTTGTTTTGTTGCTGGCAGCGGGGCTGTCACTTAGCGCTTGACACGGTTAGCAGCTCTTCCAATCATCTCTCCCCACACCGTAGTTGAGGCATTTAGTATTGTAAGCATTTCAAACCTAGCGCTCGTTCACTCGTTACAAATCTTGCTGTGCTGCCGCCTCCCCAAGGGCCCTCGGCCGGGCCGCCACAGGGGGACGAGCAAGGAGAGAGATTAACCGCTGGCGGCCTCTCCGATTGACCGGCGACAAGGTATGCTCGCCCATTTCTCACACGAGCTCATTCTTCGCGCTGATTTCTCGAACAGACGTGGTGCCTTTGGCTCGGTGTACATTATCGAGCACGAGGTCAATGGCATTGTGACCCGACAAAAGACACCCACAGGTGGAATGGCCCTGAACAATGGGCGTCCACGAATACAGCGCCGAAATTGCCCGTGTTCATTGTCTGTCCGACCACCAGTATATCAGTAGCCAGCTCGGCCGTCAACTTCCTCACAATCGTCTCTCTCCGGAGTAGTGATTGAAGAACATAGGCTGTGCCCGAAACTCTTTGCTCACTTCTACACCGTCATCAAAGCTGCCATCTGCACCGATTACTCTACCTGCAACAAGCAATCCACCAGAGTCCGAAGCCGTTAGCAGGTCTAACGTTTCAGTTCACCCAACATGGCAACAGACGGTTCATCCCTAGAAATGCACTCACACACCTATCAAGAGCTGAAAGAATCATCGTGGACTTGCAAGAATTGCGGCGTTCTGAACAGCTTTGTGCCTGTCGCCCAACAGCCTGTGGGTCTGTTGATATGCGACAGTTGTCACAAGCCCGCGGAAGCAGGAACTCAAGTATTTTCCAACATACTCGAGATACTCCCGGACTGCATCGAGGAGCAGACGCTACCTCATCCTGGCAGCAAGCGCTCCACCGGGTTCGTCTGCTGCGAATGTGGTATGTTGTGGAGGAGAACCATGAAGGCCGGTCCACAGCAAGCCAAGAGAAGTATCGCTGACTTTCTCCTCCGCAGGAACAAGTCGGAGAAGCGTAAGCAGAAACCCGAAGGACTTGTTCCTCATCTCGCCACCTTCCACTTCAGCACTTCTGTGTGCAAATTCTGCGTACACAAGTGCTGCGAGAACTGTCTGAGGTTTCGACTGCGAGAGAAGGGGATATCCGCTTCCGCGGCCAAGACGGCGGATCTCGTCGAGGAAGTCATACCTCTAACTGCGGCCGACCTTGGCGGATATCTCTCCCGCTTTCCTCTGAACGATGTTCGCGGTCTGAGAGTCCAGACCCAACCTGAAGCCGCTCAAACAGCCTCTCATCAGGCCCCTCCAGTGAGTCCAGTATCCGCAAAACTCATTCTTGACAACCCTATTGTTCTCTCACCAGATCTCATCGACGCGGCAAGCATCACCTCGGTGGACTCTGAAGTAGAGTATGGCGTTGCTGTGGAGCGCAAACTCGTCAAGGTCTCGACACCGCCCGTCCTCTATCGACGCCCAACGAAGGAATGGGTAAGCAAGGCCACTGTTGCGGTTCAGACGCCGTCGAACTCGCTTCCAGAGACGAAGCGGCGAACGGTCCACGATCAAAAGGAAGATGAGGAGAAAGCGCTGAAGGAGTCAACAGACGCTATGGTTAACGGCTTGCTCAGACTTGGATTCCTTTAGATTACCAAAGGTGTTTCATAGGTTCATTTCAAGTTAGGTCGGGGTAGGTAAAGATAGGTATAGGTAGGTAAGTTACGCTGGTCGTAACACCCGGACGAGTGAAGAAAAATCGTAAACCCCCACAGCATCATCGACAAAACGTGACATGAAAATTTGTGATAACGTTATCCAATTTAAAAGTGACAACTAGGAAGTGATTTGTACTGAGCACAGTGGTTTTGGCAGGCCAGTACTCAGAACATCATCCGCTGTAAGCGTGGAAGCTAGCCGACACATAACGAGCATGGCGTCGGAAAGAAGCATTGATTGACTCTATAGCAACTGGTATAACCGGCACGCATCGAACTGATCGCAGACGCTTCTTTCAAACATCAAACATCAAACTCCAAAACGCTCACTCAATGCATTGTCCAGTTCCACCGCCCTTCCCTCAACCCTGATTCAAGGTTCGCGGCCGACCGACCAGATTTCTACCTAAAACCTTTCTCGTCACGCTGGTGTACCCCTCATGTCATCGAGATCTAGAAGAATAGCCGAAGGAGCTCGAAGACCACTCCGCCGCATACGACAAATATGAGCAAAACTGTATAGTGACACCTGTCAGTTGCGTGGTTCATTCTCCACAGCCCTCACTCTTCGCTCCATGCCTCTTCGCTCCGCCTAGAGTGCAGCGCGCTGGTAAAGTGTAAACTTTACTGACCGACAGCTATCTTGCCCACCGGGCTCTTCTGTATATCCTGCTTCTTGAGCGCGCTCTGCGGCTTCCCTCGCTTTGCGTTCTCGGCTTTGGCGAACTTCTCGTTTGCGCGGCGCTGTTGCGGTGTTTGTGCCTGCGCCAAAGAGGGACAGTTAGTTGATAGAAAACTACATTATGGATTCCTAGGGGCTGTGCAAGACGCAATACAGTGGAGGGGCTGAAATACCATTGCGCTGCGTGGCCTCGGTCTGGGTCGCGGAGGTGGTTGGAAGCGGTATTTGCGGGATTGAGACTGCAATCGCAAAGCCAAGTGATAGGGCTGCCGATAGCCAGAAGTGCCCGGGGAAGCTCTAAACTGTGGAATATGTAACTGTCGCTGTTGTTGGTTTCGACAGTGAGTTGCGCAAAAGAACGGGGTATCGTGGAGCTTCGCGGCGGAGGTCTTGGCTTCCCCGAGCTTTTGTAAGATTGAGCCACCAGTGGCCCCCCAGAGACCACGTTGCTTCAAGTTCACACGACACAGTATGCCTATGACTCGGTTATTAGGCAGCATGCCTCTGTTCTTTCGCCTGTCTCAGTCGCCGAGACTACGACAAGGCCATGTAGTGCGCCAATCCATCCGCAACAGCTCCAACGCGTCCTACCAACCTCCGACACCACCTACGCCGAGCAATCCCCACGTATACCGCCCATCTCCTCAACCGTTCCCTTCGAGTCGATGAGAAGTCTCAGCTAACAAGAGCCATGCAGCGTGCATTCTACCAGTCATTCGGGCGTCCAGTCGCGAAAGTCTTCCTCGGCGCCCTCCTGACGTACCAAGCGATATACTGGTCGTGGCTTAAGCTTGAAAGCCTGGAGATCAAGGAGGACAAGAACGGTGCGTGAGGCGCGTTACGTAGGGATGTCAGCATGATCTTTTAAGGATGATGCTGACAGGTTTCGTAGCGGAGATCCGCATGCTTGAGGGCGAAATCAAGACGTTGAGGGTCGGGAAATAGCCATCTATATTATATCCCTAAGCGCACCGGCTATGCCATTTCCTCCTCAAACCGGAAACCCCTGCCCTAACGAAGATGGTAACTGGAGTGCCGTCTTGACGGGTGTTAACCTCCTCAGCATTAAGGACGTCCACGAATGACGAGCGACTTGTCGTATAGTCGAATTGTCTTCTTTTGGGCCACCTGCAAAACATCTTTGCGCCGCAACAGCCTTCAACACGTCCGCTCACTAATTGTGGACGACCGAGACGTAGGTTTTAATGGCAATGACGGCCTATCGATGGAGATTCATCAGCGCTGAACTTGCTAGAAGACAAGATGCGCAGCTTCCACCTCTGGTTAACCACTACATGCTCCTTGCAGAGCAGTTGCAAGCAAAGATCCGACCTTCTCTTGACAGCCTGCTAGCGAAGGCTTCTTGCATCCAAACAGCATGGCACAATATCTACATAAACCAAGGGTGTCGATTAATTAGAAGTAGCTGAAGTCACTATGAGTTACCAAGTGCAGGCTGCCCAGCCCGATGTATCCAACAGAATCCTCTGTAGCAGAACCTTGTACTCATGTGACGCCTAGAGAACGCTGACGGTGCGTCAGGTGATCTCACCATTCCTCCTCTTCGCATCCTCCAACGCCTTCAGCATCCGGTGATTTCCTTTCATCCCTTCCATCTCTGATATCACCTTCTCTGCGTCTTTGAGGTCTTCATCGATCATCTTGATCCTTGACTGGAATTCTTTCTCAAGCTTTTTATCCTCCGCCGTCTTCTGAGTCTCCAGCCTGGCAAACGCATCGTTGTCCGCACCCTCCGCCTTCGCCTTTGCAACCTCAGATGCATACTCCGCGTTGTTTGTCTCCACCTCCACAGTATGAAAATGTCGCATCAGTGCCTTAGACGACTCCGCCAGCGCCCTTCCCACCAGCCTCGCCTGCTCCAGCGCCTCCTTCCATTCCGCGCCAGCCCCACTTCCATCCTGCTCACCCATCTCCCGCACAAGCTCAAGTATCCTCTCGCCATCATCCTGGTTATCCCCCACCCCCCTCCTGGCCGCCTCATCCACAACCTCCATAAGTCTCCTAACACGCAACTCCTTCTCGCCCGTCGCTTTAACCACAGCCTGCTTCTCCACCTGCTCAAAGTGCCTCTCCGCCTGCTTCATCTGCGCGATCTTCTTCGCGGCATACAGCGGCGCGACCTCGGTCCGCTTGTAGCGCCTGTCGCGATCCGCGACCGCGGCTGCGAGCTTGGCGTGGCGTTCTTCGATCTTCTGGTTGAGCAGCAACAGGATCTCGAGGGCATGCGCTGTCGTCGGCGGCGGCGCCTCTTTCCCTTCTTCTGCGCGCGAAAGCGCCACGATGCCGCCGACGGCCTGCTCAGCGAGCATGGCCTCGACTTCTACGGACAGGGACACGAGGGTGCCAAGCTCCTGCCGTAGCCGGTCAAAGACAACGCCGAAGACGCCGTCGACGTAGCTTTGGTACTCGGCTTTTGCTTCTCTGGCTTCACGTGTCGCTTCCTGGGTGCGGAAATCCTCGTCGAGCTGGTTCATCTCCGCGTAGTCGATCTCGTTGTCGTTGTAGAGCTCTTCGTTGCGTGCTTCAGTTTCTTCGAGGCGCTGGCGGCGTTCGGATCCGAGACGGGAGCGGAGTTGGGCGGCACCGGCTTCCCAGGTCGAGGTCAGGGACGCGATGTAGGTGTAGTCTGAGGTGAGCTGGGAGGCTGATGCGCTGATGACGCTGAGGCGAGGATGGGGTGGTAGGTTCTGTACGATGGTGGAAGAAAGAGACTCAAGGAGTATGTTGGTGACAGAATCGTGAAGTGAAGGCGCAGTTATGGGAGCATGTTCCGGCGATGGAGCTCTAACAGCACTAATGGGATCCTGGCTGGTTTGAATCCCGAAGGGGCCACCAGTTATGAGATCATCTGCTGGGAAAGGATTCTGCGGGCCTCGCTGAGTTACGCTAGGTGACGACGGATAGGGTCTTATCGCATCTGACGTCTGTTCCGGCATGGATGTTTGCTCAGGCGCTGGCCTGCCAAAGAAGCTATTCGAAGCGGGTGGTTCCTCGAAAAAGATCTCTTCGTATTTCCGCCGTAGAGCGCTGGAGGAGGTGAGGTGGCTTGGAGATGGCCTGATAACGCTTGGTTCGGCTTCGAACCGAGGTATGTCCTCTGAAGATCCGCCTATGTAGGGCCTGTACGCTGGCTGTGCTGTGCTGTGTTCTTGCTCGGGCCCATCCCTTGGGAAGTCTTCTCCTGATGCATTGGTGGTGGGTGTCAAGATGACGGACTGGGCCGCAGGCTCGCTCACGGCTGGCACGGTACTACCCCTGAATGGTTTGTATGGAGAGCTTGCTGAAGTAACTTCAGTTGAGATCGATTGGTCTTGTCGACGCTCGCCACTACCAAGTGGCTTTTCCCCAGTGATAGGCATGCTCCTCTCAGGCTGAGGCGACTGCCTGTCTGTCATCGATTGCGCGGCCTGTCCTTTCGTCAGCCGGCTTGAGATTGTTGGCCTACCACCGGGACTATACTCTTCTTGAGCCATCTGTTCAACAACGACATAGTCCGAAGAAGCAACTGGCGAGGTCAATGCGGGCCGGTACGGAAGGTCTTGGGTGGTGTTGGGCACAGATGACAACCCCGATCCCTGCACCGGTTGCGGTAGCGGTACTTCAGTTACAGTCACTGGTGCAGGCATGGGCGGGAACATCGCGGCAAGATCAATACCCCTAACTTGCGACTCTGCTTTCAAGAATAGGGTAAATATCCGGATCTTGTCCTCCACAGAAGTCGTGTTCGCCTCAAGACGAAGCATCGCTATATACCGCTCAAGCGAGCCGGTATACCACGGATCAAGGTCCGGTATCAGGTCGGCTGGCTGAGGTGGCTGCTGCATATATTGCACGGGCTCAGCTACCAATGCTTGGGGTATAGCACTAGAGATGGGCGAAGGGGATTTTGTCGTTGTGAGTGGCGGCTGTGGCGATTGGACTTGTATGCTTCCTGTATCTGGGGCCTCGATCGAGACAATGCTTGGACTGTACTGATGAGACCTGTCGTGAAGAGGAGGCGCAGACGCACTCTGCTGAAACGTTGAAGGAGGGCGAGAAACATTCAGCGGCGCTGGTTCTGGCGTCATCGGCCAGCTCTCTTCCGGTAGGTTCATGACTGAAGATTCCTGCTGTTTTCTCATCACAAGAGGGGGTGATGACTGTGAAGGGAGTTCGTAGCTATCAAGCTGTTGAGGTGAAACAGGTCTTGCTGCCGATGTGGAGCTCCGCGCCGCTGGCTCGTTCGGTTCCTCTCCAGGTCCGAAATGCTCCCAGTCAGAAGGACCTCCTCGACCTAGAGCTGAGGCACCACTGGAACTTGTTGCTTCGAACGTGGCGATTGAGGAAACGGTGCTTGAGCGGACCGGCTTTCGTGATATACCGACAGAGGACTGCCGCTCCCGTTGCTCTGTCGCCTGGCTAAGGCTTATGCTTGCTCTCTGCTGCAACGGCGATACAGGTTGGAAGTGCGGGTCTTGCTCGCTCGCGGCTTCTTCGAAAGGCTGAGGAACTTGCGGCGCCATGTGAAAAGGAGGAGGATTCTGGAAGTTCTGTTGCTGGGTTTGTGCGTGTTGATTGCCATACGAACTCCGCCGCGCGAAATCTGATTGGCTTTGGTCCTGCCAGCTGTTTTGTCCGGGTGTTTGAGAGGTAGAGTACGGCTGAGATTGGAACGAAGCTTGAGGCTGTTGCTGCGCCATCCCGGGGGAGCCGAAGGGTTGTGGAGGGTTTGGTGGAGGGTATTGCAGCTGAGTCCGTGGCGATTGACCTGGCTGAGGCGGGGGCGGAGATTGCTGAAACTGGTTTGGCATTGGTTGTTGCGGTAAAGGCTGTGATGGTAAAGGCTGCTGTGGATACTGCTGGAAGTGTTGTTGTTGTTGTTGTTGTTGTTGTTGTTGTTGTTGCTGCTGCTGCTGCTGCTGCTGCTGCTGCACAGGGAACATCGAATGGAGGACAGGCATATTGTATTGTTGCGGTGGAGGCGGAGGCGGCATTTGATGCTGAGCAGCAACATTGTAGTTCTGCGGCATTGGCGGTGGAGCTTGCGGGGCTTGCGGCGTATCAGCAACCATGCCTCCGTAACCTTGAGCAGCTGTTTGGTAACTTGGGTGCACGATCGGCTTCATGTATCTGAATTTCTTGTTCTGACCGGAGAATCCGGCAGTCTGGGCATGTGTCCATGCTGGAATATCCGGTGGGGGAGGCACGTATACACCTGGGAGTGGGTTTGTATTGGAAGGGATGTAAGCTGCAACGCCTTGACCAGACAGTGAAGGTGGGACATAGGCCGGTTGCTGCTCATTTGGGCTCCACACAGGTGGTGGAGAAGTTGTAATCACGTTTCCCGGTGTTGGTGGGAAGGAACCGGAGTTTGTGCGGCCTGGAGCTGGAGGGAAATAAGACCCTCCCGGGGTAGCAGAAGGTGGGGGAGGCGCAGCGGGATTGTACGATTGTTGTTGATGCATAGCTGGAGAACTCGTCTGTATACTAGGCTGCTGGAAGTACGCTCCTTGGTGGCCAGGCTGCTGGTAGCCAGCATTCTGGGCTGGTGCCCCATAGCTCGGCCCAGGGGCCTGCTGGGCCCATTGCTGAGGCGCTGCTTGGTTGTTCGTAGCCCATTGTGTTTGGTTCATATGGGGGGAGGATGTGGGTATGTAGGGTGCTGGTGCCGAGGGATAGCCTTGAGCTGCTAGGAGTCCTGAGTTAGTCGGGTGCTTCTTCTCATTGTCAAGAGGGAGCCATACACCCATATGTTTGCGGTGGTTGTTGATCAAAGTTCGGCGGGCCGCCCGCTTGTTGATACGGACCTTGTCCTGCGCTACCGTACGCTTGTTGCATACTGGGTGACTGATCAAGTCACACACATGATAGCCTCGAATCACGCTCGCGGTGGTATTGGAGCGCTTCCGGTGATAGAATAGGAGTACGAAGCACGAAGCACAGCGATGAGCAAGATGAAGAAGTTCAATTCAGATAGTCTTCAGACCAGTCAATGTGTATATAGGCAGAGAGCGGCAGCTAAAGAAACAGAAGACATGGAGAGCCTCCCCTCGAGCAAAGGCGAGAGACCTGAGGACCGGAGCTGAAAGGCAAGCCACCTGCATGGAGCTTGGGCGCACCGTCTTCAGCACCGCACTAGGCTTCGTAAATACACTTGGCGCATAGACTGGAGGCTGGAAATAGATACAGGAGCCCAACGCGATTGCTTGTACTGGAAGTTAGGCATATACATGCATGTGTGTGTGTATACAAGCTGGAGGCATCTTTGAGGTTGTTGCTTGTGGTGGATGGTCATCAGCTCACAGGTTGTCGAGTACGATTACAAATGTCACAGCTCTCAATGTCACGTGATATCGACGTTCGGTATACACATACTTCTCTCCTTGGGCTCCAAGCGGAATATGTACTCGATCCCGGCAGTTTCAAAGTTCGATTAGCACCTGGATACGGTTGACACTGTACTGCCGATCTCTCTCAGCTGTTACACCCACGACACCTACAGGGCATCAAGCTGATATGTTGTAGAGTAAACCTGTCAGAACACAGCGGACATCCTCTCTTGACCCTTGAAAAGGGCATTTAAACCGTGGTGAACAGGGCAAGTATTGACAAAATGGTTCAAGTTGTCGTGCTTGATTCAGCTTAGCAGCTACAAATATTGCTCGTCGTAGCAGGTCGCTGACAACTCTAGAGGAACACTACTAGCACCTCGAGATGGCCAATCTGAGGCCTGAGAAGCCTCGCATCTTCCTTCTATCACTTGACAACAAGGAGTGGTTTGATGAAATGTACTCGCGTCTCATCAATATGCTCGCCGAGGAAGCTACTCTGCAACGAGCCTCCAAACCCGACGCAGCACTCCGCTACCTGACAAACAACACGCCCCAGGCCATCCTTGCTACCGACGCCGGCCTCGCAGAACCAAAACACTCGGCCGTGCTCGCTCGGGTGGTCGAGTATACCCGCAGGGGCGGCATTGTTGTCTTTGGATGTATGTTCAGCAGCTTCATGAGCCGCCCGAAGATGGAAGCCTTCTTCCGCGATGGCTGGAGCTTGCCTTGGCGGTATGGCGATTACCATCGGACAGACGTTCATCTCAACCGGCGCGTGAGGCAGATCCATAAGATGTTTCTGACCCCAATGTGTAGCCAGAAGGCAGTTTTCTTGTTGTTTGCCGGCCGCCTGCGAGGAGCGGAGCGACGCAGCGGCGGCCTCGACCTTTCGCCGAAGGCGACATTAACCTTTTGCAAGGCAACCTATCTATACCCTCTTTCCCGCCTGCGAGGAGCAAAGCGACGTAGCAGCGGCCCTAATCTTCCGTTAATAGGAGCGAAGCAACTAAGGTAGTTGCCTTACCCGCCTTCCAACTTCCTTTTTATAGGGGGTTCCCCCTAAACCCCCCGGCCTTGCTGCGCTTATATATAGCTAACTACTAATATCCGTGCTGTCTTTCCTATAACTATATTAAACAAATCCTAGCGGCGTGAGATATAACTATACTCTTCTAGCATTAGAAGGGTAGATAGAAGGCTACTTTATTACTATTACATCAGCAAATCTTTTTTTCCCCTCGGAGCCCCTCCGAGCGCTCCGAGGGCCCTCCAAGCGCTCCGAGGCTCCAAGCGACTCTTACCCCTACTAAGGGGCTCGCGAGCGTGTCCGAGCGCCCCGAGCGCTTGAGGCGCTTTGGACGTCCGAATCGTCCAAATCGTTCAAATCGTCCAAATTGTCCAAAACGTCCAAAACGTCCAGAGGTATAGGCTTAGCAGGGCTTGGCATGCTTAGTCAGCAGCTTAAAAAATTGAAAAAAGCTTTAAGTCTAATTTAACTAGTGGTATATAGCGGCTATATAATAGAGCTAGTTTAGAGGGTAAACTTTTAATAAAACTAATTATTATCCGCTTACTTTTTAAATTCGTAGATATTATATCTCTTTTTACTAGGAGGTAAAAGTTAAGCGAAAATAGGAACTCCAAAAAAATCTACTTACTAAGCTGCTTACTAAGTAGCCTATCGTTTTAGACGTTTTAGACGATTTAGATATTTTGGACATTTTGGATAATTTGGACGATTTGGACGATTTGGACGATTTGGACGATTTGGACGATTTGGACAAGATGGTCCGTGCGCGAGGGGCTCGCGAGCGCTCGGAGGGTTTTCGATTTTCCCGAGGCATCAAAAGATTTGCTGATGTATAGTCTTATAAATTCCTAAATAGTTGACTAAGCTCTTCTCCTATCCTGTAGGCTATAAGTACTTAGTACCCTTAGTTGAATACGGCTTTATTAGGTCTCTATACTTACTAACATACGGGTTTAGGTAAACGCGGATACCGCATTATATCTCCCCAATACTGGGTCGTGGACTCAAAGCCATGTCTTTGTCAACGAACCGGTGGGACACCTCCAGCAGAGTCCAGTTGTTTATGCTGCTGTGGGCGAAGGATGGCTTGGATACGTTGGGGACGTGAATGCGGAGGAGGCTTCGGACAATGTCGTCCTCGCTATGTGTGGCTTGGACTCTACGAACTAAGCAATCGTTATACGTATCGCTTCGGCGCTGGCAAACACCGCCATCGTACTTTCAGAGGCGGCAATTGTAGCGGTCCTGATGACCAAGGGCTCGTTGAAGGGAACGCGGCGGGCCTTGACGGCTCAACCCTGTCGATACGCCCGCCGTATTCGTTTCAGACGGCTCCTGTAACTGGCCCATGCTTTGACTTGCAACCCAGTCCTCACATCACACAACACCCAAACCCATACATGGCCCTCTCGACCTCCCTCTTCACAACGAACCAATCCGCTCGCCTCTCTGCAAACTCATACACCTCTTCCGCTCTAAAGATGCCATAGTAGCGGTCCGAATCCGCGATAATCGTCGCTATATCCTTGGCATGGTCAGCTGAAATCAGGTATATCTGCGACAGCTCCCGCAACGCCGCAAAATACTGCGTCAGCGACTTGTTGCGCAGAGTCGAGATGTAGGCATGGTAGGTGTTGGTGTCACTACGACGACCTGTTAGACGAAGCACAGCTTGATCGAGATGAAGAAACCCAACCTGATAAGCTTGATCGCGCCGTCGACACTGATGCGCTGCCGCTTGAGATGCTTGCACAGCGCAGTGAAGAGGCGCAGCCCAACCTCCTGATTGAACACATCCAGCACATTCTTGTCGGTGCTTCCTACCAGCATACTCGTGTGGCTGGAGACGACTTCAACCACCCGCGTTGCTGTCGACGTTGGGCCGATATCGACGACTTGCTGGAAGACATCTCCAGAGACGCTAGGGTTGAAGTCCGTTGGCAGCTGCGTCGTCGCGCAGATATACTCGACCTCGTCCATGAGCACATCGATGCCCTTGTTGAGCCCAGCCGCTACGCGCTCATCGAGCATCTGCTCAAAGCGCTTCTTCTCCTTGATTGCTGGGCTGAGGAAGTCGTCGCGATCAGTCAATTTTGCGTAGACCATTTCCTGCATGTAGAAGACGTCAACCATCTGCTGTATAAGGTCGCCTACATTCACCAACTCCAAGAACGTGACCAGCGGCTCAACGCCCGATTGGCTGTGCTCTCCAACCTCACGAGGATTGTACGTGGAGAGGTGGGTCACCGCTTTGTCAAACCCGGTCTTGATGTGGCGCGTTCCGAGCACCTGAAGCAGTTGCACGAAGATGGCTTCGCATTGCTCCTTGGCCTCTTCGCTGGACTGCCCGCCGAGCTGGACGAAATTTGCTACGCGCTCCAAGCTGGACTTCGCCGTGTGGATAAGGTTCAGAGCAACCTCGATGCTGAACAATGATCTGATGCCTTCGAGGCGAGAGTTCATGATGGCGGCTTTGGCCGCTAGCTCAGTCGTAGGGGCTTCTGGGCGAGGAGTGACAGATCTATCCGTGGGGAGGGGTGTTGTAGGACGCGATATGATGTCCAGAGAGCTGCCATTAGTAGCTGGCTGCGTGACTGTGGCCTTGGCTGCAGCGAAGGGATTCGCTGGTAGAACATTGACTGGGAGCATGACGACTTTCTTGAACGAGGTCAAGAAGTCGCGTTTAACGGCTTGACGGTTGACGTTGGACATGAAGAACGACTCCGTGGATGCCTCTTCATCGAAAAGCCGCTTCTCCCATTGGGTAACTTCGGCATCCGATCTTCGCTTGAAAAAATCGAGCTCCTCTTGCAGATAAAGATCCACGTGCGGTTCAATGCTGCGTGCAACGATCCGAGTAACCTCGTCGGTAAAGTCTGGCGCGGAGTCTTTCGTGGGTTCAATGGACCTTGCGAACTGCAGACTCTGCTCAAACACCCCGGACACTGCTTTGAGGTATGACTCGATGTTCCGTTCATGAGCCTCATCGAACAATGCAGTGACATACTCTGAGATGATGTCTTCTCCAACACGATCCAGCAGAGGCAAGATGACGTCGGTAGAAGGTGGAAAGACACGGTCCACGACCGAGACCTGCTCGTTTATCGCTCCAGCGAGGCGGCGAAAGAAGCCTTCCGAGTGTTGGAGAGACACTGTTCCTAATGACGCACCTTCTAAGCAGTCCAAGGGGTTGCCCAACTTGTCCTTTTCGAGCATTAGAGGGTGATAGTGTATGAAAACATCGACCGCAGCAGCGCCGCCGTTCAGGGTTACGAGAATGTGTGCGTATCTCCTCATTCGGCCGTCCACGTCTTTCGATTCGTAGCCCTGCTCGAACTCTCGAAGAACAGCGTTCTCAAACACGCCCATTATCGAGTTGAGCTTCTCTTCTCGCTCATGCCATCCAAGCGCAAAATCACTCTTAGCGAAGATCTTCAGCTGCGCCAGCATCCTTGCCTGCTGTTCGGGGTCCCGGTATACTTGAAACAGAACCGGGTCTGTATGGCTCCTTGACCGCGCCAGATCAAGGTAGTATGGCGCCAAAGCCCCGTAAATCTTGCCGTACTCTTGCCGTGCATAGCCCCGGATCGAGCGTGCCCTCTTGACTACACCCAGCGCTTGCATCGGATCCTGACGCGCCCCGTCTCCATCACTCGATCCAAGCGTCATAGCGTCAAACCCATCCTGCAGCGTCCCGTTGCGCGGTCTCCCAGATCTCTCAAGTGATCTCCGGTGTCTCTCTTCCTCGACACCAGCATCAAACAGAGTGGAACTTGTCTTCCTAGTCCCATCCCCACCGCCAGCAATGCCATTCACGCTACCATTCAGCCCAACACCCGTTCTTCGCGCTTCCTCCGCTTCCCTAGCCCTTTGCGCTTCCTGCTTCCTCCTCATAGACTCCTCAAACCGCTGCCGCGCTTCTGCCTCATTCCAGCATCCCATGCTCTTCAATCTTTGTATCCATCGTGTGTCATCGTACACCATTTCCTGCATACGCCTGGAGGTGCGGGCAAAGCGGAAGAGGTCGGCGACGGGAAGGAAGTCAAGGATGGTAGAGATGAGTTCTGGCACCATCAGAATACGGCGCCAATAAGAGCTCGAGGCACCATACCTGCCGGGAGTAGTGGCTTTGAGTCGACTAGCTGCGTCGAGCGCAGCGAGGCCAGGACATGGTTGCGTGGGAGTCCGCCGGATACGGGAGCCCTCTTGAAATTGGACATTGTTCCAACAATGGCAAGTTTCTGGTCAGCTTCTTTCGCGTTACGGCGCCTAATATCTCATGGGACCTGTTGGACGGACGTCGAAGAGAAGACTTGGCGGCCAGCGGTCGCGTTGCAAGTCAGTAACGAATCGTCACTGGTCATTTGTGGACATAAGTACAAGAGATGTGCGAAAAGAGAGTTCTAACCGTGCAAAAGGCGCTTGTGGGTACAGATATGTGCATGAGCTGTCAATTTCAAGTCGGCGCATGTCAGGAAGGGTCTGGGAGAAGAACTGGGCCGAACAAAAGCCGAGACGGCAGAGAAGCCGTAGATATAAGAATAAAGCAACTATCTGCAGGTGAAAAATACTAGCTAAATTACAAACGTTAGAGCGCGCTTGAGCATTCAGAACCAAGACATCTTCCTTGTATAGTCTTTGTCCGCATCCGCCTATTTACAACAACACGACCAGCCCAGCAACAGCAAGCCCGGCCCCCAGTCCAGATCCTATGTTATGTGACGCCGCGTTTGTTGTAGCCTGCGCTGCAGATGCGGCGGTTGACGTCCCGGAAGCTGCTTGGGATGCCACTGAAGACGAAACTGACGAGGCTACAGAGGAAGCGGCGCTGGATGCCGAACTTGACGCACTCGGTGCGCTCGAGCTAGCTGTGGATGAGGCGCCAGGACAGGAGGCTCGGGTGGGGACCTGTATTTGGGCTGTTCTGCAGATGCCGACTGCGAAGTCAATAGTGCCTAACACAGCAGACGTCAGCTCAGCATTTTGAAGAAGCGGCAGCTAGACTCACGCTGCTGATCCTCGGGAGAGCAGGAGTTCAGAACACAGCACGACAGGCCGCTGATGTAGTCTGTATTGGAGCATATGCACCGCACATCGATGGGGTTGCAGCCGCCTAGGTTACTGCCGACGCAGTTTCGCTGGAGGTTCAGTCAGCTCCTGATCAATGTTGTGAGTTCAACCTTGGAGAGTGTGCGCGGTGAAAGCACTCGGCGGTGTAGCGGACAAGAGGCCCTATAGACTTACAGCGCACACTGGCAGGTCGGCGATGCTTGTGCTTTGGGCGACTGCGAGAGCGCCGAAGCAGGCGGCAAGGGCCAATGCGGAGAAGCGCATGTTGCTGGGGGCTCAGGTGCTTGCGAAGGGTGGATTACTGTACAGCGCGAATCGGCTTCGCGGAAACGTCGCAGAACAAGCGCAGCGGAGTGGACGAAGATGAGCGGCCAGACTAGAAGGAGTTGAGGGCTCGGAAGGGAGGCTGCAAGCTCTACCTTGGTAGGTAGGGTAACGTTAGGTACAGTATGGATGCGGGCGAGCTGGGCGTGGAGCTGGCGTTCTGCCAACGGCTCGTTCGGGTCCGGGGGGATCGGCCCAGCCGCCTGCCAGCTTCAGCTTTCCGACGTGTCCGACTGGTCAATTCCGAGTGCGCTGTAGTGCTTCAGGCATCAGTCAAAGGCCATCTTGAGGCAGGAAAGCAATCTGTCTTGTGCTTGAGCGGCGCAATCGCTCGAGCAAGGTGCTCAGCAGTTGGGGTTTGCTCACGTCTTGCCGTAAGGTAGACATGGAACTAGCAGAACCTCGATCGCTCGTGCAAGGCCACGGGGAGGCGTGAGACCAAGGGACCATCCACGGATCTGGCGCCGGACGAGACCCAAGCTTCTGCACCTGCGCTGGGTGATGTCGCGCAGTTGCCTTCCATGAGCCTTCGACCGCAGGGACCGCGGGTAGCAGCATGCATGTCCTCAACCACAGCTTGAGAGTCGTGTGATTCGCAGAGGTATCTATGGTGAGGCAAGTGATTTATGTACCTGTCAGGGCAGGTGCATCGCAGCCGCAGCGCAGCCGCAGCGCCGCCGCAGCGCAGCTGCAGGACTACAAGCCCTCGGCTCGTACGAGTACTTCGACGCAGAAGGCCGCGTAAGGCTTCCATCAAACGCCTTTTCGTGCCATCAAACACAGACCTCACGGGCATCCAGCTCAACCCACATGATGACGTGCTGCTAACTGGACGTCCGGAGTGTCCTATGTAGGCGGCGGCGCGCAGCTGGGATCAGGTGTTGGCTTCAAACACAGGGCGCTCACCGAGCCCAGTGTTTGCCTAAATCCTTGGGGAGAGGAGGCAACCGATTCTGGCAGGGCGCAGCATTCGAAAAATTGTTGCTGGGTCACCTTGTGGGTTTCCATTGCGCTCGAGACTACAGAGTGGAGCGTTTCGAGGGCTGTTTTCTCCAGATAGAATTTGCAAATGGGTGCAACGTAGGGCATATCATGCTTAGTGGACAACTCGCAGACAATCATTTTGCTTCCCGTCGCACTGCAAGCCAATACCAGTAGGAGGGTACCTGTCTAAGGTTCTTGCGTCATGTGTATACCTGCGTACGATAAGGCTATGTACGTATGTCATGCCGCTGACACTGCCCAGAAGCCCAGGTGTCAGCCGCCTTGAGTGGCAGTGCCGCCGCCTTGAAACGTCTCGTGAATCACGCGCTCCCCACGTACCTTATGAACCATCCGCTTACTGAGCACTCCTCTCAATGGGATCAGGCTGCAACAAACCAGGGGCTCGGCCTCGCCACTGGCCCTCAACGGTTCGCCCGAAACCACAGGAAGGATACACCAAAGACCGTGGCGGCAAAGCCGGGGCGCCAATTTCAACCAGACCTTCTGGAAGCCGCTGCGGCAGAAAGCCTGACATTCTTTTCCAATCGTGGCCCTGCTTACAGACCAGTTTGACTGACGAATGTCCTTGGTGGCTGAGCCACGCAAACATTTTGCACCGCGCGGCCTGTTTACGATGCTGCCGGATCTTAAAGGTCCACCATTCCTCACCGACGCATGGAAAGGCGAAGGTAGCAACTGAGTGATTTCGTCAGCATCTGTGCCCGTTGATTGCAAAGCGACGTTGGTGAGGCTTTCGAAGAAAGTTGCCTACCTTTCGCCCCATCTGCGGCCGCCCAGTCCGATGAAAAGTTTGCATGGCCTCAAAAATTTTGCATGGCTGTGTACGAGTATGTTAAGAGTCCTCGCGCCCACTTTTGAAATACCTCAAATCCAGCCTTGACACCTGTCCACCTTTATCAACCACACAACCCCATTTCAGCTCAAACCCAAACCACTTCACCATTTAAGGACCCACCAAAGACGCCATATCTCTCCACAAAGCAACATGTCTTCGCAAGGTACCACTTTTCGCGCTGCTGCCTACAAGCCCGGCAACACCTCAGCCCCAGTCAAGCTTTACGGTGACGATGGCTGGCCGGAGACCGGTCGTGATCCTTATGGTAAGAGCCCTTGTCTGCTGGCTATGCGTTGCGGAGCGGTAGCTAATGTCTCCGAAGGTCGGTGAAATCTTCAGCTGCCTCTTCACACATGCGACTCAATAAGAGCGACGCCTATCCCGGGAGCTGGCGCATCTTTACGACCTCAGCGGCACGGTTTTACGCGCCGTTTGACATTGGTGGAGGAGCATTCAGTCGTTCTCGATCTCTCTGCAGCTTCGACACCACACAGCATGGGCCATCAAGTCCAGCACGATCACTCCTTTCTTGAATATTTCTCCACTGTACTTCTATTGTTTATGGGATAGAACGGGCGGCGTCTCGATAGATGGATCGTTTCACGACAGCGGGGTCATTGGCTTTAGAAGGTGTTCCTGGTTTTACGGCCGGCACACCGGGCGCACTCGTTAGATGGACTGGCGACAATTTCTGTATCTCTCCGTTGTCGAAGCGCTCGCTCGGGTTAGGGATGGAAGGCGTTTTAGAAGTTGGTCATGATTGTAGGCTACTTGTATCGTAGAGGAGGGTGCTGCTGTTTATGATATGCACCGTGGTGGAGATTACCCCAATTATGCACATGGCGATCATCGTGCGTCTATCGGATGCGTCCACCAATTGCTTCAGTGTGCGACACCCGAATCTTACTTCAGGCCTGCTCTTGCTGTTCACTGTTCGCAATATGGCGCTTCCGGTTGCGACTGCTCTGATCAATCTTAACAGCGGGGTGATGGGGGAGACCGCAGCGATTCGTGCTCAGTTCAGACAGGCTTCCGGCGGGCGACGTCTCCACGGACGACGGAGCAACAACTTCGAGCACTCCTCAGCCTCCGACCAGGACGGAGCAGTTGAACTGTTTACACTGACCGCCGCTCCCAAGTTCGCGTCCCTTGATTCCACGCGACACATCGCTCTCTCTTCGCTGCAACCGAACTGGCGCGAGCAATGAGGGCGCCGCTAACCAAGGCCGCCCACGCCAAGGCAGGACTTTGTATCTGTTACGTTATGCGTCACCCTCTCAATGAAAGCTCGCGGACTCTCCACCTCTGGGCACCAGCAAGGCGTGCTAACTAGTCTCCCACGTGCAGGCAACCCAAGGAATGGAAACCAAAATGATCACGTTGACCACCTGAAAAACACGCCCCTCAACCAGCCACGCCCTGCATGCGGCGACGGAGGCCTTGAATATCATGGACTGACTTGGCCCTGTCCTGCACTTCTTTGTTGTAGTCTTGCCCTCGCGAGAACACTCGCCGCAAACACGGTTCCTTATCGGAGTTGAACCTCTCTGAGCTTGGTCGATTTTCATCTCTGCGACAGCCACCACCGTAAGGATCCAAGTTAGAGGCCCAACGACCTCAATCGACAACATGTCGGAATCGCGTCCCTCCGAATCCCTTGGCCGCATCATGTCTCATGGTCGCGGAGGTGCAGGTAAGCTTCCCAACTGTACAGTCGTTACATGGCGGTAGTGTGAGTCAAGAGTGCTGCGCGGAGCTTGCGTGCAAAGTGGATGCGCGCGTTCACGAGCCTTGAAGGCGTCACCGTCTCCTGCATCAGCAGCTCTTCAGAGCTACATCTTGGTTCCCTGGCATAGCGATCCGGCCCGGCAGCGCATGACTAGATGATTTCCTACCTCGCTGGCGTTCAGTGGAGGAGAGCCTCAGTCACTGACCAGTCGCTCGCACAGGTAACATCGCCAAACCGCGTCGCGAAAGCTTCACCACCCCCGAAGACCTCGTCACTCCGACCCTCAAGTCGGACCACTACACCACTGGCCGCGGCGGCACCGGTAACATTGCCAAGAACGATCCGCAACGTCCCGAAGTCGCGAGAGCCGCTCAAGACGTGGAAGCTCCAGTGCAGCGCGAGCCGGAGGGGGTGTTCCATTACGGACGGGGCGGTGCGGCGAACGTGACGAAGCCGAGCGAGGAACAGCGACGGTCGCGGGAGGCTAAGAGGGAGAAGAGCCCTGAGGAAGGCAAGGGCTTGATGGAGAAGGGGAAGGAGTTCTTTGGGAAGCTTGGGAAGAAGTGAGCGGGCAGATCTCTTCTGTGCAAGCTGGTGGCAGCTTGATTCTTCCTCGGTCTTTCAGCGTTATGATACCTTGGCTACGATGGGAGTTTTCTGGGGTTCGTCTAGCGGTCGGCTCTTCTAAAAGTGCTCGGTTTCAGTAATCAGTTTAATATGAGTTGCATTGGAGCAGCCATGTAGCGGTTCAGTCTGCCCCTTGTTGGCTTCTCAGTGCATCGCTGCCTACTCTATTGCACGAAAATCCACTTGGCGCAACGTGTCTGAGGACTGGATGGTGGTTGACGAAGGTCAGTGACGAGCATCAAAAGCCCGTAAAAAGGTGCTGTGAATCGGCTTTTTATGCGACACCGCAATGCGAACTGCCCTATGGCTCGACGGCGACCTGCATAGCCCAATCTTGGTTCCAGTTGTCATTCCCTTGATCTATCCGCAACCTGAAAAGAGCCCTCTCCGATCATGACCTCGCACTGCATGAACCCGCATGCGCCCCCAGTCACTTGCTGGGGACCGTCAGCCGGCGCTTTTGACCACCCGAAGTCATGCTCCGTGGCTCCCTCGCTCGCTCACTCAACAGTTGCGCCGCGCCTCTAGCTTACTGAGGACTACATCTTAGCCAGGTATTGTACTCATCTTCAACCAACATCTAATCCACAACACCTTTTTCCAAGTACCAGAAAGCCTTCGTTGCCCGACTAGAACTCTTACATTCCCTCCCACCGCTTCCCGTCAGGCAAAAGTGTGCCACCCATCTTCCATGTGCCTCATCAAAGTCCGAGAAGACCGAGAGGAAGACGTCGTAGTCCCCGCGCGCATACGCCACCGCTCGCCCTCCCCATCATCGCGCCGACGCTCAACCCGAGTTTCGCGAACAGTGATACAAGAGCATCGCCCGTCACGCGTCTCTGTGATCGCTGTGCCAGCTCAGCCTCCTCCACTCCTCGTACCGGCGCCCGCACCCGCGCCCGTCTTCGTCAAACCACCTACTCCGCCACCTGTATTCGTAGTCCCTCCTCCACCGCCCGCTCCTGCGCTGCAGCCGCAGCCGCAGCCGCAGTACGTACATGTTAGTCCGGCCAGCAGTGTGACGAGCCACTCTGATCGTGGATCGTACTATCGCGAGCGGGAGTATCGAAGAGAGCGGAGGGCATACTCGCCCGCGCCGTCGAGTAGCCACGGAGACAGGTACGAATATCGGTATATCAATGCGCCACAGCCGCCGCCCGAGCCGCGTTATGTGAGGCGCGAACGAAGCAGGAGCAGAGACAGAAGAAGCTATCACGACGCGGAGCCCGAGTATAGGACCACCAGGGAGAGAGTCATCATCCACAACAGTAACGATCCGCGGAGGAGAAGTCATGACTATCGATGAGGCCGTTTGTGTTTCGCTATCTGGATAGTTTTGGCTGTCATATTTGAAACAGCCTTGTTTGCATTGCATTGCATTGCGCGGCGGGTGGTCGTACCACAACGATCAGGCTCAATTGGAGGTGTTCTCGTCGTGGGTCCCGGCGTCTGGACTCTTAATGACGAGTGGTTTGCACTGGTTGCATAGTGGCATATTTGTTTTCGCGCATACCCGTATATCATGGCTATCTGCTTTCCTTCTGCTCTCAAGCCCATGCTCTGTTCAGGATCAATAAAGTTCTGCTTACGACCATCAGCCAGCGCCTTGCATCCGTCGCGTGGATATATCCCGGGCGCCGGAGCTGACGGTCGTGTCATGATCTCTGGAGCACCTCCCAACCACGATTCTGGCTCCGCTCCAGTTCCCTTTGAGCCGCTGCCTTTATGTATGAAGCATACTATTGTTCTCTCAAAGAGTCTTTCACGTATTGTCTTTGACGGCATTGACAGAGCTCAGCTTGTCCTCCAAAGGCCATCAACACAATAGCCTATCATCGTGCCTAGCGCTTTGTTCCCCAATATTAATTTATAGCACCGCTTCTCTGCATTTTCATTTCAGAGATCTATAGCATCAACCCCACACATCAGCCCTCCACAAATAGTTATGCAGCTCCTCACTCCCCTCACCCTCCTCGCTCTCAGCGCGCACTCCGTCCTCAGCCTCCCGCAAGCCTGCACCGCCAAAAACCCCTGCATAAAGCCTAAAGGCAAAGTCGAGCTTAAATTCGTCAGCAAGAATCTCGGTGGCTTCAACTACAACGTCAAGATCGACAAATATACTTCCATCTATTTCGACATGAAAAAGAAGGATGCTGGCCCCATCAGAACGGTTTGTATGCCGGACAATCCGTTGTACGGTCGGCTTAAGTGCAAGTTCAAGGGTGAATTCGTAGACGAGCTCCCGGGTGCGCTCACGAAGGGGCAGTGCCTGCACCCGAATATGGTGGTGATGGGCGTTAAGTGTACTGTAGGCTGAATGCAGACAGGCAGGTCCTGATGCGTTCCGCTGATTGTAGAAGATGTCGCCGCGGTATCCTTGCACGTCGCGGAGAAACTCTTTTGACCAAGCCATAGAAGTGCGAAGAGTTCAGGTCGGAGAGAGTATAGCATGTTCAGTACACGTGTATGATAATCTAGTAGTACGAGTAGCTTTGAAGAAAATGTTTATCCTGTAACAGCTCCTATTTGAGCAGGCCCCATCACCTGATGCAAGATCAATCAAGAGGTGACCTCGATGGCTTCAATGGCTCAGTCTTCGAGTGCGTGAAGCGAAATGGTCGCAGATACCTCATCTTACAGCCCATGATTGCCAAGTTTATTTATAGGGACCGCAGGGCCGTAGGGCTGTTCCGGACTCGGAACATCACCGCTCAGCGGATCTGACGAACTGTACCTTCAGGCTGACACCTTGCATTTACCTTTCAACACCCACGAAGGATGAATTCAGTCGCCGAACCCTGCGCAAGGACGACCACTCCCCCGCGATTTCTGCGGTGAAGCAGGATAATGTCTATCCGAGTGCTGATCAAGGACCAGCCACAAAAGGCCATTGCGCTAGCAACGTCCACGCATGTTCTGATATTTCGACATAGTCCCGCATCTACACCTGAGCCAGTTAGTAACAGCTCTCGCAATGCATCTCAAGTCTCATTGTCAAGCACGTCCGCAGTCCCACCGCGATGTATGGTGGAATTCTCTGCCTTGGAGGTGGCCGAGCTGAGTGACTTCCGCTCCTTGAGTACACTGTCTGTGCATGGCACACTGGGTCTAATCACCGTTAATAACGACGTGTTCCTGTGCGTGGTGAGCGGCACTTCCAAGGTTGCCACTGTCAGGCCCGGGGAAACCATTCAGAGGATATTGGCTGTCGAGTTCCGTGAGTTTGTCTATGCGTCCAATCTGCTGCTGCTGCTAGTGCTGCTGCCAGTACTTGCCCTGTTCAAGAGCTGAGACATCGATCAGATTGCTTGAGTAGTTCCGATTACGACAACCTGCTAAACGACGAGATCAATCCGTATCCTACGGACACCATTGATGATGAAGGCTTTGAGCATGGGTATGGCCACGGCCGCCGGGAGCATCTCCTGGAGCATCCGTGTCTGGCTCTGAAGAAGCTGCTGAGTAGCGGAACCTTCTATTACAGTGCCGAGTTCGACGTGACAAGGAGGCTCCAGAATAGGTGAGTTCAAGCATTCAGAACATACACTGTGGACTGGTGCTGACAATGTCCTTGTAAGATCTTCCGATGCAGTCACAGTGTCAATCGACAGTCTGGATGCCGGTTTCCTCTGGAACTCGTACATGATACAGCCGCTCGTTGACTTCCGGTCCCGGCTTCATCAACACGACAGGGATGCGCTTGATTCATCACGGATCTTGACGTCCGCGATCCGGGGGTTCGCCCTCACCATCGCGGTTCCAGCCTCATCGTCTCCGGCACGGACAAATCGAATAGGGCTACCGTCAAACCTGACCCTCATTTCGCGTCTCTCATGTCGCCGAGCAGGGACAAGATTTAACGCTCGAGGCATTGACGATGATGGCAACGTAGCGAACTTCGTCGAAAGTGAAACAGTCTTTTGGACGCCTTCTGGCCTCTGCTTCTCCTACGTGCAGGTACGGGGTAGCGTTCCCCTATTCTGGGAGCAGACAGCCGGTCTCCTACCGGGGCAGCAGAAAATTTCTATCACGCGTTCGCCTGAAGCGAACCAGCCCGCTTTTGATAAGCACTTCGACCGCCTTGCGGTAAGCTACGGTGCTGTTCACGTCGTGAACCTGCTCAGCAATGAAAAGCCGGGCGAGCTCGAGCTCTCCACCAGATATCGCTACCATGTGGAGCACAGCTCACTGAACTTCGGCGAAAAGGATGACACGGCGGGGCATGAGCTCCTCAAAATGACGGACTACGACTTCCACGCAGAAACTCGAGGACCAGGTGGCTATGAAGCGGCAAGCATGATCGTGCGGTACATCCAGGACTCTGCGGAGGGGTTCGCCTACTACCTTCAGGAAGTGATCGAGGACTATCCAAAGACTGGACAAGGCGGCGATGAGCAAGTCATTCGAAAGCCTGTCACGATATTGCAGCAAGAAGGCGTCTTCCGGGTCAACTGTCTGGACTGCCTGGATCGAACAAACCTAGTCCAGACCATCATCTCGAGGCTGGCGCTTGAAAGTTGCCTCGACCACCGAGGGGAGCGGGGGAATTCCGACTTCTGGATCAGGCATGGAAGCTTGTGGGCTGATAATGGAGATGTGAGTGTACGATCTTGTTCAACGTGCAGTCACTAAGACCTGTCAGGCATTGTCCAGAATCTATGCCGGCACTGGGGCCCTCAAGTCATCGTTCACGAGGCATGGAAAGATGTCACTAGCTGGCGCATTGGCGGATGCGCGAAAGAGTGCCACTCGTATGTACATCAATAACTTTGCGGACAAGGGCCGCCAGAACACAATTGACATGCTCCTGGTAAACGCTCCGCTGATTGGCTATTTTGCTATGAGCTCACACACCTCTAGGGACGGCTTGTTGGTCAAGCACCAGTTCACTTGTATGATCCAATCAATGATTATGTTACAAGCGAGCTTGTTAAACGGTATGTGGTTCGCTTCTGGTAATGCCGATGTATGCTGACTGGCGCGAAAGTGCAGCGGAGTACTCATCTTCGGAGACGATAAATATATGGACAGGAACCTTCAACCTCAATGGCCGCACGGATGGCATCCACGAAGACCTCTCATCGTGGCTATGCCCATCTGTGGGTGCTTCGCAAGAGTTTCCAGAGCTTGTCGCGGTCGGCTTCCAAGAAATTGTCGAGCTCAGCCCTCAGCAGATCATGTCAACTGATCCAGCACGGCGCCAGGCCTGGGAATCCGCTGTTAAGAAGACATTGAATCTCAACGCACAGAAGCATAGTCACGAAGAATACGTCCTGCTTCGAGGTGGCCAGCTTGTGGGAGCATCACTCTCCATATTCGTAAAGGCCAGCGTACTCGGCTCCATTAAGAACGTCGAAGGCAGCCTGAAAAAGGTGAGTATGCGCTTACTCTAGTCCCTCTAGCTGGCTAACATCACGTCCAGACAGGCATGTCTGGGATGGCGGGGAATAAAGGCGCTGTGGCTATCCGAATGGAATACGCGAACACATCTCTGTGTTTCGTGACAGCGCATCTCGCGGCCGGCTTTGCCAATTACGATGAGCGTAACCGAGATTACCACACAATCAGTCACGGCTTAAGATTCCAGAGAAATCAGTCCATCGATGACCACGATGCCGTAATCTGGCTTGGCGACTTCAACTACCGCATTGGACTCAACAACGAGAAGGTCCGGAAGTTGGCCGAAATTGGAGACTTCGAAAGACTATATGAGAACGATCAGGTATTGTCCAGGAGAATGTTTGAACAGACCATTGGCTAACCGTGTCAGCTCAACATCCAAATGGTTGCTGGCTTGACCTTTCCGTATTATGCCGAAGCAAGGATTACCTTCCCGCCGACGTACAGATATGACCTTGGAACAGACCGCTATGATACTTCGTGAGTGACAAGACTTGAACCACAGCCGTAAAAATTGCCTAACAATATCACAGGGAGAAAGCCCGTATACCGGCGTGGTGCGACCGCATCCTTCGGAAGGGCAGCAACTTGCGTCAGATAAAATACAGCAGCGCCCCATTACGGTTTTCGGACCATCGACCTGTCTATGCCAGCTTCCTGTGCGAAATCAGCACGATAGACGAGAAGAAGAGAGACGAGCTACGTAGCCAGATGTATCGGCAACGGCGCGGTGCTGTCGCGGATATCACCGCCAACGGCGGAACCGACGACGAAGACGAGGACGACCTCATTGGCTATGACTCGATCGAGCCGGGGTTGCCACCCGCGAGCTCCGATCGTCGAAAATGGTGGTTAGACAGCGGTAAGGGTGATGTTGTTTACATGTAGAGTGGTATGAGCTTATAAGGTACAGGCCTTCCGGCCCGCTCGAAGATCCATCCGCCTGGGGACAACCTCGTTGTCAACCCAAATCGCCCCTCGAATCCATTTACACCCACCAACGAGCCAGACTGGGTGCATGTTCAACATCCTAACGGCACATCTGATGGAGTTCGCCGCGCTCAAACCATAGCTTCGAGGCCAGAGCAGCAGTCACGCCAGCCCGCAGCTCGCAAATTGCCGCCCCCCTTTGATCCTTCGCAGACCTCGCCACACCGGTCTTCACAAGACTTTGATGGACAGAAAGACGAGCGTGTTCCCGTTGTTCGCTCCCTGTCTCGCGCTTCTACCGCCTCGATGCCCAACAGTCTGAATCGTAAACCGGCTCCTCCAGTGCCAAAGAAACCGACGCTGTTAAGCAAAGCTGGACCATCAGTTGCAGGGCAAGCAAGTCCAACATCGCGCCAACTGACCGCTACATCTAGCTCGCCAGCGAGAGAACCAGCCTCAACGCCTCCGCGTCGATCCGCAGCGCTCCGGAAGCCTATACCGCAGTCTTTATCTGGACCAGAACTAGCGGATGCCGGACCACCACTGCCGCCACGACGGACTACGGAACAGCTAATGGACGATAATGATGAAGCTGCAGTGGATGGGTTGAAAGGCTGGGAGGTGCTAAAGCCATCATGACAACTGGTGCAAGGCGTGGAAGTATGGATTATCGCCACCCTTGTGAAGCTGTCTTACTCTTTTCATTAACGGGTTTGCGAAGACAAGCTCTTCTTGCGACAAGTGGTCAAGGGGGCAGGCGGCATGAGATCCCCAAGCCGCATTCCTATACCGCATGCGGCAACCAGACAGCATTCCAACCATCACGCGATCGCAGACGCAACCATCGGGCCGGAGACGGAGCTGTATTGGCTTCGTCACTGCTTCCGTTTACAACCAGCGGCTACGTTAGAGATACGAGATGGCCGGTTTCATAGCACCAGTCATCACACGCCCTTCTAAAGTATGAAAGCCTCTCTTGTGTACGACGTAAATAGTAAGACCTTTATATCTTCTGCACTAGCGAGTTGCATTTCCTGCCGCAACGCCTTTCAAGCACCTGAATATCGTCAGCATGGAGCATCAGCGTCGTGAAACGCATCACGGCGCTAGAGATGGGCCTCTCCTTGGCCTCAAAGGCGGCTGTGTCCGACTCCCACGCTGGGTCCTCTTCCTCCGAGCGCTTCAGCTTCTCTTCGCAGTCATCATCATCGGCCTAGTCTCTTACTCGCTCTCCATCCACGACGGCAGCTATGTGAAGCCCCCTTCCTCCACAAACACACCCTCCGCTCCACCTCCGCACCACCCACCATCTTTTTTTCCAACCGTCTTCAACTCCAGCTCGAAGCAGACCTACGCAGAGCTAGAGAAACGAGTCACTGACGGCACACAGATCCGCCCCGCACTCATCCCGACCCTGATCATCGCCATCCTCACCATCATTCCCATTCTGTCACTGACAACGGTTCTCGCGCCATCGCTTCGCGGCTTCCACGATGCCCGCGCCGCCCTGCTGGCAGACGGCACCGCTACGCTCTTCTGGCTTGCCTCCTTCACAGCCTTAGCCTGCTACGAACGCATCTACTACAACGCCTACGACATTGGCGACTACTACCGCCGCAAGCGGAATTTAGTTTACGACAAGTACTCCGGCTACGCGCGCTACGAAGACGTCCACTACATGAAGGCGAAGAGGGTGTGGAAGACCGGCGCCGCGGCGGCGTGGTTCGGCGGCATCGAGTTTCTCCTGTTTTCGATAACGACGCTGGTTTTTGTGTATTGTTATCATCACTATCTTGCTGGTACTAGTGCGCCAGGCCTAGGCAGTAGGGGTGCGGGAGATGCGGAAGCGCTGCCTCGGTCCGCTGCACCGGGCATTGCGGCGCCAGCGACGGTGCCGGCGGGAACGGCGACTGCTCCTCACTCTGCGCCTAGAGCTGCGCCTGAGCAGGAAACTGTAGTGATGGAGACTGTGCCGGAGAGCACGAAAGAGGAGTCGGAGAGTGCTAATTCGCCTCATCCTGTTCAGCCCCCATCTCCGGACCAGGAGAGATGTTGACGCGGAACTCGCTGGTCTAGACAGCAAGTCAATCCAAGATCTCGATTGGCGCCACCCGGCCTTCAGGTGGAAGCCGTGAGTGGTGGATCGGATGGTTCGCAAGCCCGCCAGCTGAGGAAGATTGGAGTACCTCTGGATCTGTAGACACTATTCGCGGTGGGGCGTTTGGTTGACGTAATATTATTTCAGCCACTAGAGGTCGCAAAATGACAAGTCGTGCGCATAAATGGCCTCACAACATCTATGGGCATACCAGCACGAATACTCTGAACATTAAGTTAAAACTCCACAACATGGTCTAAAAAGCTACGTCAAACTTAGAAACTTACCTCAAATACCTTGACTTCAAGTTAGCTATGTAATTATGAATAATTTTAATAAGATGGTGTAACGAAATATCAGGTTTCTATGTTTGCGGTGAGGCTTTTTATGCGCACGACTTGCTTGTCCGAAGACCGATTATCTGCAGGGTTGCGGTCGCTTGTGGCTTTGTTGATCCGTGCCGGGAATGTGCACAAACTCCCTTGCTCGCGTGGAGCCAACGAATCTCCAGGTGGCTAATTATACGAAGACGTAGATAGCGGCACAGCGACCCACACCCGGGTAGTGCAGCGTACTCGTCTCTTGGTTTATTGGTGCCTCGTCAGCGCGAGGAGTGGTTGCGATTCCCATACAAGGGTAGCACTGCAGAACTCCCTGACTAGGAATAGCGGCACAGCGACCCATAACCGGGTAGTGCGGCGTCCTTCCCCTGGGGTATTGTCAGCGCGAGGAGTGGTTGCGATTCCCATACAAGGGTAGCACTGCAGAACTCCCTGACTAGGAATAGCGGCACAGCGACCCATAACCGGGTAGTGCGGCGTCCTTCCCCTGGGGTATTGTCAGCGCGAGGAGTGGTGTCTATTCCCATACAAGGGTAGCACTGCAGAACTCCCTGACTAGGAATAGCGGCACAGCGACCCATAACCGGGTAGTGCGGCATACTTCCCCTGGGGAGTAGTGGTGTCTATTCCCACACAAGGGTAGCACTGCAGAACTCCCTAGAACAGCGGCACAGCGACCTATAACCGGGTAGTGCAGCGTACTCTCTCCAGGCACCTGTTAGCGCGAGTAGTGGTGTCTATTCCCGTACAAGGGTAGCATCATAGAGCTCCGTAACACCTTATTGAGTAGCTGCATACTACGCCAGACACGGCTGGTGCAGCATACTCGCTTAAGATAGTAATACAGAGTCTGTCGAAGAGATAGATAGTATTACAGAGTCCTGAGTGGGAGACAAAGTCCTACTGCCGCACCTCCTCGTGGTGTCTCCTGGTAATGCCTTCCTACTCTAGCAAGTATTGGAGGTAGCTAGGCGGCGAGGCAATGGGTGGAGCCGTATAATATTCCAGATGTATGTATCTTTCCTGACAACCTACTGTAGTCCGCTAATAGTCTATCAGACGAAGGAACGTTCGTGTAGTCCGGAGCCTCACGCGTAATAATCCCCTTCGCGCGAGCACATCGACATCGACGCCAAGCTACAGTGCCAATTAATCTTCTTCGATAGGCTTTGGGTCTCCGTTACTCCAGCGATTGCCGCGCCAACTGCCAGCCTCATTAGTCCACAACAACGCGCACGTATGTGGTGGGAAATGGCGATAACAATAGATGAGCATGGGAAGCTTCGTTTTGGGCGTCCGGTGTTGGAGACTCTAGGCTAGGGAGAGTACAACTGTAGGGGTAGAAGGGCGTTAGCTATGAATTGGCAATAAGAGGTTCTTTGTGTGTACGTGGGGCGTTGATGCGAGAGGCACGGAGAGGTTCTTTGTAGGCGTGAGATATTAATGTAAAAGAGGACGCCAGGGAAAAGTGTCCTTACAGAGTGAGGGTCAGCGGATGGTTAGAAAGATGACAAGATCACAATCGCATTAACGCGGTTAGCACGTGCCTCTGCTCGTGCTTCATCAGTCCTTTAAGGATATAGCTTCGTCTTGCCACTTCGCCTTCTTAGTCTTTATTGTTCTTACAGCAGCCTTCGTTGTCAACACTCTGCTATTGTCAGCATTTTGTCATTGTCTCCACACCGTCCGCGGCTTCATCCTTCGCACGCCCTTCACCCGCCCTTCACCCGCCCTTCACCCGCCCTTCACCGCAAATACGCAAGATTAGTTCGTCTCGCTTTCAGCGTCGCTGACGCCTTTAGCTATAATGGATCCAACACAACCACAATATCATAGTCTCCGTAACGGAGCTCCTAAAGCCACAGCTATATAGTACATGAACAACAAGGAACCGTTCGGGAGCTTTACCGCAGAGTACCTGTATACTAGGTTCAACATCACGGTTGGGTAGTACTACGCTATATATAAGCGCATAAAGGCACTCCTAAAGGATAATAATCTCTATAAGATGAACTTCTATTAGTATAGTGCAAGATAAAAGACGTTTTATATCTTTAAGACCCTATAGGCCGAGTTCCCTTTCCTCCGCGATATTTAGTACGAAGCTAGCGCTATAAACCCTACTCCAACCACCCGTAGTAATAAGTCTAGTAGTACTAGCACGACTTTCGATCTAGACCCTACACACACTAAGGCTAGAGCTACTACGCGCACTAAGGCTAGCGATACCTAAGCCACTAGTAGTATTTCTACTAGATCTTCCGTACGCATTTAGGCTGGAGGTCTTGCGCGTAATAAGGCTAGTAGTGCTTAAGATATCAGCGCTAACCCCACTCTAGCTCCCGTATAGGATGAGGTAGAAGCTCCTATGCGCGATAAGTCAAATGAGGCTAGGGATACTACCACAACTCCAACTACAGCTCCCGTACAGGACGAGGCTGGCGCTTCCACACGCGATGGGGCTGGGGTAGGATCAAACCCGCAGGCGTCTACGCACATACTCATAGTCAACCGAGCCCCACAAGACGATGATATTCCAGGATGGTGGAAGGAGCACGCCCTTCGGGGCTGGATCACAGCTACAGCTGAACGGATGCGGAGTCATCCAGATCAGCTTCAGCCAGCTACGCCACATAGCAGGAAGCGGCTCAAGAAGTTCCCGGACACGCCAACAAAGCGCCTAAAGACCGAGCCGCTACCGCTGCGATTTTGCACGTTGAGCGTTCGCGGTATCAACGGAGACATCACATTAGTGCAGGTTAAGGACCTGGTGAAGAAAGAATTCCTTCCAGTTAATGGAGCTGAAGACCTAAACGATAAGGACCTCGAGCTGGAGCTTCTTCATGCGCAACTAGCTAAGGAAGGTGTCTTCGATATTGAGAAGCAGCGACTTATCTATATCACTAAGGGGCTAGATGGAGATCGGGATGTTGCGATTCGTGCGGTAAGGGGCCTTAGGACAGCTGTTGTTACGATGCGCAAGGCTGGAGATTCTGTTATTAGTGGGATCCAAGTGAGGGACATTGTGTAGAGTGGGAAGACTATTGGGGACTGTTGGGAACGGCACGCAGAACAAAAAGACTGCAGGAAGTAAGAGGAGAAAGTTTTGACTTGTAGTACGGTTCATTTTGGAGGGATGCACATGAACTAGTGGTGTTGCTACACGCAGAATGGGTCCCGATTTTATAGGCCCTAAGATAGAAGCCGTAATAAATTGAATGCCGCCTCTCTATTCCGCACGCTTAATCTCTACTTTGTCTATAACGCATAGCGCCCCACTCCGCAGCCTACACAGCTTGTCGATATGCTCCTCCAGTAGGTTGCGTATAAGCGGATCTAGTAAGTTGGCGAACTGAGGGCAAGATCCTTTTTAGAGGGCCTCCTAAGGTGTTGCAAATCGCGTTCCGTTCGACATTCGAAGGTCTCGCTATAGAGATACTAATTAAAAAGCAAGTTATCATTCTATTCGAGAAGCTCGTTCTAGAATAGTATAAGAATGTAGTTAATAGATAGTAGAGCGGACCCTTACCTCAACTATTCTAGTCCTATGCATGTAGGGACTCCATACAGATACTAATCGCTAGCACCGCACCTAGGAGTAAATTGATCCTTTCCTATTACCGACACTCATCGCACTAATCGTGGAAATGAACTAGCTACTATAGCTAAGTCCGTCTCATCGCACTATCTCTATAAGGGTTGCCGATACAATTCGTGAAGAGGGCGGCCGATCCACTTTCATTTAGTGCGGCGATGGAATAGTAGCATGGGGGAGAATCTACAGCTAGAAAAAGAAGAGGCGCAGGACTCTAAATAGCGTAGCGTAGTGGTGGACGTTCTAGTGCCCTCTAATACCCTATATTGTCTAGGAGTTTAAATCTTCTTCGATTCGGCTAGTGGTTTAAGGGATAGCGCGTCTTCTATCTCTTCCTCTACCTTATATATATCGCTAAAGTATAGCTAAGTTCTCTATAGCAACTTATTTAACGCGCTAACTAGTGTAGGGTCTAAGGGCTTATAGAGCTAGGAGGGATTCTAGATAGCGCCTATATAAGGTTCTACTAGTAGGGTCTTAACTCTACTACTAGAGGGCTTAGGTATAGGCTTTAATATTCTCCTCGCTCTTACCTCTATAGCTTTCTTTAGAACCACCTTTATTTTTATAACTTTACTAGGGCGCACTTTTACTTTTATAAGTTATATAGCTCTCTTTCGGCGCTTTATTAGGCGCGTGTTTTAGGATGACGAGGGCTACTATTCGGTCCCTAATAATAGACTCTAGATTAGCGAGAGTGGTAGGTTAGGTAATATAAGTAGTTTATCTTTAGACTTAGATATATCGCTTAAGGAGTTAGAGTATAATAATATAGTATTCTAAGATATTAGTTATAGCCCCTTTTATAATATATAAGGCGCTAGTAGTCTAGGTGCTTATACATCGCGTAGTGGCGCTAGTGACTATTAGGATGTAATCTAACTAGTATTAGGAATGGAGTAGTAGAGGAGACGTGTTTTCTAAGTTGGCGGCGGTAATTTCTTGAGATGAGAGACGTGTCCCTTTTTGAACTATGTGTCGATGCCCTCTGAGTTGCTAGTGTCATGCTACTATTATTCGCTGAAACGCCCAAGTTGTCGCTGGCTGAGATAGATGTTAATGCTCTCTGAATTGCTAGTGTCGTGCTACTATTACTCGCTGAATACCCAAGTTGTCGCTAGCTGAGATAGATATCGATGCCCTCTAAGTTGCTAGTGTCATGCTACTATTACTCGCTAAATGCCCTGATGTGTCGCAATGAGAGTCTACTAGTGCAAGTACTATAATGTAGAGGCGTGGGGCGTACTCCTAACAGCTAAGAATTCGAGCGATAGTAGGTTTACGTAGATATTATGCGGGAGGTCTATGTCTATCTTCTTATAATCGCTATCTATTATTAGTGTCTATATCCTATATTATATAGCCTTATATACTTACTTCTACCTCTCGCGTCCGAGACACTTGCGGTGATAGTCTATTTCTAAATACAGGAATAATATCCTTAGCGTAGAACGTTGTATAGTAAAAGTTACATGCAGGATATGAAATATATATACTATATAAGAGCAGTACCTAAAGTATATACAATTAAGTTAGTAAGAAGCATATAATATACTAAATAAATAGAAACTAGTAGCAAAAGCTTATTGAGATTATAGAGTATAATGTATAGAAAATATAAGACAAATAGAATATTACGAATAGAGCTATTAGAATTAGAAAAAAATAGTATATAGAGACTTTTAGATTAATGGAATATAATATAGAAAAACTCTAGAAAGTAGAAAAATACAGGTTTTCGGAATATAAGAAAAAGAGTGTCTTAGATAAGAAAATATTAGGAAAAAAAAGTGCTAGAATATATAGAGTATAAAAGGAACAAAATCTAAGGTGAGAAACTTTTATAAAAATAGACACTAGAAAATATTACATATTATATAAATAGAGTATTACTTGAGATAACTTTATAAATAATAGATACTAGAAGATATAGGTTATTAAATGAGTAAAATCTCGTAGAAGATAAAATAATGAAAAATAGAAACTAAAAAATATAGATTATTAGATAAATAAGATTTTATATAAGAAAGCTCTATAAAAAATAGAAACTAGAAGATAAAGATTATTGAATGAATAGAATATAATAAAGAAATGCTTCAAGAAAATGAGAAACTAGAAAACTTAGATTATTAAATGGATAGAATTTTGCATAAGTAAACTCTATAAAAAATAGAATCTAGAAAATATAGATTATGAGATAAATAGACTCTCGCATAGAAAAATCCTATAAATAATAGAATCTAGGAAATATAGATTGTTAAATGAATAGAATCTTGCGTGAAAACACTCTATAAAAAATAGAATCTAGGAAATATAGATTGTTAAAT